TACACCACACTGCCCGTCATCAGCATCATCTTACACTTCAAACACATCCACATCTACACCAAACTGCCCGTTACTCACAGCCACCTGTTACACATGAACTCTTTGCCCCTCAACAGTTTTGTTGTCTAGAATATTTAAAACAATCTCACGCGTTTTAATCGTCCTTTGAAATTTACAAATGTCACACTGCATTAGTTATTATCGTAAGCAAGCATTATGCAAACCAGTAAACCATACAAAACTATTATGTAGCATTACTTTGAACTCAGCTACGGAGGCATCCATCTGATGTAATGAAGCGTTATGTAAACCAGTTTACCTGTAAACTTCAAAGGCGAATAATTGATTGATCTAGCCTGTACAGGTGCGCGGACCTTTGACCACAGGTGCTTTGACCATAAGGGCTTTGACCATAGGGGGTTTGACAACAGCGGGGCTTTGACTATAGGGGGTTTGACCACAGCGGGGATTTGACCATAACGGAGCTGTGACCATAGGGGGTTTGATCATAGAGGGTTTGACCACAGGTGTTTTCGCAGCAGAGGGTCTTTGATCACAGGTGGTTTGTCAACGGGTGTTTGATCACAAGCGCTGTGTCCGGCTTTAAACAGGTGTTTTTTTTCCATATTTGGTCTTTGATCACAGGTGTGAGGGTGTCAGGATCTCAACGAATACACAACCAACACGATTGAGGCTGGGTATCACAGTAACCTTTATTTCTCTTTAAACGCGCCACCTAGTCCCACATCAACCTGTCTGCTTTCACTCCAACTTTCAACTGTCCTCCGCATTCGTTCCTACACACCACCTTTCTCCCGCTCACAACACAGCCACTGTCACCCGACCCGTCGCTTTCCTTGTACCCTCGTTCACTCCGTACAACAACATACACGTCAACACACCCGGCCTCGCGTCTCACTACATGATACATACACACACACAGTGACCCGTTCCACGTATTCACCTTTCATACACATTACATCACCACAACAGTTTTTTTTGTCCATATAGGGTCTTTGATCGCAGGTGGTTTGTCCAATGCTGGCGTTTGATAATAAGCGCTTTGTCCATATATTGTAATGAATTATTTTAAATGTTGTGTAATTATATTTTAAATTGCGGCAGGATATATTAATATGTTAATTCATCATATATAAATACAAGTCATCTAAACCATACAATTATTACTTCTTTGACTACACTGTTGGCATGTTTTTTATCCTTTGTCATCCTTTCTATTTACGTATTTCCAAGTACATCTACATTATTTATTTGTGAAACTTGTTATATGTCGCATTATTTATGTTCCATTTAGATTTAAAATAAATTCTATGAGGCGTAGCACCAGCCTTTATGTGGAGACTAAAGTATCGTTTTTTAACTTTTTTTAGTACGTTAATTTCTATTAATGGACTCCCAGGAAACATGTATAAAATCGTATTAATTGTATCACAAATTTAAATCAAATAACAATCTATAATATCTATTTTAAAATCTATATATTATGGTTAACCCCCCTCTGTGGTCAAAGCCCCGCTGTGGTCGAACCCCCTATGGTCAAACCCCCTATGGTCAAACCCCCTATGATCAAACCCCCTATGGTCGAACCCCCTATGGTCAAACCCCCTATGGTCAAACCCGCTATGGTCAAAGCAGCTGTGGTCAAAGCACCTAGGACCCCTGTACATACTTCCTATGCTGACGTCACCACAGGCGAACTCTACACCTACCCAACTCTACTTCAACTGCCAAGTGTCCTGCCAAGTCTCAGACAACATGAGTATATATATATATATATATATATATATATATATATATATATATATATATATATAGATGTATATGTATATACAGGTCTACATAAGAATATATATAGTTGCAATTGTTGTCAACCCACTCCCTTTTGCCTAATAGCGTCAATTTGTACGCACACTATATTAATTCAACTATTCACTCGAGTGGAAAAATCATCGTAAATTATTATATTTTGGTGTCACCCCCTCCCCGGTCGTTGGTTGACTTATTAGTTTTTTCAAATACTTAGAAAAAACCTTCAATCCTCTGTAAATTATGCAGTTAGTGTCACCTCCCCGAGTGATAGTTTTAAAGCGTGCACAGTTAATAGTAAAGATGTTTATCTATGGTCAGTTATTAATACAGTGGATTAACTCGAATGAACCCTTAATTGAACTGACAAAAAGCATTTTCTTGTATATATTTTGTAGGTTTTCGCCAAGGACTCATCGCCCCTAAATAGTGTCTCCGGTGCCGTCCGTACCCTTCGCCTCGGCCTTGCGACACCTCTGTAGAATATAAATACTGTAAAACAATAACATTATGCAGAATTAAGATCCTGTAAAAGAAAAACATTTTTGGGTCTATACATTATTTTTTTTAATGCTTTGACGCTAGATATATGCAATATGTTTTAACAATAAATTGTGTAGTGTGATGGGCTACGATAAGTTATTCATTTGGCTTAGGCAGTGGTGAGGCAGTTTTTTTGTTACTAATTGTGTAGTTTGTTAAATTATTGTCTAAATGAGAATTTAAATAATACTACGAAAGTGTGGAACTACAACAGGTTATAGAACTCACACCGCAAATATTATGGAAAGTATTTTTACGGTTATTTCCCTTTGACCATTTTAAAATTTTAGCAAAACGCTGTAATGATAGAAATCAATATTTAAAACTTTTAAAATTGCTGCAATTTTTAATCGTAAGACAGCTGTCATTTTTGCAGGGGTAGCGGGCAGGTAGCTACGCCACTGTGTTAAGGACAATTTTAGCTACCGTAAGGACCAAATTAGTGATTTTTAACACTGTCAGTACTTCTCCTAATTTTTCGAGTTTGTCAATTAAAATTCCAGTTGCCCTTTAATTAACGAGCTAGGATTAATTTGATTGAAGAACGATAAAATTAAAGTTTAATACTTCAGCAGACGGCCAAATTAAACCGAAAAGTTTCCTGTTTAGTCTTTATAAACTGTTTGAAACACTTTCATCTTTATTTAATGATAAATATGTTCAATTATTTGGGTATTAACACTGCTTAAGTATTTGTTTTGTATTATAAGCTATTCGAAAAACACATCCCCAATGATAATAATCTTGTATACTACTATTTATTTTTATTTTCAATACTTCCCTATTCCCACATTTAGGAAGATGCACAACGCTCGCCAGATGTGTCCTCAACCATCTGATTCACCCATTAGGTCAGTGCTGGCACACAGCAAGCTTATGCCAAATGTGTAGGGGAGGTGGTGGTAGAACGGAAACTTGGACGTCACAAGTTTGGTGCCAGTGCTGGCGACCGATGGCAAGGGTTGGGGTGGGCAGGGGGGGGGCCTGGGCAGGGGTGGGGGTGGGCAGGGGTGGACTGTGCAGGGGTGGGCTGGGCAGGGCATGGGTGGGCTGGGCATGGGTGTACTGGGCATGGGTGGGCTGGGCAGGGGTGGGGTGGGCTTGGCATGGGTGGGCTGGGCAGGGGTGAGCTAAGCAGGGCTGGGCCGGGCATGGGTGGGCTTGGCAGGGTGGACTGGGCTGGGCAGGGCTGGGCTGGGCAGGGGTGGACTGGGCAGGGGTGGGCTGAGTAGGGTTGGGGTGAGCTGGGCATGGGTGGGTTGAGCAGGGGTGGGCTGGGCGGGCATGGGTGGGCTTGGCAGGGGTGGACTTGGCAGTGTTGGGCTGGGCAGTGATGGGCTGGGCATGAGTGGGGTGGGCTGTGATGGGTTGGGCAGGGGTGGGCTAGGCAGTGATGGGTTGGGCAGGGGTGGCTGGGCAGAGGTGGGCTAGGCAGTGATGGGTTGGGCAGGGGTGGCTGGGCAGGGGTGGCTGGGGAGGGGTAGGCTGGGCACGGGTGGCTGGGCAGGGGTGGGCTAGGCAGTGATGGGTTGGGCAGGGGTGTTCTGAGTAGGGGTGGGCTGGGCGGGCATGGGTGGGCTTGGCAGGAGTGGACTTGGCAGTGTTGGGCTGGGCAGTGATGGGCTGGGCATGAGTGGGGTGGGCTGTGATGGGTTGGGCAGGCGTGGGCTAGGCAGTGATGGGTTGGGCAGGGGTGGCTGGGCAGAGGTGGCTGGGGAGGGGTAGGCTGGGCACGGGTGGCTGGGCAGGGGTGGGCTAGGCAGTGATGGGCTGGGCATGAGTGGGGTGGGCTGTGATGGGTTGGGTTGGGGTGGGCTGGGGTGGACTGGGCAGAAACGGTACTGTATCAGGCTAATCAGCTATTTGATGAAAGAAAAGTATTTGTTGTCAAACTAATCCCAGCCCGTGGTGCCAACAAATCAGGTGGCTGGCAAAGTGGGTGTGGTCAACCCTACATGATACACCCTGTCTAACAAGTTTAGGAAGCACCTATTGTTAAAATAGTTATTTAATCATCGTCTTACGAAATTTGTCTAAAGATCCTATTAGGGTTATATTCTTCGAATTTCTTACTAATAACAACATTAAGACATATTGATTACTTAAAGCTAATAATCACATTAAGACATATTGATTACTTAAAGCTAATAATCATATTAAGACGTATTGATTACTTAAAGCTAATAATCACATTAAGACGTATTGATTAAAGCTAATAATCACATTAAGACGTATTGATTACTTAAAGCTAATAATCACACTAAGTAGTATTGATTGCTTAAAGCTAATAATCCTAAGAAGTATTGATTACTAGCATAGTATGCTTGTAAAAATATTAAATTTAGAAATAGTAAACCCTAGTAGCAAATTATTGTTATAACTGCACAATAAAAGTACTTTTCCTTCTCCCCACCCCCTTTCCCCCACCACCCCACAAATTAATTTTTTAAAAGTGTTACTTATGTAATGTGAATGATGCATGTAAGTTTGTAGTTGATTGAAATACAACAACACGTTAGCTTGAAACATTGTCTGTAGTGTTTTTATCATGTCATGTAGGGATTGAACGAACTACTTTTGATCGAGTGAGGAAACAAAACCACTATAAAAAATAAACAATGGAGAACAGGTACAAGTTAGTGTATTCAAAAATTGAATCATTTTTTAATGGCAAACACCTTGACTGTGTAGAGATTTGAATCTAAGCTACTATTTTTTTATTAAAAACATTGAAGGAAGACATTTCCAGAAGATTCTATTTTTTCTCTTGACAAAATTAGGGAAAAAAAAACAACTAACGAACAATATGGCTATACAAGTGTAAACTGAAGTTCCGTATTTCTAAAAAGGTGTTATTTGTTATTTTTACACGTAAAACAAAAAGTTGTAAAATTGATATTCTAGATTTAATGCTAGACAGGTAATTTTTTCTATTTTTTCTTCTAAGATGTGATGTCGGATTTAAAATAAAAAAATCTTTACAAGTTTATAAAAACAATAAGATATTCATCACAGTGTCAGCTTCAATCTATTTTTAATGTGGAAAAATCTTTCGATGTTTGCTTTAGTTTTTTTTTTCTTGCAGATTTCTTGATGTGATTTTCTATTGGGTAGATGGAGTGATGCCCCACTGAAGTGTCAGACAAATACACACAACGTTGCAGACTTGAACGAGCCCTGACTGATGATGATTGCCGTGCTGTTTAGATACGATTTTCTTCTCTAAGTACCGGTACTTCAAAGTTGCTGAGTGACGTTAGGTGATCCCGTGTTGATTCCCGTTGGGACGCTCTCTTGGACTTTCGTTTAGTATTCTTCTAGGTCTTCTTCATCTCCGCTCTCTGTGGAATTCAGACCAACTTCCTCGTAATCTTTCTCTAGGGCCGCAAGATCCTCACGAGCTTCTGAGAACTCGCCTTCTTCCATGCCTTCACCGACATACCTGTAAAATATTTATGTATAAACACATTTCGTTAAAACCAACTTAGCAAATAATCAAACCAATTAAACATTTTGTACACAGAGCTCATTTGTTTACAAACTATTTGCAAACGTAACATTACTTTTTAGAATGTTTAGTAATTTATTAGCTTGTCACACTTAGCTAACGTATTAAAGTTAGATATCAACCTACACATCTATATATATAATTCTCTCCTGGGAGCCGTTAGAAAACAAGCTGCAAGCGCCTCCTTGCAGTCCCCTCTCTTTCTCTCTATCACTATCAATACCACCCACACCCCACCCCCACCTTGTCTGGTGAGCTGTGGTCACGCTAAATGTTTACAAAGCTAAATGTTTACAAATCGTAAAGCCGTAGAGCCGGGTTTCTATTAGGGGCAGATAATTTAGTTCGATTTTAAACTTACAGGAGGTAACTAAGAAATAACTAAGAGGAGGCTGCTTTCACGGGGGGGGGGGGGGGGGGTGTAGGGTCGGGGTTAGGGGAAAGGGGGGGGGGGGGGGGTTAGTGTTTTAAAGCAAATATTTTCAGTGGCAGCATTGGTACTGTCGAATTCACAAATTATGAATTACTGAAAAGTAGAAAATAAAACAACCAAATAGCGGCGTATGATACGCTGCGGGTCGGCTCGTTTTGTTATAACAGGCGACAGTCAGACGACGGTAAACAAGCACAAGTTGTGTTGTGATGTGTGTGTGGGGGGGGGGGGGGGGAGGGTGGTCTTTAGAAATAAAGTATCGGTCATATTCTTGGTGTTGCGTATCTTTACTACATAGCAAAACATGAAGTCAGGTATTGTCTAACACAGATGTGCCGTGAGTCCCATATCTTTACTACATGAAGCCCCAGTACTAACACTGAAATAGCTGTCGTTGAATTATAACATTGCTTGTATGAATAGGTCTATTATCGGTATTGCTGTTAGGGTTCGGGTGAACCATGGGCTATTGATAAGCCTTAGGGTAACAATAAGCGTTAAACAAGAGGGTTAATGATACCAATAATTAATAGTTACTATACAGCCTTCAGGCGATCATAGATGTGCCGCTATTCGGATTTGATTTTTAGGTTGATACATCTAGTGTTTTTTTACACAACTTGTGTACAAGTGTTGGTCTAGAGCAGTATTATCACAGGGCGGTGTGTGTGTGGGGGGGGGGGGGGTGACCATACCAGGTGACACTTCCCAAGGCTAGGGTGCCAACCCTAGTTCACCCCTCACCGTGTGTCTCACTACCTTGTGACGCAATTGAACCAGGCGACCTTCCTATGAAGTTGCTAACCTTCAATCTCGCCACAGTCTAACTGACCACACCCCCTCCTGTAGAGTTGTTAACCTTCAATCTCGCCACAGTGTAACTTGCCCCACCCCCTCCTGTAGAGTTGTTAACCTTCAATCTCGCCACAGTGTAACTGACACCACCCCCTCCTGTAGAGTTGTTAACCTTCAATCTCGTCACAGTGTAACTTGCCCCACCCCCTCCTGTAGAGTTGTTAACCTTCAATCTCGCCACAGTGTAACTGACACCACCCCCTCCTGTAGAGTTGTTAACCTTCAATCTCGTCACAGTGTAACTTGCCCCACCCCCTCCTGTAGAGTTGTTAACCTTCAATCTCGCCACAGTGTAACTGACCCCACCCCCTCCTGTAGAGTTGTTAACCTTCAATCTCGTCACAGTGTAACTTGCCCCACCCCCTCCTGTAGAGTTGTTAACCTTCAATCTCGCCACAGTGTAACTGACCCCCACCCCCTCCCCTCTGGCTAACGTTTCAATCTTTGGGGGTTACAACGAGACAGACCCAAGCTTTGATTAGCAATTAGTCTGGCAGTAGAGTTCTACATCTAGCTTAGATCAGATTAACCTCGCATAGCACATATACAATATTTTATATTAAATGATAGTTTTAAACTAACATTTTACAAATAGACAGAACTATCAAGTTTACGATAAAACAAACATCTGCTGCACTACACTGTGTTCGCCTAATGAAAGTCCCAAACCCACTATCAACTTACCAGTGTACGAAGGCGCGTTTGGCGTACATCAGATCAAACTTGTGGTCCAGCCTAGACCAGGCCTCGCCAATTGCTGTCGTGTTACTCAACATGCAGACTGCCCGGTTGACCTTCGCCAGATCCCCTCCTGGTACGGTGGTCGGTGGTTGATAGTTGATTCCAACCTGTCGGGTACAAGAATGTCGCATTGTGTGAGAATGTCGGGTAGAAGAATGTCGCATCATGTGAAAATGTCGGGTAGAAGAATGTCGCATCATGTGAAAATGTCGGGTAGAAGAATGTCGCATGATATGAAAATGTGTAAAAATATCGGGTAGAAAATGTCGCATGATAAAAAAATTTCGGGGAGAAAAATGTCGCATGATATGTTAATGTCGGGTAGAAATATGTGGCATCATATGAAAATGTCGGGTAGAAAAATGTCGCATCATATAAAAATGTCGGGGAGAAAAATGTTGCATGATATGAAGATGTCGGGGAGAAAATGTCGCATCATATGAAAATGTGTAAAAATGTCGGGTAGAAAATGTCGCATAATATGTAAATGTCAGAAAACTGTCGCATGATATAAAAATGTCGGGTAGAAAAATGTCGCATGATATGAAGATGTCGGGGAGAAAATGTCGCATCATATGAAAATGTGTAAACATGTCGGGTAGAAAATGTCGCATGATATGAAAATGTCGCGTAGAATATGTCGCATGATAAAATATCGTGCAAAAATGGTAGAAAATTATCGCTTCAATTAAAAATGTTGCGTACTAAAATGTCGGGGAGAAAAAAATGTCGTATCATATGAAAATGGGTAGAAAAATGTCGCATGTGAAGATGGTAAACTATAATGCATCATGTGAAATATAAAGCGCTAAGGTTTGTCGAATACGCCAATATATTCGCTTATGGTCAGATTTAGCATTAGTGATACGATCAAGGTAAGAACTAGAGTTGGTGTTGTTAGATCAAGAAACAGGTATCTCTACAAGCCGACGTGTATTGGAGCTTGCTGGATATAGTTTGGAAACCAAGATGTTCAACAATAAGTATGTAACAATATACTTGCACCTCTACTCAGTAAAGTCCAGAGAAAATATGAAGGACCCTGAAATTATCATAGTTAACCTGAAACTACCAATACTAATGCTTATCACTCATGCTAGAGTTCAGTGTTAAGATATTCAGAATTTTGCTTTGTTATGTATTGGGGGCAGTTCTGAAGGGTATCTGACTCATGCTGGGGAAAGAAGTTTACTTGGCATAGTGCTAACCATTACATCACCGAGGTAAAAAAAAACATGAACTCTACTTCACTTGTCCGATGGATATTTAGGTCTTAAATGACGTTTTACTTGATTATAATTATGGGAAAATATCGGTTTTCTGTGGTATGACATGTAAGTCTATGCCGGTACGTCTAATCATCAATGTGAGTAACGCACTAACCTTGAAACCTGTAGGACACCAGTCAACAAACTGAATGTTCCGTTTGGCCTTGATTGAAGCGATGGCTGAGTTGACATCCTTGGGAACGACGTCGCCTCTAAACAGCATACAGCAGGCCATATACCTAAACATCGGTGAAAACATTGCTTATAACATACAGCAGGCCATATACCTGAACATCGGTGAAAACATTGCTTATAACATACAGTAGGCCATATACCTGAACATCGGTGAAAACATTGCTTAAAACATACAGTAGGGCATATACCTGGGCATAGGTCATTGCTTAAAACATACAGCAGGGCATATACCTGGGCATAGGTCATTGCTTAAAACATACAGCAGGGCATATACCTGGGCATAGGTCAATGCTTAAAACATACAGCAGGGCATATACCTGGGCATAGGTCATTGCTTAAAACATACAGCAGGGCATATACCTGGGCATAGGTCATTGCTTAAAACATACAGCAGGGCATATACCTGGGCATAGGTCATTGCTTAAAACATACAGCAGGGCATATACCTGGGCATAGGTCATTGCTTAAAACATACAGCAGGGCATATACCTGGGCATAGGTCATTGCTTAAAACATACAGCAGGGCATATACCTGGGCATGGGTCATTGCTTAAAACATACAGCAGGGCATATACCTGGGCATAGGTCATTGCTTAAAACATACAGCAGGGCATATACCTGGGCATAGGTCATTGCTTGAAACATACAGCAGGGCATATACCTGGGCATAGGTCATTGCTTAAAACATACGGCAGGGCATATACCTGGGCATAGGTCATTGCTTAAAACATACAGCAGGGCATATACCTGGGCATAGGTCACTGCTTAAAACATACAGCAGGGCATATACCTGGGCATAGGTCATTGCTTAAAACATACAACAGGGCATATACCTGGGCATAGGTCATTGCTTAAAACATACAGCAGGGCATATACCTGGGCATAGGTCATTGCTTAAAACATACAGCAGGGCATATACCTGGGCATAGGTCATTGCTTAAAACATACAGCAGGGCATATACCTGGGCACGGGTGAAAACATTGCTTAAAACATTTATTCAACAAGCCAAATACCTGGTAAAACATAACCTACAACAGAATCACAAAAGACTATAATAAGTTCAAGAAAACCATTTTAATTTTTTTCATTTATGTTTTCAGATCAGCCAAACACAATTAGATCTGTGAAACAAGATTTAACCCCCCCCCCCCCCCTAAATACCATTATATACATCCCCACAAACAAACACACACACTGAATAAAACAGTAATAGGACAAAATGACATAAACTAAGATGTCCATACATTCACCAAAGTTACGGCTAGGATTAGGGCTAATAAGGCAAGAGCTAGATTAGGACTAAGGCTAAAATAGCGCTAGGGCTAGAATAGGGCTAATGCTAAATAGGAATAGGGCTAATGCTAAATAGAAATAGGGCTAATGCTGAATATGGCTAGGGCTAGAATAGGGCTATGGCTAGAATAGCGCTACGGCTAGAATAGGGCTAGGACTAGATTATGGCTAGGGCTAAATACAACTAGGTTTGGAATAGGGCTAAAGCTAAATAGGACTAGGGCTTGAATAGGGTTAGGGCTAGACTAGTGTTTGATTAGGGCTAATTCAAGAAAAGGGTTACGGTTAGATAAGGGTAAGGGCTAGAATAAGCTGTCGAAGAATAGGGCTAGGGTAATAATAGGGCAAGGGTTAGAGTAGGGCTAGGGTTAGAATAGGCTAGGGTTAGAATTGGCTAGGGTTAGAATAGGCTAGGGTTAGAATAGGCTAGGGTTAGAATAGGCTAGGGTTAGAATAGGCTAGGGTTAGAATAGGCTAGGGCTAGAATAGGCTAGGGCTAGAATAGGCTAGGGTTAGAATAGGCTAGGGTTAGAATAGGCTAGGGTTAGAATAGGCTAGGGTTAGAATAGGCTAGGGTTAGAATAGGCTAGGGTTAGAATAGGCTAGGGTTAGAATAGGCTAGGGTTAGAATAGGCTAGGGTTAGAATAGGCTAGGGTTAGAATAGGGCTAGGGTTAGAATAGGCTAGGGTTAGAATAGGGCTAGGGCTAGAATAGGCTAGGGTTAGAATAGGGCTAGGGCTAGAATAGGGTATGGGCTAGAATAGTCTTAGAGATAGAGTAGACTAATGTTTGATTAGGGCTAAGTCAAGAAAAGGGCTACGGTCAGATAAGGGTAAGGGCTAGAATAAGGCTGTGGAAGAATAGGGCTAGGTAATAATAGGGCAAGGGTTAGAGTAGGGCTAGGGCTAGAATATGGCTATGGTTAGAGTAGGGCAAAGGTTAAAATAGGGCTAGGCCTAGAATAGGGCTAGTTTGTTTTTAATAGGGCTATGTCTAGAATATGGCTATGGTAGAATAGGGCTAGATCTACAATAGGACTAGAATAGGGCTAGGTTTAGAATAGGACTAGTTTTTATAGTGCTGTCTAGAATAGAGCTAGGGCTAGAATAGGGCTTGTTTTTTTTTTGTTTTTTAAATAGGGGACGTCTAGAATAGAGCTAAAGCTAGAATAGGACTAGGGGTAGAATCGGGCTAGTTTTTTTTTGTTAAATAGGGGGACGTCTAGAATAGAGCTAAAGCTAGAATAGGACTAGGGGTATAATCGGGCTTGGGCTAGAATAGGACGGGCTAAAATATGGCTAGGGCTATAATAGGGATAGAATTAGAGTAGGATAAGGGTTAGAATATGGCTACGGCTAGAATAGGGCTAGGGCTAGAATAGGGCTAGGATTAGAAAAGGGCTAAGGTTAGAGTAGGGCAAAGGTTAAAATATGTCTAGAGCTAAAATATGGCTAGGGCTAGAATAGGGATATGTCAAGAATAGGATTACGGTAGAGAAGTTCTAAGTTAAGAATATGGCTAGAGTTAGAGTAGGGCTAGGGCTAGAATAGGGCTAGAATAGGGATAAGGTTAGAAAAGTATTAGGGCTAGAGTAGGGCTAGGGTTAGAATATGGCTAGGGCTAGAACAGGGATAGGGCTAGAGTAGGGCTAATGCTAAATAGGACTAGGGCTAGAATAGGGCTAGGGCTAGAAAATGGCTAGGGCTAGAATAGGGCTAGGGCTAGAATAGGGCTACGGCTAGAATAGAGCTAGGGCTAGAATAGGGCTAGACTAGATTATGGCTAGGGCTAAATAGGACTAGGGCTAGAATAGGGCTAATGTCAAATAGGAATAGGGCTAATGCTAAATAGGACTAGGGTTAGAATCGGGCTAACGCTAAATACGACTAGGGCTAGAATAGGGCTAGGGTTAGAATAGGGCTAGGGCTAGAATAGGGTATGGGCTAGAATAGGGATAGGGTTAGAATAAGGCTATGTCTATCTAGGGCTAGAATAGGGCTATGGCTAGAATAGGGCTAGGGTTAGAATAGGGCTAAGGCTAGAATAGCCTTATAGATGGAGTAGTGTTTGATTAGGGCTAAGTCAAGAAAAGGGCTACGGTTAGATAAGGGTAAGGGCTAGAATAAGGCTGTGGAAGAATAGGGCTAGGGTAATAATAGGGCAAGGGTTAGAATAGGGCTAGGGCTAGAATAGGGTATTGGCTAGAATAGGGATAGGGTTAGAATAGGGCTAGGGTTAGAGTAGGGCTAGAGCTAGAATAGGGCTAGGGTTAGATTAGGGCAAAGGTTAAAATAAGGCTAGGGCTAGAATAGGGCTAGGGTTAGATTGGTGCAAATGTTAAAATAAGGCTAGGGCTAGAATAGGGATAGGGTTAGAACAGGGCTATGTCTACCTAGGGCCTAGGGCTCGAATAGGGCTAGGGTTAGATTAGGGCAAAGGTTAAAGTAAGGCTAGGGCTAGAATAGGGATTGGGTTAGAATAGGGTTAAAGCTAGAATAGGGCTGGGTTTAGAATAAGGCTCGGCCTCGAATAGGGATATGGCTAGAATAGGGCTAGCTAGGGCTAGTTAGGGCTAGGGCAGGGCTAATATGTGTAGCAAAGCATTAACTTTGAACACATAAAGTTGGAATTTTTAAAGTCACACATAATCCTGTATCAGTAGATGGTTGCTATTTAGATTCTAGATCTAAATCCAGTAAGTTTAAGGCACGCAGGCCATTGTTAGAGCACACAATTAGCAAACCAATAGTCTCGAGTTTGAATCCTGATTAGCGTGTGTTGGTAGCCCATAAGTCGATGAATCTAAGTAGATGGGTACACGACCAAGTTTAAACTTACATGCGGTGTCGATTTTTATTTAAAATAACTTGAGTCTTGAAACAATAGCTGTTTGTCACAGTGATGACCAAACTCTCTATCCATTTGCAGAGGCCAGATAAATTTGTTCATCTGCCACATTGGCAGTGAGGATGCTGAAATTATTCTAAAATAAAAGTAAAGTAATGACAGCACTTACCTGCCGCAGCGTGGGTCACATTTCACCATCTGATTGGCTGGCTGGAAACAGGCGTTGGCCATGTCTGCAACTGTAGTTCTCTCATGGCAGGCCTTGTCGGCAGAGATGACTGGTGCGTACGTGGCTAATGGGAAGTGGATTCTGGGATATGGCACCAAATTGGTCTGGAATTCATTGAGATCGACATTCATTGCTCCCTCGAAACGCAATGATGTGGTGACCGATGAAACCACCTGGCTGATCAGGCGGTTGAGGTTCGTGTAGCTTGGGCGTTCTATGCCCAGGTTTCTGCGGCAAATATCGTATATTGCCTCATTGTCTACCATAAAAGCGCAGTCAGAATGCTCTAGGGTTGTGTGTGTGGTTAAGATGGAGTTGTATGGTTCTACAACAGCGTTAGAAATTTGAGGAGCAGGGTAAACAGCAAACTCTAGTTTCGATTTTTTACCGTAGTCTGCAGACAATCTTTCCATCAAAAGGGAGGTAAAACCCGAGCCCGTGCCGCCCCCAAAGCTATGGAACACAAAGAAACCTTGAAGACCTTCACAGTTATCTGTTAGTTTTCGAATTTGATCAATTACTGTATCTAGAATTTCCTTACCGACTGTATAGTGTCCTCGCGCGTAGTTGTTCGCGGCATCTTCCTTGCCGCTTATTAAACATTCAGGATGAAACAACTTACGGTATTCTCCGGATCGCACTTGATCAATAACATTGGGCTCTAAATCGACAAATACTGAACGAGGTGTGTACTTGCCATCGCCGATTTCACTGAAGAATGTGTTGAATGAATCGTCGATGGGTCCTCCTTCTGCCTCCTCTGGGATCAGTAAACCGTCAGGCTGTATTAAATGTTCCAAACAATATAATTCCCAGCAAGAATTTCCAATCTGCACGCCGGCCTGGCCCAGATGGATAGAGATGCATTCACGCATTTTCAATTTTTCGCGCGAAGCAAATCTCACAGTCCAGCAGAGAGGTAACGGAGGATGTTACGAGGACCCCAATAAACGGCGTTCCTCTTTTCCTTATGATGTTACGAAAGATCAATGTTAGCACTTCTTCTTGCCTACACAGACTCCTGTGCGTTACCGGGCATGACGTGAAAATAAATATGATGACGTACATCCATAACAACACTTTTCTGTGTTGCACATAAAGTCTCGAAACCAAAGTGTTCGACACTTCTCAATGAAAACCCCATTGAAATCCTCAAATGTTTACATACTTGTATTCACGCTAAATAAAATTAACTAAACCATACTTACTGGAAATTATACTAACCGTGATTAATTACAAACAGTTGTAATGTTAACGTAAATAAAATGGGCTTAAAACTTAAGTTTTTAGAACCAAAACAAAGATAGATCTTTTAATGATGGTGCGCAAATGTATAATGAACGCTGGCGACGTTGAACCCGGAAGTAAACATCAAATGGGCGTCTGATGATCAGACCCAAAATAATAATTAATGGCGTGAAATTGTATAAATAGTTTAAAAATAGGTGTTTAGCTTGTTTTGTTGTTACGATTCAGTATTTTACGTTTTAAGATGTCTTCTGCTAAACGTAGTACGAAAAGAATACAAATAAACTTCCGTATTCGCATAAATATTCCTCCTAGATATTATGTTTACATTGTTGGAAATGGCACTGAACTAGGGGAATGGCAGTCAAACTTTGCTAAAGTCATGTCACAGTAAGTAGATCTACCTAATTATATAGAAATGATTTCGGTTTCTTAGCTATTTAAAATCAGGTAGAAATAGGTAGAAATCCTAGTTTATTGTAGCCGTATCGTGAATAGACATTGAGTCTGTTGTCAGTATTATCCATAACCTCATAATAAATGTATAACAGGGTCTGTGCATGTTATTGTTAGCCATTATTATTATAGTGCTCAATCAGAAAGTTATATTAGGTTGGACATGGGTAAGGGCGGATTAATATTACAATTAAGGTACGTTTAATTATTGTTTTTCAATTATTAAATAGCGACAAGTTTGGTTTAGCCAGGGCCAAGGAAAGGGCTTGAAATAGGGTTAGTTAGGGCCAGGGCTAGGTTTGCGATTTAGACTAAGCCAAGCTTTGCACTAAGTATAGGCTAGCGGTAATATCAAAGGTTTGACACGATTAGTCGGTATTCGCCTGTACTAGCTGTACGATTTATGCTGATATGACCGGTACACAAATACCGGTTGTATTTTATTTACAAAGCCGTCAAATATTTTTTTCTTCTAAACAGGTATATTAATATGTATATATATATATATATATATATATATATATATATATATATATATATATATATATGTGTGTGTGTGTGTGTGTGTATACAAATCTACATAACAATGTGTGTATGTTATATGCATATGACATGTACATATGTATACTATTAATTTTGTATTCTAATGCCCAGACGTGAAGCCAGCCATATCTGGCAGCTAACTCTGCTGCTAAAGAGCCCAGCGGTCTACAGATACAGATACTTCGTCGGTCGACCGTTACGTAACATTAACCAAACGCCCATTGCCTGTGTCGACGAGTAAGTAGCGCGGATGACCGTGTGTTACCTCACCTAATGTAGCTGGGCTTTCATATTTTTATTTTATTTATGTAAACATGAACAAAGAGAATATGAATTTTCGTTGACAGAGGCGTAGCAAGAGGGGGTGGCGGGGGTACATGTGTACCCTAGGGGGCGCCAAAATGAGTTAGAAAAAAAATTGCAAGCTCAATTTAGCTACAGTTTTGCATTATAAACATTTAAAAAAATGGGGGGGGGGGGTCGCCAAATTGAAAGTTTGTTCCCGGGCGGGATGGAGGGGGGGGGGGCGCCAAATTGAAAGCTTGTCCCCGGGCGCCGGGAAGGGTCTCTACGTCTCTACGCCTCTGTTTGTTGACGATGTTTGCTGAAGAGGTATCACAAGCGCAATCTTAACCCTGACCTAAACCTTGATCCTGTTGCTATTCCTAACACCAGTCCCAATCATAACGCTAATTTAAACCCCGATTCTTAAATAGACGCTAATTTAAACCCCGATACTTAAATAGACGCTAATTTAAACCCCGATACTTAAATAGACGCTAATTTAAACCCCGATACTTAAATAGACGCTAATTTAAACCCAGATACTTAAATAGACGCTAATTTAAACCCCGATACTTACATAGCCACTGAGATGAATACATTACAGAAATGTAACTTCCATACAATACCAACCTTTGGCTGGTGACAGCAAAGAAAACTGGGCGTAGTGCTGACCACTCTAGGTCTTCATAAGCCGGGGTCACTGGTGAACGATACGTCATCAGCCATTGTTGATCTTCTCATCTGAACGATGACGTTTATATGATACGAGATTACTCTCTTGAGAGTAGCATCAGTGGTGTCAGCATTGTCAGTCGTGCTAGTAGTGTCGGTAATGTCAGTGTTGTCAGTATAGACATTACTGACAATGCTGACACTGCTGATAGTAAATTTAATAATAATGAGAGTGATGTTAGTAGTGTCAACACTGACAGTATTGTCTTTAGTGTCAGTACCACAACTACAGCTACATAGGTTAGCACTAGTGTTTATGTGGACTCAATAAGCACGTGTTTATTTTTAGAGTCAACATGGATTTTGTGGACTCGTATTGGAACTCAGTTTGTTATTGGGAGACGACATTACCCAGCAGAATGCTGCACACTAGGTGGGTAGATGATTGTCCAGCATCTGGCATGCTAGGTTAGTAGTTTCTTGTCCAGCATCTGTCATGCTAGGTGGGTAGTTTCTTGTCCAGCATCTGGCATGCTACATGCTAGGTGGGTAGTTTCTTGTCCAGCATCTGGCATGCTAGGTGGGTAGTTGATTGTCCAGCATCTGTCATGCTAGGTGGGTAGTTGATTGTCCAGCATCTGTCATGCTAGGTGGGTAGATGATTGTCCAGCATCTGGCATGCTAGGTGGGTAGTTTCTTGTCCAGCATCTGTCATGCTAGGTGGGTAGTTTGTTGTCCAGCATCTGGCATGCTACATGCTAGGTGGGTAGTTTCTTGTCCAGCATCTGGCATGCTAGGTGGGTAGTTGATTGTCCAGCATCTGGCATGCTAGGTGGGTAGTTTGTTGTCCAGCATCTGGCATGCTACATGCTAGGTGGGTAGTTTCTTGTCCAGCATCTGGCATGCTAGGTGGGTAGTTGATTGTCCAGCATCTGTCATGCTAGGTGGGTAGTTTGTTGTCCAGCATCTGGCATGCTAGGTGGGTAGCATGTTGTCCAGCATCTGGCATGCTACATGCTAGGTGGGTAGTTTGTTGTCCAGCATCTGGCATGCTACATGCTAGGTGGGTAGTTTCTTGTCCAGCATCTGGCATGCTAGGTGGGTAGTTGATTGTCCAGCATCTGTCATGCTAGGTGGGTAGTTTGTTGTCCAGCATCTGGCATGCTAGGTGGGTAGTTGATTGTCCAGCATCTGTCATGCTAGGTGGGTAGTTGATTGTCCAGCATCTGGTATGCTAGGTGGGTAGTTTGTTGTCCAGCATCTGGCATGCTAGGTGGGTAGTTTCTTGTCCAGCATCTGTCATGCTGCATGCTAGGTGGGTAGTTGATTGTCCAGCATCTGGCATGCTAGGTGGGTAGTTTCTTGTCCAGCATCTGGCATGCTGCACACTAGGTGGGTAGTTTCTTGTCCAGCATCTGGCATGCTAGGTGGGTAGTTTCTTGTCCAGCATCTGGCATGCTAGGTGGGTAGTTGCTTGTCCAGCATCTGGCATGCTACATGCTAGGTGAGTAGTTTCTTGTCCAGCTTCTGTCATGCTACATGCTAGGTGGGTAGTTTCTTGTCCAGCATCTGTCATGCTGCATGCTAGGTGGGTAGTTTCTTGTCCAGCATCTGGCATGCTAGGTGGGTAGTTTGTTGTCCAGCATCTGGCATGCTAGGTGGGTAGTTTCTTGTCCAGCATCTGATATGCTGCATGCTAGGTGAGTAGTTTGTTGTCCAGCATCTGGCATGCTAGGTGGGTAGTTTCTTGTCCAGCATCTGATATGCTGCATGCTAGGTGAGTAGTTTGTTGTCCAGCATCTGCCATGCTACATGCAAGGTGGCTAGTTGTTTGTCCAGCATCTGGCATGCTGTACACTAGGTGAGTACTTTCTTGTCCAGCATCTGCCATGTTAGGTGAATAGTTTCTTGTCCGGCATCTAACATACTAGGTGAGTAGTTGCTTGTCCAATATCTGGTATTCTGTACACTAAACTTCTAGCCTGCTACATGCTAGGTGGTTAGCTGTTTGTGCAGCATATGGAATGCTACATGCTAGGTGGTTAGCTGTTTGTCCAGCATATGGAATGCTAGGTGGTTTGCTGTTTGTCCAGCATATGGAATGCTGCATGCTAGGTGGTTAGCTGTTTGTCCAGTATCTGGCTTGCTGCATGCTACATGCTAGGAGAGTATTCCAGCATGTAGCTGCATGAAGGTGGGTTGTTTCGTCTTAAGCATGTCGTATTGAGCGGCAGTTAATCAACGTTGTTGTTTACATAGACGGAGTCGGCAATAGCCAGAAAACTGGGGTCAGTCAGTACAAAGGCTATAATTATAACAAACAGACAAATATATCTATCTTCTATTTGTAGACGTAAAATGTTGAATATGTTCTAAAAGAATGCATCTTGTTTTAGTAAATAGGAACCGTGTAAACACTTACTAACAGTGTAACGTAACACGTAAAATGAACCTTCTATCCAAGACACAAAAAATTGCCGGATGTGTCTGACATGATGTTTTTCAATCCTTGAAACAAAATCTGTTCTCAGAAATTTGCCAGATGTCTATGACCTGCCGTTGGTTGACCTTGAGAAGCGCTTAAACCCGTTCCAGGATTGGTCGGTGGGATGGGTACAGGACGCCTCTGAGATCCGGCTCAGGATCCGGTGCTTGGACTCTATACAGATGGCCCTGCAGACTAAAGAGGAGGAGAGGCTTAGAGTTAAGTAAGTTGGGTTAGTGGCAGTGACAGAGTGAAGTCGTGTAAGTTGGGTTAGTGTCAGTGTGACGTCAGTGTAAGTTGGGTTAGTGTCAGTGTGACGTCAGTGTATGTTGGGTTAGTGTCAGTGTGACGTCAGTGTATGTTGAGTTAGTGTCAGTGTGACGTCAGTGTAAGTTGGGTTAGTGTCAGTGTGACGTCAGTGTAAGTTGGGTTAGTGTCAGTGTGACGTCAGTGTAAGTTGGGTTAGTGTCAGTGTGACGTCAGTGTAAGTTGGGTTAGTGTAAGTGTCAATGACAGGGTGAAGTCAGTGTCAGCGACCAAAGTTAGCTGACTGCAGGTGTGGGATTCAATTTATTTTTATTTGGTCAAATTCTCACCCCTTACCTTACACCCCCCCCCCTTGACCCTTTTCACCCACTTCACCTCGGTATAACCGACTTGAGTAATATTATTTTAGTTTACTACATAAGGATATCAAACCATGACCTATGTTCACAATGCCACCATGACCTATATTCACAATGTCACCATGACCTCCCCAGATGTTCTCCAATAGACTTCCAGGAAATGATCCTGCCGACGGTCAGCCCGACTAAGCTGGGATGTAAGCCTGAAGAGAGTGACCTCTACCAAAGGGTCATCAGCGCCACCAAGCTGTCCATATCCGTCCTGGCCAACTCGCCCTGTGGCCCCGGGGGATTCACACTGCCCGACTGCGCCAACAAAACGCCCATATTCGCTACCGACGCTATGGTAACTAAGGTAATGCTAATTAGCTATTCGTCTTAATTAATTTTTTGTCTTTTGGATAAAGACTAATGACATATGGCTGTTGTTAATATGTTATCAACCTTGATTGTAAGGCTGGCTTGGTGGATTAAAGGAATAGTGCCATAATGTCTGGCGAGGGTTGGATGTATAATATCGATTAGTTAAATGATTGGCATGAGGTGTGTCGAGATGAAACTTAGGGTAAGGTTTCGAATTTAACATTGGGTTAGGATCACAATACAGCGCTTACATAAAGATTGGTTTTATAGTGAGAACTAGGGCGATGGTTAGGATAGAGATAGCAGCAGATAAACAAACACCCACCGGGTCTAGACTATATAGACTAATACACCCTACTGAATGTAGGCTTTTGTCTAACAAGCCCCCCCCCCCAACTCTGTGGTCTAACAAGCCCCCCCTCCCCCTAACTGTGTCTGTGGTCTAACAAGCCCCCACCCCCCAGTCTGTCTAACAAGCCCCACCCCAACTGTGTCTGTGAACTAACAAGCCTCCCCCCCCCAACTCTGTCTGTGGTCTAACAAGCCCCCTAACAACCACCCTACCATGTGTAGCACCCATTAAAAGTTCCACTGTTTTTGTTACTGTCCCCACCAGCTCAGCATAAATCCCGCCCCCCAGCCGGAGCCTGAGACCGCCCGGTGCCAGCTACAAGTCGACGGGTACTTCAGCTTCAACATCTTCACCATGTTTCCAGGGGCTCTTGGCTTCAGGTCAGTTCTACAGCTCAATCATAGTGGGTGGGATTTGGAGGGGGGGGGGGCATTAATGACGTCTCCTCACCGAATACATCAACAATATTCCCTCATTGAAACTCGTCGTCAAACTGATGCTGCAATTCTATCAAATTATAATGATCATTGTGATGAAAAATAACCAAAATTCAACAAATTCTTCCTAAAATATATGCCACTTAACATTATTTAACACCATTCAAACAATCTCCAATTCTGAACACATCCTACCACTCCCCCCCCCAACCACTTTTGAAGTTTGACGATACAAATTCAACCATGTATGAAAACCCTATAGGAGCGCAATAATTTTTCTGTGTTTTCTAGACTTACCATTCATATTTACTCCCGCAACAATAAATATGTCCTGTTGTTTTTCAATAAGAATTTTACCCCCCCCCCCCCCCATTCCCACCCTCTCTCTCCAACACTTACCAATTGTACGCGAGTAAAAACAAAAACGCGATACAACTAGAAATCTGTAAGCTGGTGTTTAGGGGGATTTAAAGCGTTAATGTGCGTAATAGTTATGGTTGATTCAACGTGTTAATGTACGTTATGTTAATTGAATTAATCAAATGTGCATGAGTACGTGACGTTGTGTTCTGGAGCTAATGAGATGCATTCATCTGATTGCCAGGATGGAGTTCTATGTATCAGAACCTGTTGAGGACAAAATGGTCGGGTACTCGTACATTCTGCCCGTGTCAACACCTAAAGCAGTTAAACAGGTAATCAGGGCAGTTAAACAGGTAATCAGGGCAGTTAAACAGGTAATCAGGACAGTTAAACAGGTAATCAGGACAGTTAAACAGGTAATCAGGACAGTTAAACAGGTAATCTGGGCAGTTAAACAGGTAATTAGGGCAGTTAAACAGGTAATCAGGACAGTTAAACAGGTAATCAGGGCAGCTAAATAGGTAATCATGGCAGTTAAACAGGTAATCAGGGCAGTTAAACAGGTAATCAGGACAGTTAAACAGGTAATCTGGGCAGTTAAACAGGTAATTAGGGCAGTTAAACAGGTAATCAGGGCAGTTAAACAGGTAATCAGGGCAGTTATATATAATCAGGGCAGTTAGACAGGTAATCATATCAGTTAAACAGGTAATCAGGGCAGTTATATATAATCAGGGCAGTTATATATAATCAGGGCAGTTATATATAATCAGGGCAGTTATATATAATCAGGACAGTTAAACAGGTAATCAGGGCAGTTAAACAGGTAATCAGGGCAGTTATATATAATCAGGGCAGTTAGACAGGTAATCAAGAAAGTTAAAAAGGGCAAACAGTGTGGTTGTGTGTGGAAATGAGGGTGGGGGTGACTGGTAGAATTGTGTGATAATGCGAGGACTTTTGTGACTAACAAATCATTAAGTTAGATTTGGACTTAGTGGTAAGTTATGTCGTGGTTGTTACAACGGTTAAAAAGTGATTGTATAGACTATCTAGATAAGCTTTATTGATGGAGTAGTCAAGTTCTGATGGTTTTTGTTAGCGTCAGTAGGTTGAAGTTAATTTTTGTGGATAACGTTAATGTTTGTGGATTATGTTAAAGTTTATGGATTATGTACGTGCATTTACCGTACACGTATATTTGATTTACTTAATTTTGTAATTAGTTGCAGTTTTCAGAGATGTTTTCACTGTGAGCGTGTGTGTGTTTGTGCGTGCGTGCGTGCACGCGCGTGCATGTGTGTATAGTGTAGAGATTGCCTCAAATGTGCTTAAATTTTAGTAGACTGTGTATGAATATTTGGAATTTTGTCTCATTGATGACTTGTTGATATAAATAATGAATTGATTAACTGCTCCTATAGTTTCCGGTGTTTTCACCAACGACCCAACAGATAGGTCACGTGATTGTGGACTGGATGTTGATCTCACCGACACCAGATCTGGACCACAACATGGAAGTAGGTCAAGGTCGTATGTCAGGGTCATTTCGGTTGGGTGATTCCAAGTCGGTGCTAGATGGAAGGATTGTGGTGTGGCGTCACTAGGTGGGGGTGTCAATACGGTGATATCAATGGGTGGGGTGTCACTGGGAGGGGTGTCAATACGGTGATATCAATGGGTGGGGTGTCACTGGGAGGGGTGTCAATACGGTGATATCACTGGGTGGGGTGTCACTGGGTGGGGTGTCACCATGACGGCGACACTGGGTGGGTGTTACCATGATGGTGTCACTGGGTGGGTGTTGCCCTGATGGCGTCACTGGGTGGGGTGTCAATACGGTGATATCACTGGGTGGGGTGTCACCATGATGGTGTCACTGGGTGGGTGTTGCCCTGATGGCGTCACTGGGTGGGGTGTCAATACGGTGATATCACTGGGTGGGGTGTCACCATGATGGTGTCACTGGTGGGTGTCACCATGATGGTGTCACTGGTGGGTGTCACCATGATGGTGCCACTGGGTGGGGTGTCAATGGGTGGGGTGTCACCATGATGGTGTCACATGGTCATCGTGGGGTGTCACCGGGTGGTTTGTCACCATGATGGTATCAACCATGTTGGGTGTCACCATTTAAGGTTGTTACTGGTAGGAGTGTCACAATGATGGTGTCACTCGAAGGGGTGTCACCATGATGGTGTCACTTGGTGGGTTGTCACCATGATGGTGTCACTGGGTGGGGTGTCACCATGATGGCGTCACTGGGTGGGGTGTCACCATGATGGTGTCACTGGGTGGGGTGTCACCATGATGGCGTTACTGGGTGGGGTGTCACCATGATGGTGTCGTTGGGTAGGGTGTCACCATGATGGCGTCACTGGGTGGGGTGTCACCATGATGGTGTCACTGGGTGGGGTGTCACCATGATGGTGTCACTGGGTGAGGTGTCACCATGATGGCGTCACTGGGTGGGGTGTCACCATGATGGTGTCGTTGGGTAGGGTGTCACCATGATGGCGTCACTGGGTGGGGTGTCACCATGATGGTGTCACTTGGTGGGTTGTCACCATGATGGTGTCACTGGGTGGGGTGTCACCATGATGGTGTCACTGGGTGGGGTGTCACCATGATGGTGTCACTGGGTGGGGTGTCACCATGATGGTGTCGTTGGGTTGGGTGTCACCATGATGGTGTCGTTGGGTTGGGTGTCACTTGGTGGGGTGTCTGGATGTGTTGTCACCATGATGGTGTGACATTACCTGTCAGATGTATGTCATACAATATTTCAGGTCTCCTACCAGAACTATTGGAAGACAGAGAGGAGGAAGTCAGGACAGGACACCACTGAGTATGGCTTTGGTCGCAGCTTCCTGTGAGTGGCGAGACTAGCTGCTATGTCTTGTGTGATGTTAGCTAGGCTCACTTTTGTGATGTTAGCTAGCTTTACGTTTGTGATGTTAGCTAGGCTCACGTTTGGGATGTTAGCTAGGCTCACGTTTGGGATGTTAGCTAGCCTCACGTTTGTGATGTTAGCTAGCCTCACGTTTGTGATGTTAGCTAGCCTCACGTTTGTGATGTTAGCTAGCCTCACATGTGTGATGTTAGCTAGCATCACATTTGTGATGTTAGCTAGGCTCACATTTGGGATCTGTTTTTAGTTAAGCACCTTTTTTCCGTTCGTGCCAAAGACATATTGAGCATATAAGGGACATTGTGGTCAACATTATCCCCAGCCGCTTATGTTTCACAAACGTGGGTCAGGGACCCGTCAGAGCTGTGTGGCACGTGCTACAGACTTGAACCCGGGATCCGAGACTTTCGAGATAGCAGTCTCTCTGCTATTAGTTTTTTTTGTGAGAGATCGTCTCTTTTCAATGTCTTGTTGGTGTATTCAATTATCACAAGTTGGTGAAAGTGTCAGTTTGTAATGCCTTTAGCAACAAATCCAGTAAATAACTCCCTATATACTTAAATCAATCAAATGTTCAAGTGTTTTTGCCTACTCCCATTTGCCACCAGACACAAGAAGATCATCCGAGTCAAGGAGAACACGCTGGCATCGCTGTACACAGCAGGGGAGGAGAAGGCAAACTTTCTTCATCTCGCCATACAACTCACCAAAGACAAGGTGAAGAAATGCTCTAAATAGGCTTCAGTCATCCCGGGCAGATGGGCTCGATAGCTGGGGACAGCAACTGTTATAGGAGAGACAACTCCAAAATCAAACAACTGCTGCCTTGTAGTTTGTTCTTGGTTGGACAAAGGCTATAAAAAAAGATCCAAAAAGAAAAGCAGGCTAAAATCGGAGTCAACGGTCTATAATGGCGCATCACAAGTTGACACATTTAATGCTTAATTGTATTGGAGGAAATCCGTTTCATCACTAAATTAAGGGCGTGAGATCCGGAAAAAAACGGGGAAAAAACTTTTAAATTAATAAGCCTTTTTATTTATTTGCATGTACCAGGGACTCTTCTGAAAATATGGTTACCGTAGAAACCCCTCATATAATCATTGATCCGTTTTGTACTAGCACCAATAGAGTCAGCTGGCTAGGTTTTGTAATCGAAAAACACCTAGAAATTTTTTGTTTCAAATTTTCAAAAAAAAATTTATGGTGAAATTCCATTGAATTTAGCATTAATTTCAATGGAATTTCGCCATAAAGAATTTTGAAAATTAAAACAATATTTCTGGAATGTTTTCTTATAGAAAAACTAGCCAGCTGACTCTATTAGTGTTAGTACATGAAGGATCAATGGTTATATAGCCGATGTATATGTTAGTTTATGAAATTTTAGAACTCCAGAAAAGGGTGTCTTTTTCAAGATGGCCGCCTTTGCCATGACAACCATAATTTCAAAAGAGTCCCTGATGCATGGAAATATTTTCCTTTACCCTAACTTACATACACAGAAATAAATCAATAAAACATTTTAATTAAGAAGTTGGCTTTATCTGGAGCCTATCACCTTAAGAACGAAGTACAAGAAGTCTTACAAAAGTCTTACAGTCCAAATAAAAGTGCGGGGTAAAAAATATATTTGCAGGTGCCGGTGTTGTTCCACGCCTTCAAGGTCATGCTGGCGTACCACAGGAGGAGCCACGAGACGGAGTTCTACATGGCACCGGTCAAAGATCTGGAACACACGTTCTTGAGAGCTCTGAAGATTTCTTATCACCCCAAAACACGAAAGTTCATGGTCAGTTTAGTGTGACGTCAGTTGCACTCATAGTCAGTGTAGTGTGACGTCAGTTTCATTCATGGTCAGTTTGGTTTGACGTCATTTTAATGAATTGGTCAGTTTAGTGTGACGTCATTTGCACTCATGGTCAGTGTAGTGTGACGTCCGTTTCATTCATGGTCAGTTTGGTTTGACGTCATTTTAATGAATTGGTCAGTTTAGTGTGACGTCATTTGCACTCATGGTCAGTGTAGTGTGACGTCCGTTTCATTCATGGTCAGTTTGGTTTGACGTCAGTAGCATTCATGGTCAGTTTGGTTTGACGTCATTTTAATGCTCGGTCAGTTTAGTGTGACGTCAGTTGCATTCATGATCTCTGTATAGCTTCGTCATTGAATGCATGGTCAGTTTAGAGTTAAGTCAGTTTAGTTCAGGATCAGTGTGTACTTATCCAAAGCATGCCAGATCTGGGTCAGTTTAGAGGTAGGTCCATGATCAGTGTATAGTTACTGCATTTTAATTGTGCATTTGAATTTATGGTCAGCTTAGTGCTACGTCATTTCAGTTCTCGGTCAGTTTAGAGTTACGTCACGCTTTAAATTAATCAACTTAAATACAGATCATTAAAGCCTCATTAGTTAACAAAGAGAGCCACAATAATTCGTTTGTGTTTCGTCAGTCTATGACAGTAGATGTGTCATTTAAATTGACACTATTAATATGACAGTGACATTCGCTGTGATATAACAGCAGCTACCACTGACGGATATTTGATTGAAATAGTACTTTTATGTAGGACTGGTATCAGCTTGATGGACTGACACAGAAATAATTTTCTCTATGCTATCCATGTACCTATCGCAGGAGCAAGGGACAGATAGAGACCCACTGGACCTAGAGCCGTTCCCGACCCTGGAGAATTGTCTGGAGAAAATTGGACAGGACATTGGTTTCCTCATAGAGGTAGATGTGTGTTTACGTGGGGTGTTTACGTGAAGTGTGTGTGTGTTTACGTGAGGTGGGTTGTGTGTTTACGTTAGGTGTGTGTGTGTTTACGTTAGATGAGTGTGTATGTGTGTGTTTTTCCTGAGATGAGTGTGTTTTTGTGTGTTTACGTGAGGTGGGTTTGGTTGATTACGTGAGGTGTGTGTTTACGTGAGTTGGGTGTGTGTGTGTGTTTACGTGAGGTGGGTGTGTTTGTGTGTTTACGTGAGGTGGGTTTGGGTGATTACGTGAGGTGTGTGTTTACGTGAGTTGGGTGTGTGTGTGTGTGTTTACGTGAGGTGGGTGTGTGTGTATACGTGAGGTGTGTGTGTGTGTTTACGTGAGTTGAGTGTGTGTTTTTACATGAGGTGGGTGTGTGTTTGTCAGGTGTGTGTACACGTGAGTTGTGTGTGTGTGTGTACATGTTACGTGTGTATGTTTACCGTGAACTAGATAAATAGATATTCAACACGTTAGATCCTTCACGTCTGACTTGTGTATGTGTGTGTATGTGTGTGTTTGTGTGTGTATGTGTGTGTATGTGTGTGATCACGTGAGGTAAATATGCGCCACATGACCCAGGCTTATATTTACCCTCCCCAGAGGCGTAGCGAGGGGGGGGTGAAATTAGTACCGGGCGCCGACCTTAGGGGGGGGCGCCAAAATGGGTTTGAAAAACAAATTGAAAGTTTGAGGGGGGGGGGGATGCAAATCGAAAGTTTGATCCGGGGGGGGGGGAGGGGTGCAAATCGAAAGTTTGTCCCCGGGCGCCGGGAAGGGTCACCACGCCTCTGATCCTCCCCCTCCCCCTGAACCTACTGGCAGGTCAAACATCCTCAAGTAACCACCAGTAACCAGATAGAGCTGGACGATTACTTTGACCACAACACCGCCCTGGACGTAATCCTAAACACCGTGTTTAATCTGGCGGCTAAGCGGAGGATAATCTTTACCTCTACCGACCCCGACACGTGCGTCATGCTGCAGCGAAAACAGAATCGATACCCTGTTTTATTCAGGCTTAAGGTTAGTACTCGATTACATTGTCTTCAAGATTTATGTGGCGCATTCTATAGAAAGACGCACTTAACCTTACTGGAGACAACAGTATCTCGGAGATCTAGATATATCAAAATCCATACCCCAAAACCTAAACTAATGATTAAAATAACGCAGATTCCTACTCGTATTCGGCTGAAAGTAGAGGTTGGAGCATTTCATCTTTCACAAACAGTTGTCACTATACTTAAAATTTCAGCCAATCATCATATTGTTACCACCCTCTCCCCCACCCCCCACAGTTAAACAAGAGTGGCCACCCCTACTACCAAGACCTCCGGGCCGGATGTGTGGACACGGCCCTGCAGTTCGCCGTAGCCGAGCGCTTCCTGGGCGTGTACCTGTCCACCTACCAGGTGCTCAAGGACCTACAGGTGATAGATCAGGCGCAGAAGATGGGACTGGTGGTCTTTGTTTATGCGGACGGCAACTTTAACATTGATCTCACTAATCCACTAGCTAGGTAGGTCGTTGTATAAAAATGGATCTGACTAATCCGTTAGCTAGGTAAGTCGTTGTATTAACATGGATATGACTAATCCGTTAGCTAGGTAGGTCGTTGTATTAACATTAATCTGACTAATCCGTTAGCTAGGTAGGTCGTTGTATTAAAATGGATCTGACTAATCCGTTAGTTAGGTAGGTCGTTGTATTAAAATGGATCAGACTAATCTGTTAGCTAGGTAGGTCGTTGGATTAAAATGGATCTGACTAATCCGTTAGCTAGATAGGTCGTTGTATTAAAATGGATCTGACTAATCCGTTAGCTAGGTAGGTCGTTGTATTAACATTTATCTGACTAACCCGTTAGCTAAGTAAGACTTTGAGTCACTTATGTTGAGCCCACGTGACTTTTGTTGAGCCCACGTGACTTTTGTTGAGCCCACGTGACTTTTGTTGAGCCCACGTGACTTTTGTTGAGCCAACGTGAATTTTGTTGAACCCACGTGACTTTTGTTGAGCCCACGTGACTTTTGTTGAGCCCACGTGACTTTTGTTGAACCCACGTGACTTTTGTTGAGCCCACGTGACTTTTGTTGAGCCAACGTGAATTTTGTTGAACCCACGTGACTTTTGTTGAACCCACGTGACTTTTGTTTAGCCCACGTGACTTTTGTTTAGCCCACGTGACTTTTGTTTAGCCCACGTGTTTTTTGTTGAGCCCACGTGAATTTTGTTGAACCCACGTGACTTTTGTTTAGCCCACGTGACTTTTGTTTAGCCCACGTGACTTTTGTTGTGCCCACGTGACTTTAGTTGAGCCCACGTGACTTTTGTTGAACCCACGTGACTTTTGTTGAGCCCACGTGACTTTTGTTGAGCCCACGTGACTTTTGTTGAGCCCACGTGACTTTTGTTGAACCCACGTAATCCAAGCAATCCTTGCTTCTCTTTCCACTTTCCTAAAGATTGCTTAGGTCCTAATTCTTTACACGGAGTTCGTTTTGTTAATGAGAAAGATTTCACCAGATCGTTTATCAATCGCAGTAATATTTTTTTTCTACGTGATATATATTTAATACTGTCAGTCCAATAGCATTTAACTCTTATAAATCCCGAAACTTCAATTTATTACATATGAATCTTTTGCCCCAGGCTGACCCCTCCTTCCCCGCACACCGTTGTGACGCCCTAACTTCTGCTTGAGTTTAACTCTCTGATGGTACTTCCCAGGCACAAGGTGGACGGGTTGTGCACGAAGATGCTGGGGTTCACAGAGGTCAAGGACAAGCACGAGCCTGTCTTCCATCTGTCAGAGTCGAGAAGTAACTCTGAGAAGGTCACCAAGGTCATCTTAGAGGGCGGCTTCCAACCCAGGTAATATTTATTTATTTAAGTCCAAGGACGTTCCCTCAACTTAGCCCGTATCTAAACTCCAATCCTTATCGTGACCCTAAGGGGTCATCATAAATGACGTCACACTCGTAGGGGGGAGGGGGGGTCCGTAATTTTGTGATGATGTGTGATGAGGGGGAGGGGGGTTCAGATGTTGCGACGTCACATTTTTGCATTATAAAAGGGCAATGTTAGAAAACGAATTTTAGACGTTATTTCGCGTTTTAGATAACTGTTTTAATAAATTGTAATAGTTTAGATAAGATTTTGGAAAAATATCGATGTTTTAAAAAAATTCAACTGCAATTTTGAGGGGGGGGGGGGGGTTGTAGGTTGAGGTGTGACGTCATTTTAATGGTGGGGGGGGGTCTGGCTTTTTGTGACGACGTGTGACGTAGGGGAGGGGGGGGGGGTAAAAATCGTCATAAAAATCGTGACGTCATTTATGGATGACCCCTAATCCCAAGACTTTATCTGAACCCATCCCTGAACAAAATCCTAATCCTGGCCATAATCCCTAGATTTTCTCCCTGAATCTATACCTGAATACTATCCATTAGGCCTGCACCAAATATATGCACACAGTTCTATTTGTGTTGTAACAATGTGTATGTGATATTCTCAGTGCTATGAAAACTGCAGACAGACTATGTTACATGATGAAACCATGAAATCTGATGTCTACTTTGGACCTTGGATTCACCAATTCCTTGGAGAAAAAAATAAGTGTTCTCAGTAAAGAATAAAAACGATCAGTTGCAGTAAGGTATTATAGCTGTGTATTGTCTATTGTCTTGTTATTGGTGCTCATTGTGCAGAAAACTACAGTGTCTTTATATATGTACAAAACCTATGGGAAAAATGAATTAAAAATCTTGAATGAACCGAGGTTGTCTCCCTTATTTCGAATTCAATTTAATTTTCTCTACTTTAACAAAATTATTGTTTTTTTTTATGCTGGTGAGGGTACGTTGAGAGGATTTTTTTTGTATTAGATATATCATAATATAGAATAGTGTTGTAATGTTTACAAAGCAGTTTCTAAATAAATATGGAGAGGGGGAAGAATCGTTATAAAAATCTATCCAGTAGCTTGTAAGTTACCTGCCCCTATTGTGTTAGTGTTCGTTGAAATAAGCCAACCGTGTACTAGAAAGAGTTTACGCTTGACGTCTTCCTGATCATGCCATGGCTAGTATTAGTATTTTTTTAAAAATCTTGTTATCTCCCCTTTTATTGTTGAATTTAGTAATTTTTAAATTTACATTTTAATGACTAATTGTCTACCTAATTTGATTATAATTCGATATTCTTGCATTCTCATCAAAGATCGACCACTGTGCCGAATTCCAGCTCAATACGACGATGGGAAGTGGGTTAAAATATTATTTCAAGATTTGCCACATAGATGTGGGATTGTCCACCTTTGTGCACTGTTGTCTAGTGGGTGTAGTATTGTCTACATAGATGTTGGACTGTCCATATACTTGTAGGACTGTCTACATAAATGTAGGACTATAGGACTGTCTACATACATCTAGGACTGTCCACATATATGTAGGACTGTCTACATACATGTTGGACTGTCCACATTAATACAATACTATCAACACTTGTACTTTGTGTGTTTGTGTTTTGCTACTAGCGTGTGTTTGTGCACTCGAAAATTTTCTACTCATGTTGTAATCGTGTGCATCATTCATTAAAGTTGGTGTACTCACCAACAGGATAAAGCCACACATATGCATGTAAAACCTCAGCGCTATTGTCCTATAACAAAACACAACACCTGGTGTTGCTAGACTTTATGCACAATACCGCAACACTTTATAAATTTTTTACACGGGGACGTATCCCATAATCTTCTCATATAAAAGAAAGCTATCTGTTTAGAATTTGACTTAATCTTCCCGTTCGTTTGTATGAAAACAATAAAACCAACATAAATATTAGTTAACTTGAACAAAATACTGCTTATAATCAATCCTGTTTTATATGTCCCCTATAGTTTATGGCCTATACAACAACTAATACCGTCACAACCAAGTATAAACTGCGGGATTTGATCCCTAAAAGATGTACCCTTGTGTGTTTTATATAGATGGACATGCGAGGCTTAGAGGGCAGGCTAGAACTGACTTAACTCACTGAGCTAATGTGGGATAGATAATCGTAGGTCGCATGTTGTTGTGTGTAGATTGTTCCTGATGATAGAGTTACTAGGGTCTAGTTGATGGGACTGTGTTTCTTGGGTAAGTGAACGTGTTAGGGGGAGGGGGGGGGGGGGGGGGGGTTATTGTAGGTAGTTAAACTAGGATCTCTAGGAGGGGGGACTAAGATTTGGGGGTCATAGAGTTAGGGTGGTTGAAAGTGTTAGGTGGAGGGGTCATTGTATATCAATTGTTAAACTAGGATCTGTTAGGTGGAGGGGGTCATTGTATGTCGATGGTTAAACTAGAATCTGTACGAGGGTGCTATGATTTGGGGGTCATACAATTGACTGAAAGAGTTAAGTGGAGGTGTCAGGGGTAACGTAGTTTACCTGATTGTTTTTGACCATTTGGCTCAGAGTTCTAGTGACTAGTATATAGTTAAGTGTGTTACATATTTTGCCAATTTCTTAACATTCTCTCCCACCCCCTCTCCCCTAACCTTGTGTTCTCATCTCCTACAAACGCCACCACAAATATCCCTTTTGATTTAATTGGCGTCAATTACCGAGGGTCATTTCCATGAGTCAGGTGTGTATTATGTTTTCATTAACGAACATTTAGGATGTAATTAGCGTCATAATTAAAAACCGTCTCGACATGTATATGATTAAACAACATCAAAATGATTGGCTAGCTTTCCGCTTCTGTTGTGTCAATTACAATGCACGTAATAAGAAGATTAGCTAACCATGTCGTTACGTGTTGTCAAATAACAATTCTCATACAGGTGAGGTAGTAGTCGAGTTTCGTATGAAGGTAACTATTCGATGTCAAGGTAACTATGTAGATATAATGTTATGTAGACCCTCTATTTATATTAGGTGGTGTATTTATAATTAAATAAAGTGTTAATAATTAAATATAATATGTATAATTACACAGTTATTTATATTAAAAAGTAGCAAGTTTAATTAAATGTTGTTTTAATTTTTAATTTTTAAAATTAGTGTGTTATTTTTAATTAATTATTGTATTTAGAATAAAATATCGCATTTGTATGGAGTATTATTATATCGAGGTGAATATAGAGATCACAGTGAAGTGTGGTTTAAATAGTAAAGTATTAATATAGGGTGCGGACATCGAGTCTACTAAAATAGTGATAACGTGCTTTACTACTAGCCTACTGCGGTCTCGATTAATTAGGTACCAAGCATTGATAAGTAGATATAAACTGTAGGTGTCAGTAATAACAGTAGGCTACAAGCATTGATAAGTAGATATAAACTGTAGGTGTCAGTAATAACAGTAGGCTATAAGCATTAATAAGTAGGTATACACTGTAGATATCAGTAATAACAGTAGACTACAAGCATTGACTGAAGTGTGCGGCTTTATACACGGTACGGTGGAGAGGTGTCGCTGAGTCATTGCCAGTGTTCCTTCCAGACTTTTTTCTCCAGGGGTGCACTTGAAATTTTCGAGGGGGGGGGGGGTAGACTCTTTTCGGCGGGCGGGGGATGCCTGGAAGAAACTCTGGTCATTGCTCGTCTGTCACAGGAATGTAGGAGTAGATCTAAAGACAACAATGGAACGGCGTGGCCAAGGGGTAGAGCATTTGGTGGCGAACCGTGTATCAGGTCCGTAAGACGCACCTGAATCGTCTAAAGCGTACCTAAGTAGCTTGATGGGTAGGTACACGTCGAAGAAAGAGTTAAACTCTACTTCACCTACTCAAATGACGACAACGTGCGAAATGATTATTTATATTAAATAATATTATCGGGTAATGTTTGTGTTAAGTAAGCCGGTGTTGTTAAATAAATGCTGTTTTGTCAGGTTTTTTATCGAGGCTAACCGTACTTAACCACACGTCTTAACCACATACGTCTTAACCACACGACTTATCCACACGTCTTAACCTTACGTTTTAACCACACCACTAACCTCGAAAGTCTGCTCCACCGTTTTTTTCTACATCACACCTCTATAAATAACTTAGACTTTGAACTGAATAAAAACAAATTCATGTCCCGCCCTCTACAGGAATTACAATCTTCACCTATACTCTAAGCTCTCCAACAGAACTATGTCGTCCATTTGTTTGTCCAACAAAGTCGATGTCGCACCTGATGACAGACACACACTGGACACCACCGACATTGACAAGAGCCAGTCCAACAATCTACCATACGACAGACAAACGGAATCACCCAGTCGGACCTTCACCCCCACGCCGTCCGCGGTTCGATTCGCTGAAGGCGACGGCCCGGATGATTCGAGATCCGAACACAAACGGCGCATGTCCGTCGCGCCAAGACTGTCAGTCTTTGAGCCATCAAACGCCGCGGATATCGTCAGGATAAAGAAAACGTACGGAGCTCAGGTGAACTTAGGCTACAAGATCCCGAAAAACTGGAACTGGATTGGGGGGACGAAGGAGTTCACCACGGTCAACCTGTACAGGCAGCTAGCCACGGAGTTCTTCGGGACGTTTCTCTTGGTTTCCATGGGGTGTTCGGTGTTGAACCCGTTTAAGGAGCAGGGAACTGACGCGGTAAGTTTTCAAGAAACTAACGCGGTAAGTTGGCAAGGAGCTGACGCGGTAAGTTGGCAAGGAACTGACGCGGTAAATTATCAAGGAACTGAATCGGTAAATTATCAAGGAACTGACTCGGTAAATTATCAAGGAACTGACGCGGTAAATTATCAAGGAACTGACGCGGTAAATTATCAAGGAACTGACTCGGTAAATTATCAAGGAACTGACGCGGTAAGTTGTCGAGGAACTGACGCGGTAAATTATCAAGGAACTGACTCGGTAAACTATCAAGGAACTAATGCGTTTAGTTGTCATGTAACTGACGCAGTAAGTTATCAAGTAACTGAGGGTAGTAACATTTCAGCAAACAAAACATTATTGAGGTAAGGTATCATAGAACTAAACAATGAGGTATCAAGGAACAACACATTAGTGAGGTAAGTTAAAGTAATCAAGAAACTGATATAAACAGACGAGGTAATTTTCAAGTGTGTAAGGTTAAGACAAGTTATTAAATGACACGTGACATTTAAATGCTTAGAGCATTTCTAGTAGGCTGTAGACATGTTTGCAATCATTATGAGCGGGGTACCAAATGACACATGACATCTAAATGTCAACCATGCATTTACAGGAACTGGACATGTCACCTATCATGCTGAGCTGGGTGCAAAATGACAAATGATATCTAAATGTCAACTATGTATTTATAGGCTCTGGATATGTCCTCCATTATGCTGAACTGGGGGTCAAATGACACATGAATCTAAATGTCAACCATGTATCTACAGGCCCTGGACATGTCATCTATCATGCTGAGCTGGGGCTTTATCGTGGCCAGCCTAGTGTGGACCATCGCCCACGTCAGCGGCTGTTTCCTTAACCCGGCGGTCACCATCTCCATGTTTGTCAACAAAAGGATCCCTCTAGCCAGGTGAGTGCGGGGGTGGGGGTGGGGGTGGGGTGGGGCTGGATGAGGGTGGGGTGGTGGTGGTGTGGGGTTGAATGAGGGTGGGATGGGGGGTGGTGGTGGTGGGAGATTTATGTGCATGAGGCAACTGATCACAGAGGATAACTATTATCTGTGTATGAGAATGGTTATTACACACACACGCCCCCAAACACACACACACACACACATACAGGCCTATATATCCTCGTTGCTTGTATGTTGTGTTGTTATATAAGTTAAAATTTTAGTTTGCAACAAACAATATTTCGATCCCCTACTCACCGAGCATTGCTTTTAAGCGTTTTTAAAATAAATCCTACCATGTATAGATAGATTTTTAAAAGCTAGTTAATTATTTATAGTTACAATTTATTTAAAAGCTAGCTAATTTAGTTAAAATGTATTTAAGCTAGCTAATCATCTATAAAATTAAAATTAAGAAGCTAGCTACCTATATAACAATGTATTAAGAGATTTCTTTTTAAAAACTTATTTTTTATTGAGTGTTAAAATAATTTGAACCTGTGTATCTCAATGCTTCTAAATAATGCATCGCTAGAACTGTACAGATATGTACAACTTGTTTGTGTACAGGTGTTTGGCGTACATTTGTGTGCAGGTACCTGCAGCTATTTGTGGTTCAGCATTTCACACCTGGATTCGGGGCAATAAGGTGAGTTACCCCACAGGAGAGCTATCACAGAGGTGAGTTACCCAACATGTGAGTTACCCCACATGTGAGTTACCCCAAAGGTGAGTTACCCCACAGGAGAGTTACCACACAGGTGAGTTACCCCACCGGTGAGTTACCCCACCGGTGAGTTACCCCACATGTGAGTTACCCCACAGGTGAGTTACCCCACAGGAGAGTTACCCCACAGGTGAGTTACCCCACAGGTGAGTTACCCCACAGGTGAGTTACCACACAGGTGAGTTACCCCACAGGTGAGTTACCACACAGGTGAGTTACCCCACAGATGAGTTACCCCACATGTGAGTTACCCCACAGGTGAGTTACCCCACAGTTGATTTCCCCCACATGTGAATTACCCCACAGGTGAGTTACCCGACAGGTGAGTTACCCCACAGGTGAGTTACCCCACAGGTAAGTTACCCCACAGGTGAGTTACCACACAGGTGAGTTACCCCACAGATGAGTTACCCCACAGAATAATAACCCCACAGGTAAGTTACCCCATAATTTATTATAACTTTTCTACCTCATATAAAAAGTTGAACGTTTACCTTTACCCCTGTACGTTAAGCAGTTAAACATCCATCTCCCCCAGCCCCCTCCCCCATCCTAAATAGTTAAACCTTTACCCCTGTATGTTAAACAGTTAAACACCACCTGTCAAACCCTCCTGAATCGTGAGATGGGCGTGACCGAGTTCAAAGGTTTCATCGTGGAGATGTACTTGACCTTCATCCTTCTCTTCTTCGTCTTCGCCACCACCGACAGCAACAGGCAGGACCACGGGGGGTCACACGCCCTCATGGTGGGGGGCGTCATCGTCCCCCTCGTCAACATTGGCGTGAGTCTATGTCTGGTTTAGATGGGTGCAGTACTATAGTTAGGTGCAGTGCTATAGCTAGGTACAGTACTATAGCTAGGTGAAGTGATATACCTAGGTGCAGTTCTATAGCTAGGTGTAGTGCTATAGCTAGGTGCAGTGCTATAGCTAGGTGCAGTGCTATAGCTAGGTGAAGTGATATACCTAGGTGCAGTTCTATAGCTAGGTGTAGTGCTATAGCTAAGTGTAGTGCTATAGTTAGGTACAGTGATATAGCTAGGTGCAGTGTTATAGCTAGGTGAAGTGCTATAGATAGATGCAGTGCTGTAGCTGATGCGTTGCTATAGCTAGGAGCTGTGCTATGGCTAGGTGTTGTGCTATGGCCGATGCAGTGCCAAAGCTTATAGTTATTTTAGATATACTGATTTAGTTAGGTACAATGTTATAGATTTGGTCAATATTAGAATTCCTAACATAGCCAGGTAACATAATGAAACTGTATTTGTCCACTATCTACACCTTGACCACAGGCGGAGATGACAGGGGCGGCCATGAACCCAGCACGGGCCATGGGTCCTGCCGTCATACACGGCAACTGGGATGCGCATTATGTAAGTGATGTCTGCGTGGTTCGCCAGTTAGCAATGTTTTATAACAGTGAAGGTTCCAATAGCGCTCTACTCTCCACCGCAAAGGCAAAAAGGAATACAAATAATGTTGGTGTTTCCGTAGTCACCGGAGGGCAGTGGATGTTTTTTTTTTCTAATTGTAGCTTGTGCATAGAGAATAACCCGTGTCAATCAAGTTATAACCTTAACCCTAGTCCTAAACATTAGACTGAGACGTATTTACTTGTATTAACTTCGCGCAGAGAATTACCTATTTTTTTTTTAATCTTCTTACTAAAAGTTATAGGTTATCGTACTTACCTTATTACGCGTACAGATTTATTGTGACCATTTTATTTATGGTTGTGTTGTTCTGACTTATTGTTTACATATGTATTGTTGTGACCTTTTTACTAACAGATAAAGGTCATTACTGTGACCAAATTTTCTTCAGATGTTGATTATTATTGTTACCTCACTACTAACTGATGTACTTGTATGACCTCGCTACTAACTGATGTACTTGTATGACATCACTACTAACTGATGTACTTGTATGACCTCACTACTAACTGATGTACTTGTATGACATCACTACTAACTGATGTACTTGTATGACCTTGCTACTAACTGATGTACTTGTATGACCTCACTACTAACTGATGTACTTGTATGACCTCACTACTAACTGATGTACTTGTATGACCTCACTACTAACTGATATACATGTATGACCTACCTACTAACTGATGCACTTGTATGAACTCACTACTAACTGATGTACTTGTATGACCTCACTACTAACTGATGTGCTTACATGACCTCACTACTAACTGATGTACTTGTATGACCTTGCTACTAACTGGTGTGCTTACATGACCTCACTACTAACTGATGTACTTGTATGACCTTGCTACTAACTGATGTACGTGTATGACCTCACTACTAACTGATGTACTTGTATGACCTCACTACTAACGGATGTACTTGTATGACCTTGCTACTACCTGGTGTACTTGTATGACCTCACTACTAATTGATGCACTTGTATGACCTCACTACTAACTGATGTACTTGTATGACCTCACTACTAACTGATGTACTTGTATGACCTCACTACTAACTGATGTACTAGTATGACTTCACTACTAACTGATGTACGTGTATGACCTCACTACTAACTGATGTACTTGTATGACCTCGCTACTAACTGATGTACTTGTATGACCTCACTACTAACTGATGTACTTGTATGACCTTGCTACTAACTGATGTACTTGTATGACCTCACTACTAACTGATGTACTTATATGACCTCACTACTAACTGATGTACTTGTATGACCTCACTACTAACTGATGTACTTGTATGACCTCACTACTAACTGATGTACTTGTATGACCTTGCTACTAACTGATGTACTTGTATGACCTTGCTACTAACTGATGTACTTGTATGACCTTGCTACTAACTGATGTACTTGTATGACCTCACTACTAACTGATGTACTTGTATGACCTCACTACTAACTGATGTACTTATATGACCTAGCTACTAACTGATGTACTTGTATGACATCACTACTACCTGGTGTACTTGTATGACCTTGCTACTAACTGATGTACTTGTATGACATCACTACTAACTGATGTACTTATTTGACCTGGCTACTAACTGATGTACTTGTATGACATCACTACTAACTGATGTACTTGTATGACCTCACTACTAATTGATGCACTTGTATGACCTCACTACTAACTGATGTACTTGTATGACCTCGCTACTAACTGATGTACTTGTATGACATCACTACTAACTGATGTACTTGTATGACCTTGCTACTAACTGATGTACTTGTATGACCTCACTACTAACTGATGTACTTGTATGACCTACCTACTAACTGATGTACTTGTATGACCTTGCTACTAACTGATGTACTTGTATGACATCACTACTAACTGATGTACTTGTATGACCTTGCTACTAACTGATGTACTTGTATGACCTCACTACTAACTGATGTACTTGTATGACCTCACTACTAACTGATGTACTTGTATGACCTTGCTACTAACTGATGTACTTGTATGACCTCACTACTAACTGATGTACTTATATGACCTCACTACTAACTGATGTACTTGTATGACCTCACTACTAACTGATGTACTTGTATGACCTCACTACTAACTGATGTACTTGTATGACCTTGCTACTAACTGATGTACTTGTATGACCTTGCTACTAACTGATGTACTTGTATGACCTTGCTACTAACTGATGTACTTGTATGACCTCACTACTAACTGATGTACTTGTATGACCTCACTACTAACTGATGTACTTATATGACCTAGCTACTAACTGATGTACTTGTATGACATCACTACTACCTGGTGTACTTGTATGACCTTGCTACTAACTGATGTACTTGTATGACATCACTACTAACTGATGTACTTATTTGACCTGGCTACTAACTGATGTACTTGTATGACATCACTACTAACTGATGTACTTGTATGACCTCACTACTAATTGATGCACTTGTATGACCTCACTACTAACTGATGTACTTGTATGACCTCGCTACTAACTGATGTACTTGTATGACATCACTACTAACTGATGTACTTGTATGACCTTGCTACTAACTGATGTACTTGTATGACCTCACTACTAACTGATGTACTTGTATGACCTACCTACTAACTGATGTACTTGTATGACCTTGCTACTAACTGATGTACTTGTATGACATCACTACTAACTGATGTACTTGTATGACCTTGCTACTAACTGATGTACTTGTATGACCTCACTACTAACTGATGTGCTTACATGACCTCACTCCTTGCAGATCTACTGGTTTGGACCTATCGTGGGCGGCGTGCTGGGAGGTCTTTTCTATGACGTCTTGTTCTCTGAGCGTGTGGTCAGCTGGCACAGGGACACACAGATCAACATGACCTACGACTGACCACGGACATGACCTACGACTGACCGCTGACATGACCTACGACTGACCGCTGACATGACCTACGACTGACCGCTGACATGACCTACGACTGACCGCTGACATGACCTACGACTGACCGCTGACATGACCTACGACTGACCGCTGACATGACCTACGACTGACCGCTGACATGACCTACGACTGACCGCTGACATGACCTACGACTGACCGCTGACATGACCTACGACTGACCGCTGACATGACCTACGACTGACCGCGGACATGACCTACGACTGACCGCTGACATGACCTACGACTGACCGCGGACATGACCTACGACTGACCGCTGACATGACCTACGACTGACCGCGGACATGACCTAAGGCTTACCGTAGAGGTGACCTTCATTATACCCTTGAGATGACCATTGCCTAACTGTTGAGATGACCTACGACTGACCATTAACGTGACCTTCGCATAACCATTATCTTGACCTTCGCATAACCATTGAGATGACCTTCACCTGAGCGTTGAGATGACCTTAAGCTTAACGGTCGAGATGCTATGAGCGACAAAAGCTTTTATAAATGAAAGCAAATTAGTATTATTTTCTTATTTTAGTGTATTTAAAAGATTGTTATTATCACGTTTTTTTTTTAAATTATTTATCTTTAATGTTCTATATTTAATTTTTGTAATTAAAATTTCTTTATAATGAAATAAATATCCTGTTGAAACAAAGTAAATTGTCTTCATATGTACTTGTATTCGGTATTTGTATAGTATAGTTCGGATTATTATAAATATTTACATTTCACATTTAGATAACGTTGCAGTGTTATTAAAGAAAAAGATAGAGTAAAAAATGTTGGTTCCGTAAAATACGACCTAATTTCTAATAGTTCTGAAAAACTAAAATATCTACTTCTTCTAGTGTATTAAATTACTTATAGAACATGTATAATGTATATATGTGAGCCCTGACAGAAGTAGGGGGGGGGGGCAATTAAAGCTTGACCTACACTAGGCAATAAGTAAACAAACAAAACACCAAACAAACCAAAGTAAATAAACAAAACATTCAGCCAAGTTACTGGATGGAAAGAAAGAAGAGAAAAGAAAAACAAAAGAAAACATATATCTAATGCATGAAAAATATATATGTATATATAAATATCTATGTATATATAAATATATACATATGGTTAAAAGAAAATCTAAATACTAACTACTGTTAACGATAGCTAACTAAGATCTCAAAAAAATACTAATCCCTACTACTAACACACTAATTCTGAACTCTAAAATACTAAAACCAAAATCTAAAAATTGCGCTTTTTGAACGCGACAAGTTAGCGCGGTGCGGAAGTGTTCCACATCGTATGTAAATAGCCAGATAGAATCGTTGAGTTTTTTAAAAAACATCCTAAGCATTTGGCGACGCCTTTGGTTATTTTCTATTGAAACAGTTGGAAATACAATACAAAGATGGGTAAATGCTGCAAGCTGGTGTTTAGATTTCATAATTTCGTGTGCTGGATGCGGCCACAATCCAATCGTTATTGCCGATCTAGATCTAGAATCTAGAAACTAGATTAGTTCTAGATCTAGATCTAGAATCTAGAAACTAGATTAGTTCTAGATCTAGATCTAGGTTCTAGATCTAGATCTAGATCTTTAGATCTAGAGTTCTAGTTCTAGACTCTACTTGATCTAAATGCAACTTTAGATCTAGATTCTAGAGATCTAATCTAGATTGTAGATTTACATCTAGATCAGTGGTTCTAAACCAGTGTTTCTTCCAGACATTTTTTTCCGGGGGGGGGGGGGGGGGGCACTTGAAATTTTCGGGGGGGGGGGGGGGGGGCGGTAGAAACCCCGAAGAGATGCCTGGAAGAAACTCTGTTCTTTACCTTCTTAGAGGCATAACCCCACTATTTTTTACGCGCATTTGCCGAAGTCTTAAAAACCCAGTGCCAAATTGAGTCTAAAACGGAGTTATTTCTGTACCATTCCAACATTCGGTGGTTATTCCTGAACTAAAACCACATACAAATCTGGCCGATAAGTTAGTCATTAAAAAAACTAGACATTATGCCTAGATCTTCGATTTTTCTAGAATTTTTTCTGTAGACGATCAAGTAATTAAAACTTATTTTTGTAGACAATGTCCTTAAGTTGCTGTGGAACGTTATGTTCAGACGGTAGAGCATACCAATTCTCACCGGAAAGTTAAGAGTTCGAATCAGTGTCAGCAGAGCGTCCCTGAGTCCGTCCAGCTCGGATGGGTACCTGACTCACGTTAGGGTGGGGGGGGGGGGGAGGAGGCTGGGAATTGTGTTGACTACACTATCCCTTCATAAGCCAAGGTCACTGAAACAGGAGAACTCTACTTCCACTGCTGTATGGACCGTCATGTTATCAGGGATTCATTACTTTATTAGAATTACCAAACTACTTGAAGTAGAGTCGGGGGAAAGTGCCAGATTTTTTTGAGTACGTGCATGGATATAGACCATTCCGAGTTTCCATTCTGATGAAATAATTGCCTGTTTTGATCTAGAGTTCTAGTTCTAGACTCTACATAATACAAATTTAGATCTAGATTCTAGAGATCTAATCTAGATTGTAGATTTACATCTAGATCAGTGGTTCTTAACCTTCGTAGAGGTATAACCCCACCATATACATAATCGCCTGTTTTGATCTTCCTACCCAGTGAGCAGGACAGGACCAGAGAACGCGATGGACAACCGTGGTTCTAGTGTGGAGGTGTTTGATTCGAAACCTCCTTCCACAATTCTGGTGGAGCAGCCCTCTTTCCAGCAGCAGAAAGAGCGGGCGGCATCGGTTGTGTCCAACCGCTTCACCCAGGAGGAGTACAAGGCCACCCAGCTGACGACGGCCCAGAAGACGTACGGGGCACAGATGAAGCTGGGCAAGAAGATATCCAGGCTCAGGCTATGGGCCGGCGGGTTCATGGAGTTCACAAAGGTCAACTTCTACCGGCAGCTGGTCACGGAGTTTTACGGCACGTTCGTGCTCGTCTCGGTCGGCTGCTGCGTCATCACGCCTGTCAAGCCGCAGGGAACTGATGCGGTAGGTGGAGTAGATCGCAGGGAACTGATGCGGTAGGTGTTGTAGGTCATAGGGAACTGATGCGGTAGGTGTAGTAGGTCATAGGGAACTGATGGGGTAGGTGGAGTAGATCGCAGGGAACTGATGCGGTAGGTGTAGTAGGTCATAGGGAACTGATGCGGTAGGTGTAGTAGGTCATAGGGAACTGATGGGGTAGGTGGAGTAGATCGCAGGGAACTGATGCGGTAGGTGTAGAAGGTCACAGGGAACTGATGGGGTAGGTGGAGTAGATCGCAGGGAACTGATGCGGTAGGTGTTGTAGGTCACAGGGAACTGATGCGGTAGGTGTAGTAGGTCATAGGGAACTGATGGGGTAGGTGGAGTAGATCGCAGGGAACTGATGCGGTAGGTGTAGAAGGTCACAGGGAACTGATGTAGGTTTAGTAGGTCGCAGGGAACTGATGCGGTAGGTGTAGTAGGTCACAGGGAACTGATGTAGGTTTAGTAGGTCGCAGGGAACTGATGTTGTAGGTGTAGTAGGTCACAGGGAACTGATGTTGTAGGTGTAGTAAGTCGCGGGGAACTGATGCTGTAGTTGTAGTAGGTCACAGGGAACTGATGCTGTAGGTGTAGTAGGTCACAGGGAACTGATGTAGGTTTAGTAGGTCGCAGGGAACTGATGTTGTAGGTGTAGTAGGTCACAGGGAACTGATGTTGTAGGTGTAGTAAGTCGCGGGGAACTGATGCTGTAGTTGTAGTAGGTCACAGGGAACTGATGCTGTAGGTGTAGTAGGTCACAGGGAACTGATGCTGTAGGTGTAGTAGGTCACAGGGAACTGATGCGGTAGGAGTTATAGGTCACAGGGAACTGATGTTGTAGGTGTAGTAAGTCGCGGGGAACGGATGCGGTTGTTGTAGTAGATGACAAGGGACTGATGCTGTGGGTTTAGTCACAGAGAATACGCGGTAAGTGGAGTCGTTAAAGTTGCTTGGCTAATAGACGCAGTTGCTAGATTTTTTCTTATTTACTAATTGACTTGTTGATTTGTTAACAAATGTTTGACTTTGTCCCCAGGCTCTCGATATGGCCTCCATTATACTAGGGTGGGGCTTTATTGTGGCCAGCTTAGTGTGGACCATCGCCCACGTCAGCGGCTGTTTCCTTAACCCGGCGGTCACCGTCGCGATGTTTGTTAACAGAAGGATCACCTTTGTTAGGTTAGCCATTCATCTATTGTAATGTTAGCCACTCATCTGTTTTGGTGTTAGCCACCCATCTTTAGAGGTGTTAGCCACTCATGTGTTGTAATGTTAGAGTGTTAGCCACTCATTTGTAGAGGTGTTAGCCACCCACCTGTAGTGGTGTTAGCCACCCACCTGTAGTGGTGTTAGCCACCCATCTGTAATGGTGTTAGCCACCCATTTATAGTGGTGTTAGCCACCCATCTTCAGTGGTTTTAGCCACCCATCTTCAGTGGTGTTAGCCACCCATCTATAGTGGTGTTAGCCACCCACTTGTAGTGGTGTTAGCCACCCATCTGTTGTGGTGTTAGCCACCCATCTATATTTGTGTTAGCCACCCATCTGTTGTGGTGTTAGCCACTCATATTTAGTGGTGTTAGCCACTCATCTATAGTCAGCCAACTGACTAATGTATATTTGATTCACTTGTCGATTCGTTTTTCAAAGAAGTGTCTGAGTTAAATGGCCAGAGCACTTATAGTTTTTAAAATTCAATAGCACTAAAATTAACTGTGTGTGTAGTTGCTTAAAGTGTCTAATGTTAAATTAACTATACTTATGGTTTTGGTCAAGAGTCTGACCTTGACCTACCTTTAAAAGAATTGTTTCTCACCTGTAGGTGTGTGGCGTTTATCATGGTGCAGGTACCGGGCGCCACATGTGGTTCATTTTTCCACAAGTTTCTACGTGGAGACAAGGTCAGTTTTGTGTCACTTCAAGTTTTATAAGACTTGATGCTTTTATACAACTTGATGCTTTTATGAAACTTGTTATAATGTTTTATAACACTTGATCGGTTTATATAACTTTTTATAATGTTTTATAAGACTTGATCGGTTTATAAAACTTTTTATAATGTTTTATAAGACTTAATAGTTTTTATACTACTTGATGGTTTTATAAAGCTTTTTATAATGTTTTATAACACTTGATCGGTTTATAAAACTTTTGATAATGTTTTATAAGACTTGGTCGGTTCATACTACTTGATGGTTTTATAAAACTTTTTATAATGTTTTATAAGACTTGATAATTTTGCACGGCTTGATAGTTTTACAAGATTTGATATTTTTATAAGACTTGACTTGACAGTTTTATAAGAATTTATAGTCATTTAAGCCATAATCCTAATATATAGTAGCCCATATGCGCACTTCTCTGTCTCTGTCTACAACATATTTTCCTATGCTATGAGATCAGTATCTTCAGTGGTATATGGAAAACTTAATGAATCGGACTTTTGTTGAAAATAATATATTGGATGTATCAAATGTATAAACTAAATTTTATTTGTAGACGGAAAAAAAATAAAGGCATATTTGAACGTAGAAACACATCTTTAATTATGCACCCGGAGAAGTGTAAAACGCTCTAGAGAACTTTTAAGTAGCACTAAAACTATCACCAACAAAATGACGACACATATAACAGTCAAATATCTTTACGAAACAATGTCAATAAAAAGTTTAAACTTCGGAAAGTACACAACACTAATGGCGTCATTGATTTTCGGATAAAAATAGAATTAAAAACTCTAATGTTGAAAAGTATACACAATACTAATGACGTCATCTTAAATGAGATTCGCTTCCCGCAACCTTCCAATTTTAGAACATTAAGTAATGAACTATTCCATTCAAATTTGATTTTAATCTATAGATCTACTTATCAAGACGTAAGCTATGAAGTGTATACAGTTTTCTCGGCCGAATAATAATAACAATAAATTAGTTTGAAAAACAACAGAAATACTATTAAATAGCCGGGTTTTTAACGGAATCGTCTTAATCAGTGTTGTGTTGACTAATAATGTATTTTGATTTTTTAAATTTTTTAATGGGTAGCCTATGATTAGATGTGTCGGATTTTTAGCTATTTAATTATTTCTTTGCTTTTTCACTAATATCGTTCAACGTGTAGTAAAGAATATGCGTTTTGACCAATCACTATTTTATCGAATACATTCTTCAAACACTTATAACATTACAAAAATATTAGCCTAAAATTCACGTGTAACAGACACCGATAGCTAGTGAATCTATAACACTGAAGCTCAATAGTTATGTTCAATAAGTCGTTAAAGTACTTAACATTGTTCAAATTCAAATCAGTTTCTCACAAAATTCTAGTCTGTGTTTGAGTGAATACAGGACTGTCCTATACTTAAATTCAGTTAAACACCTGTCTGTCAAAAATTGTACAGTAGTTAAACAACTGTCTGTCCAAATTTTATAGTAGTTAAACACCTGTCTGTCCAAATTTTATAGTAGTTAAACACCTGTCTGTCAAAAATTGTACAGTAGTTAAACAACTGTCTGTCCAAATTTTACAGTAGTTAAACACCTGTCTGTCAAAAATTGTACAGTAGTTAAACAACTGTCTGTCCAAATTTTACAGTAGTTAAACACCTGTCTGTCCAAATTTTATAGTAGTTAAACACAAATGTCTGTCCAAATTTTACAGTAGTTAAACACATGTCTGTCCAAATTTTATAGTAGTTAAACACATGTCTGTCCAAATTTTACACTTGTTAAACACCTGTCTGTCCAAATTGTACAGTAGTTAAACACATGTTTTTCTCATACCTAAACAGTCAGTTAAATGCCTGACCCTATACGTGCAGTTAAACACCTGTCTGTTATAGTTAAACATATGCCTGTCATACTTGAACAGCCAGTTAAACACATGTCTGTCATAGTTAAACATATGTCTGTCATACTTTAACAGCCAGTTAAACACCTGTCTGTCATAGTTAAACATATGTCTGTCATACTTGAACAGCCAGTTAAACACCTGTCTGTCATAGTTAAACTCATGTCTGTCATACTTGAACAGCCAGTTAAACACCTGTCTGTCATAGTTAAACTCATGTCTGTCATACTTGAACAGCCAGTTAAACCCCCGTCTGTCATAGTTAAACTCATGTCTGTCATACTTGAACAGCCAGTTAAACACCTGTCTGTCATAGTTGAACATATGCCTGTCATACTTGAACAGCCAGTTAAACACCTGTCTGTCATAGTTAAACTCATGTCTGTCATACTTGAACAGCCAGTTAAACACCTGTCTGTCATAGTTAAACATACGTATGTCATACTTGAACAGCCAGTTAAACACCTGTCTGTCATAGTTAAACATATGTCTGTCATACTTGAACAGCCAGTTAAACACCTGTCTGTCATAGTTAAACATATGTCTGTCATACTTGAACAGCCAGTTAAACACCTGTCTGTCATAGTTGAACATATGCCTGTCATACTTGAACAGCCAGTTAAACACCTGACCTGATACTTGCAGTTAAACACCACCTGCCAGACGCTCTTGAACCGAGACTTCGGGGTCACAGAGTTCAAAGGTTTTATCGTGGAATTTTTCCTGACCTTCCTGCTGCTCTTCTTCGTCTTCGCCACAACAGACCACAACAGACAGGACCACGGTGGTTCTCACGCCATGATGGTCGGGGGTGTCATCATCCCGCTTGTCAATGTGGGGGTGGGTATGGTAGTGCTAGCCTTGTTAAAGCAATCTGTTGCAGGCCTTAACATCCAGTTATGTTAGTGGCCAAAATTTACGTTAAAATTTGCATCTAGTTATATTAGTAGCCAAAGTTTATGTTAACATTTTCGTCTAGTTATATTAGTGACCAAAGTTTACGTTAAAATTTGCATCTAGTTATATTAGTAGCCAAAGTTTATGTTAACATTTTCGTCTAGTTATATTAGAGACCAAAGTTTACGTTAAAATTTGCATCTAGTTATATTAGTAGCCAAAGTTTATGTTAACATTTTCGTCTAGTTATATTAGAGACCAAAGTTTACGTTAAAATTTGCATCTAGTTATATTAGTAGCCAAAGTTTATGTTAACATTTTCGTCTAGTTATATTAGAGACCAAAGTTTATATTAAAATTTGTTAGCTGTTGTATTAGTTGCCAAAGTTTATGTTTAACCTTTCATCTAGTTATATTAGTGGCCAAAGTTTTTGTTAACAATTTGATCTAGTTATATTAGTGGCCACAAAGTTTTTGTTAACAATTTCAGGCTGAATTGACGGGAGCTGGGATGAACCCGGCTAGATCATTCGGACCAGCTTTTGTTCATGGAAATTGGGACGCGCACTACGTGAGTTTGTTATTATACTTTCTGATGCGCACTAGTTGAGTTTATTTTTATACTTTCTGATGCGCACTAGTTGAGTTTATTTTTATACTTTCTGATGCGCACTAGTTGAGTTTATTTTTATACTTTCTGATGCGCACTAGTTGAGTTTATTTTTATACTTTCTGATGCGCACTAGTTGAGTTTATTTTTATACTTTCTGATGCGCACTAGTTGAGTTTATTTTTATACTTTCTGATGCGCACTAGTTGAGTTTATTTTTATACTTTCTGATGCGCACTAGTTGAGTTTATTTTTATACTTTCTGATGCGCACTAGTTGAGTTTATTTTTATACTTTCTGATGCGCACTAGTTGAGTTTATTTTTATACTTTCTGATGCGCACTAGTTGAGTTTATTTTTATGTGATGAGACGCGCACTATGTGAGTTTGTTTAATAGGATGAGACGCGCACTTTGTGAGTTTGTTTAATATAATGATACGCGCACTATGTGAGTTTGATTAATATGATGTCACGCGTACTAAGTGAGTTTGTTTAATATAATGATACGCGCACTATGTGAGTTTGTTTAATATAATGATACGCGCACTATGTGAGTTTGATTAATAGGATGAGACGCGCACTATGTGAGTTTGATTAATAGGATGAGTCGCGCACTATGTGAGTTTGTTTAATAAATTAATATGAATGGACGCGCACTACGTGAGTTTGTTTAATATAATGAGACGCGAACTATGTGAGTTTGAATTCTTAGGTGGTTGTGAGTGATCTTTAATTTTGTTGGCAAGTATGATGATGCTATGTGAGATAGTTTATGTATGTGCTCATGTCATTTTTTGTTTACATGATAGTGTTATGGTAAGCACTAAATTTGTTTTTCACCATCTTTATAAAACTACCACTGCCTTAAAGGCCCTGGCGTCGTCATTGTTGTGTAAGAATAACATTAGCACAAAGTTCCATAACTGGATGTAGTTCTATACATTGGAATTGTTCTATATTAGTGTACAGTGTAACACGTTTGTAAAACTGCTAGTAACACTCTAATGGACCCAAGATCAGTGGCGTAGCGAGGTCCGGTGTCACCCAGAGGCGTGGCGACCCTTCCCGGGGACAAACTTTCAAATTTTCGATTTGCACCCCCCCCCCCCTCTCAAACTTTCGATTTGCACCCCATCCCCCCTCAAGTTTTCGATTTGCACCCCCCCCCCCCTCTTTTTTCTCTATATATTTTGCTATTTTTTGCCTTGGTGTCACCCCCTTAAATGGTGTCACCCGGTACGGTCCGCACCCCCGCCCCCCCCCCCCTTTGCTACGCCCCTGCCCAAGATAGCGGTTTTATATAACGTATCTCCCCCTCCCGTCAATTCCCCAGATCTATTGGGTAGCCCCAATCTTAGGCGGTGTCTGTGGCGGTTTATTCTACGACCTGATGTTCTCTGAGCGGGTGATCAGCTGGCACCGTTACCTTCACGTGCAAGAGATTCATGATGAAGAAGAGGAAGACAAGGACTTATAAGGACGTTGAACAAAGTAATTTATCATTACAGTGACGTTAAGAATGTATCTGGTCAATACACTGTATATTTTTCTTTTTATATTTGTTTTTTTTTATCGTTTTATCATATTTAATATCAATGATCTACTACATGTGTTTAGTTATTTACAATATAGAGTCTGGTATATGTAGAGGTGCATGGGCTGGATGGTAGTTTTAGCGTGAATTCTACAAGTGGATGCTAATTTTAGCGGTGTTGCTAATGTGTATGCTAATTTTAGCATTAGCTACAAGTGGATGCTAATTTTAGCGTGGTAGATGTAGAATGAAATTTAAGCCAACATTGGGAGGGACACATTGTTGATGGTGAGTAGATCACCTCCCTATCCTGTGCGAGCTCTAGTCCTTGACAGAGGGGTTTGAGAGATGATTCTCTACTCAGTCATCAAATGCATTCATTGATAGAGACTAACGTTTCAGTCGGCAGTTTATCTTCACGTGCAATCGTGCCCACGAAACGAGTAAAGAAAAACGTCTTGTGTGAATGCTTTGTATAGATGCTCTCATTAAAAAAAAAATTTCAACGTTTTCTCTGTTAGCGTTCTTTTTTTCAATATCTTTGGCGTTTGTTGTTTGCGTTCATCTATGTAAATATACTCAAGCAGATGGACAACACAAAACGTGAACGAGAGTAGCCTCAGTAACATCAGCAGAGACAGTGGCGTAGTGAGAGGTAGGGGAGGGGGGGTGTGGACAGCACCGGGTGACACCATTTAGGGGGGTGACATCAAGGCAAAAAATAGCAAAATATATAGAGAAAAATGATAGTTCCACTTTATTAAGTGATTAATTCGAGTGTTAAAAAGTCTTTTAGGAGCAAAGTGGACAAATCCCGACAAGGGGGGGGGGGGTGTGCAAATCAAAAGATTGAGGAAGGGGGGTGCCGTTAAGGGTCGCTACGCCTCTGGGAGGGTGACACCCGACCTCGCTACGCCACTGAGCAGAGACGCTATAGAACACGCCCGGTGTGAATAAAAAAATCCTGTTGCGTGTATTTCTGTTTCTTATAGAGAAAGTCTTGTAATCGTGCAAAAAAAAAAAATCCAGATTTTTGCAAATCTCGACGTTTTACAGCTCACTGAGTCGGAAAAACATAGTTTTGCAATCTTGTCCGTATGTCTGTGTGTGTGTAAACACCATAACTTAAGTAACGTTACAGCTAGGTTGATGAAATTTCATATATAAGTATTATATCAAAATTGTAGATCCGCATCAACTTTTGAGAGATTTACGATAACAGGAAGTGGAACTTTTTCTACTTTGAAATTTTCAAAAGCTTAGAACTTGAGTACTATTTCAAATAGATAAATGAAATTTCACAAGTAAGTATAATATTGGATTCTCTGCCATCTGTCAGATTTTGAGTAATTTCCGTTGACCGGAAGTAGTAATTTTTGCTATTTCAGATTTCTCAAAAAACTAATGTAAATTTATAAAGTACTAATAATATTCCGCACTTTTATGCACATTTTATTTGGTGTTCAATACTTTTTTTCTACGAGATTTTATTCTTTTTTAAAAAGTTTAAGTATTTAAAATGAATTAAAAATATTGTCTATATCTATATCCCGAGTTGCCATCCCCTGTTGTTTCATATAAGAATATCAGAGAACGTTTAAAGGAGTAAATCCCGGTTAAAAACACATTAAGCTAAAGGGAAGTATATGTAACAACAACAAAATTCGACAAAATTTCAATTTGTAAACAAGCTTTCAAGATAAAGTAAGAAAAACGTTAAATTAAATGTACATTTTATATTAGATACATTTTATGAAAAAAACGGTGCATGTTTTACTTTTGATTATGTTTGTTAGTAATGTAAATAACAATTTGTACTAATATACACTGCAATTCAGATTTACTGCACTCTATGATACAAGTAGAACGTATTACTCTATGATACAAGTAGAACGTATTTACAAGGGAAAATACGAGTGAATCATATATTTTTACTAGGCTGATTCTATGTGTTAGTGTATTGTTATTCTGGATTATATGTGTAAATATTAATGTAATGCTATTGTTCATTTTGTGTTGATATTAATGTAATGTTGTTGTTTCTATGTGTAATTGTTAATATAATGTTATTGATTTTTCTATGTGTGATAATTCCTATAACGCTGTTTCTGATAAAGAATAGTTTGGGCAGCTAAGTACAAACTGTAGCGGAGTGCAGAGTGAGGTTGTTCTTTAGCCAACATTTATACCAACACAATAGGGATATTCAATTTATATGAAATAAATAACATAAAAATCATTGTTAAGAAATAAAAAATAGGAATGTACGTGAAATTTCAGAAAGTTATTATTTTAAAATTACTGATACATTAGCCTGAAGTTTCTTGCAAGCTTCACCAATGGATCTCCACTCCCGCCCCTTAGACTTAAAACCGGGCACCATTTAGGGAAATGGAATTGTTTATAGCAAGGTGGGGGGGGGGGCGAAGCTATGAATCTATGATCCCGCCTAAACAAAGTTATACAATTTGGAGAGTCTTTTGAAAACAATAGATTATTTAAATTGAGTTGTTTGAATTTGAGATACTACAACATAATGTATATATGGCTTGAAGTAATTTTATAACGGCCAGCCGAGGTGGATAATTGTGGATAGAATAGCCAGACCCACGATCATGGACATGGATATCCGTGCTGTCGCCGCTCCTGAAATAGTGGGGGACAATGTATATTTGTTATAATTATTGTCAGACACGAAAGAAATTGTAATAGAAAAGTTATTGTCAGACACGACAGAAATTATAATAGAATAATTATTGAGCAAGGATGTACTACACATCTCATGACTTAAATGCGGAGTTACAATTGATATTGGAAATCACATAATTCAATACTCAACCGGAACAAAATATAGAGTCGATGTCAACAAAACACACATTCTGTCAACAAAACACACTTACATTCTGCCAACAAAATACATCTACATTCTGTCAACAAATTATATCTACATTCTGTCAACAAAATACACTTACATTCTGTCAACAAATTAAACTTACATTCAACAAAATACACTTACATTCTGTCAACAAAATACACTTACATTCTGTCAACAAAATACACTTACATTCTGTCAACAAAATACACTTACATTCTGTCAACAAAATACACTTACATTCTGTCAACAAAATACACTTACATATTCTCAACAAATTACACTTACATTCTATCAACAAAATACACTTACATTCTGTCAACAAAATACACTTACATTCTGTCAACAAAATACACTTGCATTGTGTCAACAAAATACACTTACATTCTGTCAACAAAATACACTTACACTCTGTCAACAAAATACACTTACATTCTGTCAACAAAATACACTTACATATTCTCAACAAATTACACTTACATTCTATCAACAAAATACACTTACATTCTGTCAACAAAATACACTTACATTCTGTCAACAAAATACACTTGCATTGTGTCAACAAAATACACTTACATTCTGTCAACAAAATACACTTACACTCTGTCAACAAAATACACTTACATTCTGTCAACAAAATACACTTACATTCTGTCAACAAAATACACTTACATTCTGTCAAAAAAATACACTTACATTCTGTCAACAAAATACACTTACATTCTGTCAACAAAATACACTTACATTCTGTCAACAAAATACACTTACATTCTGTCAACAAAATACACTTACATTCTGTCAACAAAATACACTTACATTCTGTCAACAAAATACACTTACATTCTGTCAACAAAATACACTTACGTTATGCCAACAAAATACACTTACATTCTGTCAACAAAATACACTTACATATTCTCAACAAATTACACTTACATTCTGTCAACAAAATACACTTACATTCTGTCAACAAAATACACTTACATTCTGTCAAAAAAATACACTTACATTCTGTCAACAAAATACACTTACATTCTGTCAACAAAATACTTACCGTTCTTTTTGCCACTGGTCTGAGCGACGCTGTTACCTGGGATGCCACTGGTAGGACCTGTGGGTGGGGTTTGGTGGGGTGGGGAAGTTTTTAATAATCGTCTGTGATTGTGTACAATCGTCGGGGATTGTGTACAATCGTCGGGGATTGTGTGCAAGCGTCTGTGAATATGTACACTCGTCGGAGATTGTTAGCTGTCATATAGTACCAAACGACATGTGTCACAATGTGTCAGTCAACAAGAGTTATCACACAGTACCACAGGAAATGTGACAAATTGTGTCACAGTTAACAAGATTTATCACACAGTACCACAGGAAATGTGACAAATTGTGTCACAGTTAACAAGATTTATCACATAGTACCAAACGAAATATGACAAATAGTTTCACAATTTGACTCGGCTTATCACAGCAATCTATACCTTTTGTAACAGTGCCATTGCCAGTTGTGTCGTATGGAGGTGTCGAGGACTTGAGTAGACGATCATCTAGTAAAAAAGGTTTTTTTTTCTTTAGACAGTATAACAAACTGTCTTCACTAGCTCAACCAACTTAATGTCATGAAGAATTGTAGAAATGTTTACCACTGAATGATGTTTAACTCTACACATTTAAGTCACTATTCGTTCGGTTCAAATGTTAAAGGATTGATAGTGTTTTACCTACAACACCACCGCCATCACCTAAGATTAAAGGTGTCTTACCTACAACACCACCGCCATCAACAAAGATTAAAGGTGTCTTACCTACAACACCACCACCATCACCAAAGATTAAAGGTGTCTTACCTACAACACCACCGCCTTCGCCAATTCTATCACAATCCTTGGATCCCAGATTAACCACTGAAAATGGACAAAATGTCGTCGAAAAAAAATTATTTTGACGAAAAGTCGTGGTCGAAATGTTATTTTTTAAAATAGCTTACTAAAGACTTACAGCTTAATTAATTATCAAATATTTTTTAATTATGTAGTTTTATTTTTCAAAACAGTAGGTGGTCAGTATAAGTGGAATCAAGTTAACTTAGAGCGACTGAATTAAACAATGAACTCGGATATGGTAGGAAGCCTAATAGAAAGTAATGCCATCATTGGTACAAAGCTTCATGCATAAGGCTTGTAAATGGGGTTATGAAGAGTCTACCACTTCATTGGTACAAAGCTTCATGCATAAGGCTTGTGAATGAGGTTATGAAGAGTCTACCACTTCATTGGTACAAAGCTTCATGCATAAGGCTTGTGAATGGGGTTATGAAGAGTCTACCACTTCATTGGTACAAAGCTTCATGCATAAGGCTTGTGAATGGGGTTATGAAGAGTCTACCACTTCATTGGTACGAAGCGTCATGCATAAGGCTTGTGAATGGGGTTATGAAGAGTCTACCACTTCATTGGTACAAAGCTTCATGCATAAGGCTTGTGAATGGGGTTATGAAGAGTCTACCACTTCATTGGTACGAAGCGTCATGCATAAGGCTTGTGAATGGGGTTATGAAGAGTCTATCACTTAATTCGGATTAGGATTATGTTTTGCTTTCAAAGTTTTTCTAATGAATATCTCAAGTTCGACAGACTAAACAAAGAATTGTTACCCTCGGTACAGTCTCCGTGGAGAGAGACCAGGAACGCTTCCAGACTTTTCACCTCGTCAGAGCTCGCGTTACAGCTGCACAGTGCCAGACGTGAGCATTGGATCAGGTCCATGCTCGTGCTGGTGGGTGGGGCGGGGGGTGGGGAGGGAGGGAACAGGGGGAAGGGGGGTAAAGAAATGAAATATACGAAATGATGTCGTGTTTGAAAATATTGATCTCAAAAGCAAAGAAAATAATATGGATAGGATTGTGCATTTACAAAAAAAAATCCTCTATCTCTTCTAGCTTAATGACATGGAATACAGACACAACAAAGAAACGATAGAACGACTTAAACAAGTTGAATTCAGATGGACTAATTACACAGTAAACAAGTGGACTAATTGCCCATTAACTAAATGGCCTAATTACCCAGTAAACAGATGAATAATTATCCATAAAGTAAATGGCCTAATTATACAGTAAATAGTTGAGCTAATTACACAGTAAACAGATGGACTAATTTCACAGTTAACAGACTGCCTAATTACACGTTAATTAAATGGACTTATTACACAATATTTAACTGGACCAATTACACATTAATTAAATTTCCTTATTACAAAGTAAACAAACTGACTAATTACACATTAATAATTTGGACTAATTACAACTAAATTAAATTAATTAATTACACATTAATTAAATGGACTAATTGCCCATTAATTAAATAGACTAATTACCTGTTCATTAAATGGACTAATTAAGCATATTAAATGGACTAATTACACATTAATTAAATGGACTAATTAAACATTACTTAAATGGACGAATCAGACATTTTCTAACTTTCAAATCAACTTACAAGCAGAGCGGGACATATTCTTTCATGCCAAGGACGTTGACTCTATCGTTGTCGTATTTATCTGCGCAGTCCAGTACAGTTGGACATTTGCTTGACCACTGTTTTAATTGGGGGCCTGGAATTTTGTAATTAACTAATCATTTCATGTTATTAAAGACAATATTGAGCATTTGCTTGACCACTGTTTTAATTGGGGGCCTGGAATTTAGTAATTAACTAATCATTTCATGTTATTAAAGACAATGGTGGATGCTTGCTTAACCATTATTTTAATTGGGAGCCTGGAATTTAGTAATTAACTAATCATTTCATGCTAATAACGACAATATTGAGCATTTGCTTACCATTATTTTAATTGGGAGCCTGGAATTTAGTAATTAACTAATCATTTCATGCTAATAACGACAATATTGAGCATTTGCTTAACCATTATTTTAATTGGGAGCCTGGAATTTAGTAATTAACTAATCATTTCATGCTAATAACGACAATATTGAGCATTTGCTTAACCATTATTTTAATTGGGAGCCTGGAATTTAGTAATTAATTAGCCTTTTCGAGTCATAAACGGCAATATGTTTGGATTAGATTTAGCGTCAATAGTTGTATCAGTTCTGATTTCTTCAATTATCATCATAAAACTATAACCACAAGATAATATGTCCTCAATCTAGCTGATCCAAACACTAACTTGTTGAGAGGTTAGACTGGATAACTGGGCTTGGTATTGGCAAGGCTGTATATTTATCTGTGGATACAAGTGGATAACTCATAGATAAATAGTGTTGGGTTAACTTTGTCTACGGATACATATGTATAATTCATGGATGTATAACTCGCTTGAACCAAGGGTTTTGAACTGAATTTTTAGGATTTAAATTAGTTGATAGATATTTTATAAATAATATTTTAAAAAAAATGTTTAAACATTTATTGTTAAAACGTGTGAATGTCGTACGTTAGTTATAAATAGATTTCAGTTCAATTTCAAGAAATCGTAAACGAAAAACTGTTTCTAAAAATTCGTTTTAACCGCTTAGTTCTGTCAAAAAAAAAATACAAAAAAATATATCTTCTCTTGATTTTTCAGCTTAAATATATTTAATCGCTTGTCTAACAATTAATTAACTAATTGTGTTCTTTATTTTACAAAGGAGTGATTTTAAAGACAGGTCGACTTAGATGTATACAACAACTTACTAACACCGTATTAGAGAGTAAGATCTATACAACAACTTACTAACACCGTATTAGAGAGTAAGATCTATTCAACAACTTACCAAAACATTCAAACCCGTAAGTAAGGAACGCCATCGGTACTCTTAAAGCCAAATCGTTAATGACTGAAAATGAAATCATTAGGGTATCATTAGGGTAAGATTTAATTAAGATTTAATGGACCCGAGAGAGAATAGTCTCTAAAGTATTTGAGAGGCCAATACAATATTTTTAAAATCGTGTACGGTGTGATTACAATTAATATGGATATAAAATCCTGACTGTTTTTTGGGACTTTAAAAAAAGAGTAGATCTATTTGACGTTGTGGTATTTTTGGTAATTATACACAATTTTAAAAAAAAGGCAAAAGCAATTTGGTTAACGCGGGGTAATGGCGACATAAATAATGGCATTCGATAGACTAGCTTAAATTTTATTATACAAAATGTCAAAAAAAAATAATTGCAGAAGTAGGTCATGAAGTATTTATAAACTTGATCTGCAAAGTTTTGTAAACAAATAACTATCGATCACGGAGTTCCTGTACAGCCAATCAATGTTTGTATTACGAAAGTAAAACATCGGGTTATAACTTAGGCTTGGTGAAAATAAATAGAAACTCAACAAAAGATTTTCAAGTTCTCTGGATTTGCAGCTTTTGTAACATTGACTATAAAAATATTAAATTTCTGAAATATTTTTAGTCTTAAGTTTTTATTTTTTATTATGAAGTCAACTTATTAAAAACGAATTTTATCCATGTCAACAATATGATAGAATATAGAAGGATTCTCGTCTACTCGGTGTCCTCCATAAACATTCTTTTCACAGTTACGTACACAAGAAAACTAATTACATAGGTAGGTGAATGTATTAACGCTAGGCTGTTTTGTTAGGGTAATTATAAAGTTAATTAACTGTGTAGCCCAACTTTGGAAAATGTGTGGTAACTACTAATTGTGTGTGTGGTGGTTATGGTTGTGGATGTGTGGTATTGATTGATTGAGGGGTTGTTATTGATTGATTGTGGGGTGGTATTGATTGGTTGTGGGGATGGTATTAATTGATTGTGGGGATGGTATTAATTGATTGTGAGGGTAGTATTCATTGATTGTGGGGACGGTATTAATTGATTGTGGGGTAGAATTAATTGGTTGTGGGGATGGTATTAATTGGTTGTGGGATGGTATTATTTGGTTGTGGGGATGGTATTAATTGGTTGTGGGGATGGTATCGATTGATTGTGGGGATGGTATTAATTGGTTGTGGGGATGGTATTAATTGGTTGTGGGGATGGTATTAATTGGTTGTGGGGATGGTATTAATTGGTTGTGGGGATGGTATTAATTGGTTGTGGGGATGGTATCGATTTATTGTGTGGTTGTTTGCGAATACCTTGTGTGCACCTTGGTGACGTGTACAGGAAGTGCATTGTCCTGGCCACGTTGACGTAAGCTCTCTCGGCGCGTGCTGGATCATAGAGCAGCCCGCACGTGCATGTGACGTCATAGGCGCAGTTCAGGTAATTGGCCCACTCTCTGGGGAGATAATACTTTAGTGAGGTCAAGCAACCCACACCTACATGCAAACCTACACACAAATCTACACAACAATCCTATAAACAAACCTACACAAGAAACTGTTACATACAAATCTTCACAATAAACCTACACATACAAACTTACACAACAAATCTACACACAAACCTACACAATAAACCTACCAAAAAAACCTACACAAAAAACAGTCGCATACAAACTTACACAACAAATCTACACACAAAACTACGCAAACACACCTACACTTATACCTAAAAACCTACACATAAAACCGACACAAGAAACCTGCTTATACAACCTTACACAACAAACCTACACACAAACCTACACAACAAAACTACAAGCACAAACCTACCAGACCATTCCCACCTATTTAAAACCACCCACCATCATCGACACCTAATACCAGCAACCAACAACTTCTGTTTTCTTGTCGGCCTCTACAAAGTTGTACTTCGTGCTGTTATTTAACTCAGCCTACATACCGATTAAATAGTTAGTTGCAAATGTATCTGATTATCATAATTAATTGAAACTCTTACAAGCACTGCAGACTGTTGTCCTCGTATTTGGACATCCTGTCCAGACAAATGTCCGAGGTCCGGGCCTTCTGGCACCAGCTGGTTTCTGGGAATCAATTGAAAACAATTTCTATGAGAACCCAAATCACAAGAAACAATTGGAAACAATTTCTCTGAGAACCCAAATCACAAGAATCAATTGGAAACAATTTCTCTGAGAATCCAAATCACAAGAATCAATTGGAAACAATTTCTCTGAGAATCCAAATCACAAGAATCAATTGGAAACAATTTCTCTGAGAACCCAAATCACAAGAATCAATTGGAAACAATTTCTCTGAGAATCCAAATCACAAGAATCAATTGGAAACAATTTCTCTGAGAACCCAAATCACAAGAATCAATTGGAAACAATTTCTATGAGACCCAAATCACAAGAAACAACTGAAAACAATTTCTCTGAGAACCCAAATCACAAGAATCGATTGGAAACAATTTCTCTGAGAACCCAAATTACAAGAATCAAATGAAAACAATTTCTATGAGAACCCAAATCACAAGAATCAATTGGAAACAATTTCTATGAGAACCCAAATCACAAGAATCAAATGAAAACAATTTCTATTAGAAACTAAATCACAAGAATCAATTGGAAACAATTTCTCTTAGAACCCAAATCACAAGAATCAATTGGAAACAATTTCTATGAGAACCCAAATCACAAGAATCAAATGAAAACAATTTCTATGATAACCAAAATCACAAGAAACAATTGGAAACAATTTCTCTGAGAACCCAAATCACAAGAATCAATTGGAAACAATTTCTATGAGAACCCAAATCACAAGAATCAATTGGAAACAATTTCTCTGAGAACCCAAATCACAAGAATCAAATGAAAACAATTTCTATGAGAACCCAAATCACAAGAATCAATTGAAAACAATTTCTATGAGAACCCAAATCACAAGAATCAAATGAAAACAATTTCTATGAGAACCCAAATCACAAGAATCAAATGAAAACAATTTCTATAAGAACCCAAATTACAAGAAACAATTGAAAACAATTTCTCTGAGAACCCAAATCACAAGAATCAATTGAAAACAATTTCTCTGAGAAGCCAAATCACAAGAATCAATTGGAAACAATTTCTCTGAGAACCCAAATCACAAGAATCAATTGGAAACAATGTCTATGAAACCCAAATCACAAGAATCAATTGGAAACAATGTCTATGAGACCCAAATTACAAGAATCAATTGGAAACAATTTCTCTGAGAACCCAAATCACAAGAATCAAATAAAAACAATTTCTATCAGAACCCAAATCACAAGAATCAAATAAAAACAATTTCTATGAGAACCAAAATCACAAGAATCAATTGGAAACAATTTCTATGAGAACCCAAATCACAAGAATCAATTGGAAACAATTTCTATGAGAACCCAAATCACAAGAATCAATTGGAAACAATTTCTCTGAGAACCCAAATCACAAGAATCAATTGGAAACAATTTCTCTGAGAACCCAAATCTGAATCAACTTTACCCCTTTTATGGAAGTGAACTCTCCCAAAAACATCGCATTTTATTTTAGGGCTGGAATTTATAGTTAGAGCCATTTTCGGACCTGGGTTAGGGCAAGAGAATAAGGATAGAGTTGATAGAAAATTATGGTAGCTTTTAGCCAGCTATTAGTAGCAATAAATCTTCTTTTGAAAGAATTGATTTTTAAAATATGTGAAAATAAACAGCCCACCTACCGTCACAAGACGAAAAATTAGAATGGGCGGCGTCTGAAAATAATTAAATCATGTTCATTAACGTAAGATAACATTGGTTCTGATGGTAAATGTACTGTTATTATGGGGAAGGGATTAAGGAGAGCAGTGTTTCTTCCAGGCATCTCTTTGCCCCCCCCCCCCGAACGAATAAGAATTTATATAGAAAACATAATTTTACCGCTTTCCGCCCCGCTCCCATTGAATTTATTTGTCCCCCCCCCCCCCCCCCCGGAGAAAAAAGTCTGGAAGAATCACTGTTTGAGAGGTAACTAAAGGTAATTTTAGAGTTCATTTTAGAATGTACTCACATTTGAAGCAGTTATTTTAGAGTTTCTTTTAGAATGTACTCACATTTGGAGTAGTTATTTTAGAGTTTCTTTTAGAATGTACTCACATTTGAAGCAGTTATTTTAGAGTTTCTTATAGAATGTACTCACATTTGGAGCAGTTATAATTGTGAGCTGCTATGCTCATCTGTATTGTATGTTTTTCTGTTTCAGATTTACCACAGCCACAATAAGCCCTCTCTTCACATTTGAGTGTGTTCACTTGGTTCCTGGATAGACGTTATACACAGTACTCAATTTAAAGTGTACATAGTATATACTGTTATACAACTAGAAGTTATAAATTTCTAGAGGTTTTAAAATTATTTACATTAAGCAAAGAAGCGGTTAAAAACATTTTACTATATACTGAGGTATTTTGTTTGTGAGATAAGTAGTTCGAGCTTTATTCTAACATTACAATCATGTAGGACACAGTCCAGTAGGACACAGTCCATTAGGACACTGTCCAGTAGGACACAGTCCATTAGGACACTGTTCAGTAGGACACTATCCAGTAGGACACGTCCAGTAGGACACTGTCCAGTAGGACACTGACCAGTAGGACATAATCCAGTAGGACACAGTCCAGTAGGACACAGTCCATTAGGACACTGGCCAGTAGGATACAGTCCTGTAGGATACAATCCTGTAGGATACAGTCCTGTAGGACACGGTCCTGTAGGACACACCCTACTATAGGACACAGTCCTGTAAACCTTACCTGCAGACCCGCCTGGGGTCAGTGGTGTACAGAGACTCAGCATAGATGACGACATCCTGGTCATAGCACGGCCTGAGTGCTGGACACTCGCTGGACTTCTGCACCTTCACTGGCACTGGCGGCGGCATGGACAAACAGATTGAATGCAGCCAATATCTAATCTACTCACCTTAACTTACTCTAAACAATTAAACATTATTAAATAGCGCAGTGGCGTAGCGAGGTCGGGTGTCACCCGGTGCGGCACTTAATGGTGTCACCCCCCCCCCCCCCCCAGAGGCGTAGTGACCCTTCCCGGGGACAAACTTTCAAGTTTTCAATTTGCACCCCTCCCCTCAAACTTTCGATTTGCACACCCCCCTTTAAGTTTTCGGTTTTGCACCCCCCCCCCCACCCCCCCTCAAACTTTCGATTTGCACCCCACCCTCAAGTTTTTCTCTATATATTTTGCTATTTTTTGCCTTGGTGTCACCCCCCTAAATGGTGTCACCCGGTGCGGTCCGCACCCCCCGCGCCCCCCATCGCTACGCCCCTGAAATAGCGACCGCTACATTAAAGAAAGATCTGTTTACAAATAAATTGTGACAGCTACATTAAACAAAAATGTTTATGCATTTTGGGGATTCATAAATTCTCTGCATGAGTGGCGTCCAAGATTTGGCTGAGCTGTCTGTTTTAGAACTCCTCACATTTTGAGAAAATCAACTGTTGCGCCACAATGACGCCAATAAAGGTTATGCGAGGATTTATTGATTGACTTATTGACTGCAAATGCATTACCACATTATATTTATGACTGTAAAACCACTCCCTTCAATACACCGAACCAACATCTGTTGTCCAGTAAGAGAGAACATAGACCAGAACTCACCTTGTTGCCAGGCAACCACGAGTTTTTTCTTGGCCGCGTCTTCCGGTGTATCTCCAGGGCAGGGGAAGCCGGGCTGGATTTCAAAAGGCCCCGTTACTATGGTAACGGAATGATTCGATTAGAGATAACATTAACAAGTTAGTGTTTGTCTTTCAATTTATTATACAACTAAATATCATCTTATGAAATAGGTAATACAAACTATTACTATACCTATATACACGCATGAATGTTAAAAGTTAACTCAAATACGGAATGAAGGAAATAAACTGGTTTAAATTAAACAGGCATGGTTTCATATTTTAATATTTTCATCAAACAAATAATGACGTTTCAAGCCCACATCCAATCAGTATTATTATTACTAAAATGTTTAGTTGACTTAAAACTTGAAAAATCGCAAATACTCTACTACTGAGAACTTTGTAAATAAACACAAAAGTTTCAACCAGACGGGGTTTGAACCCACATCTATCAGCCTAGCCATACCTGCGGAACAACCAAAGGCGTCGTAGCTGAGGGCGTTGTCTGTGAGGACTTTGAAGGTATCCACAGCTGACGGGGCTGATCCATTCCTCGTTAATCCACATCCACAGCTGATCTGCCTCACGCACGCTGCTTTATCCAGTAAGTTTCTACACAATAAATATATATTTACACAATAAACATATATTTACACAATAAACATATATTTACACAATAAACATATATTTACACAATAAACATATATTTACACAATAAACATATATTTACACAATAAACATATATTTACACAATAAACATATATTTACACAATAAACATATAATTACACAATAAACATATATTTACACAATAAACATATATTTACACAATAAACATATATTTAATTTTTTATGCTTTCTGGATCTCCTTCGTTACTTAAATAGGCTAAAACGTGCTCTTTATTTAGGTTGAAACCAGTACCGGTGCCAGGCAAAACTTATTAAAACGCCCCATTCCACGCAAATTAATTTCTAAAACATTCTTATAAGAAAACTATTAATTTAAAGTAGCATATTAATTTATTATCAATTGCATACACGTTAAAAGGAGACATCAAAATCAAATTTTTACTTGCCTCCACCCCCCCCCCTCCCCACCCCAGGTAAAAAAAAAGTCTGGGAAAAAAAACATAGAAAAACAATAACAGTTCTTGTACTGTTGGCTCTCTGCAGACCTCCCAAGGTGAGTTCCAGAACGGAACGTACCTGTTTTAAGCTTGACTGTCTTTAGTTAGAATTGTAAAATGTCTATATTGTGCGATTATGAAACGATTTTTTTTTAAATAAAAGGTTATAAATGTTATAGATTCCAGTCTACAATTGTTATGTATGAATTCTTTAGGAGAGGTTGAAAAATATGAAAAATGTATTGCAATCTACAACGGCTACTGATGTATTTGTTTTTTTAACTTGATAATGATAAAAAAACCTAACAAACTATTTTGTTTAGCTTCTGCTCTTAATAATTTTTACAATAGCAAATAATAACTTAAATTTGTATTTATAAGTAAGCGGTCAACCAAAGGTGCAGGAATTTGAAATGAATGTTAAGTTAAGCAACAAATTATCTCCCATTTCGAAACCCAAAAACCAAAATTTCATTCAAGGGAAATAACTTTCACAAGAATAACTAAATTAACCTAGTGTAACTAAGACATGCTTGAAAAACACAATAAAACGCTTTAAATGTCATTAAGTAATAATTATAACAAATATTTTATATTATCTATGTAAACGTGTCAAAAGAATATATTTTACTCATTGACTACTTAACAGTAGACTTTATTTGAAAGTCGTGCATGGTAACTTTATAACATACTTCTAGTCAATTTACTGACATTCTATTATCGGCTAAGCTACGTACACTAAAAATATTACTTAATTTTGGATCCCCTAAAAAAAGGGACGCCTTTCAAAAAAATCAAATACGGGTAACTGTTTAAGATAATGCTTTAATTATTGATTAAATATTAAAAATAAATATAATTAGAAAAACAAACAAAAAAATACCAGCCTATATACTATTATAAATTAATACTTTAAGAGTGGTAATATTGATTCATAAAAAACTAAAGATTGTTCAACTATAGAATGCCTACGTTTTTACTTTCTCGTATATACGAAGTATAGAGAAAGTCTTGTAATAGTGAAAAAAAAATCGAGATTTTTACAAATCTCGACGTTTTACACCTCACTGATACGGAAAAACATAATTTTTCAATCTTGTCCGTATGTCTGTGTGTGTGTGTGTGTCCGTGTGTAAACACGATAACTTGAGTACCGTTACAGCTAGGTTGATGAAATTTTATATATAAGTATTTTATCAAAATCGTAGATCCGTATCAACTTTTGAGCGATTTCCAATAACCAGAAGTGGTACTTTTCCTACTTTGAATTTTTCAAAAGCCTATAATTTGAGTACTATTTCAGATAGATAAATGAAATTTCACATGTAAGTAAACGATCTAATTCTCTACCTTCTGTTGAATTTTGAGTAATTTCCGTTGACCAGAAGTAGTAATTTACGCTACTTCCGATTTCTCAAAAAACTAATGTAAATTTTAAAAGTACTAATAATATTGCGCACTATTATGCACTTTTTTATTTGGCGTTCACTTGGTGTGCAATTAATTTGTCTACGAGATTGTATTCTATTTTTAAAACTTTAACTATTTAAAATGGATTAAAAATCATGTCTATAGCACGAGTTCCCATCCCCTGTTATTTTATATAAAAATATTCGAGAAAGTTTAGGGGAGATCACTCCCGGTTTATTTTGTAGTGTGTTCCGTCCTGAATTGCAATAATCTAACTTACGATAAACTCGAATACTCGATATACTCTACTACATTCACAACACATATCTAACTTCGATACCTAAACATAACTAAATACGATTCTCCAGAATTACGACACCACTTCGCTTAACTTCACCAAGCTCTACAAACGATACTCCCAATCGATAACGATTTAACTGGACCTACTACTACACGTTAACAGCCAACACACTTAGATACCTTAATACCACAAGACTCGATAGTCCCGAACTCCAGAACTACGATACCTAATCACCTACATTCTCATTTCTCTACTACCAATCAGATTGTACTAGATCTTCAACTACACAACTAAAGTAAAAAAAATTCGATACTTTGAACGCCTCGTCATTACAAAACTCTATTCACCAGAACAGATTTCTAATTCAAAGTCAGAGAAAACGAGACTTACAAGCCCTATAAAAACCAAAATTGTACGTGTTTTGGAACGACCCGTCATGTGCTGGATGCAATCACTAAATCAACATTAAAATTAGATAACCGTTTGAAATGTTCGAAATTTAAATTACGAATATATTTAATCGTTTTCTACATCAATTATGTGACACGAAACTAAAAAGGCAAAGTTACTGGTAAAAAGCGACCCGACCTTTCCAAATTAGGGAGGTTGGGATGCTTTTTCACCATCGCGAATAAATATAGGCCTATATAGACCTACTTTTGGGGTGGGGGGCGCAAAAATTCAGAGTTTGTCCTGGGCGCCGAAATAGATCGCTACTCCTTTGTATATTACCATCTATAGTTTATAAAAGATAATCAAAGTTATTAATTATTAGGTACTTTTTGATAATAGCTATTAAACCTTTTTGCGCCCCCCCTAGGTATGGCGCACAAGGCGACCGCCTAATTCACCTTATATGTAGCGCCGGCCCTGGTTGAAACCAGTTTTAAAAAATTCTTTTTCCTAATATAAATTGTCTTTACACAATATAAATTTTATGCCCTGGTTCATATGGTCTTGTGTCAGTTAATATTACAATTTTCAATATTTGTGACATATTTAAAAATGGTACCGAAACTGATGACTCTTTCAAATAACTCAAAATTGAAACTTGTTAATACATTAATATAAAAATTAAGCTATATTTCCAAACCAACGTCTACCTACAATTATTATTTTCAAAATGGACGACTTACATACAAGCTGTCCTAACTAGCTGACTTACATACAAGCTGTCCTAACTAGCTGACTTACATACAAGCTGTCCTAACTGACTTACATACAAGCTGTCCTAACTAGCTGACTTACATACAAGCTGTCCTAACTGACTTACATACAAGCTGTCCTAACTGACTTACATACAAGCTGTCCTAACTGACTTACATACAAGCTGTCCTAACTGACTTACATAAAAGCTGTCCTAACTGACTTACATACAAGCTGTCCTGTGCGGGTCCTCCCCATTGCCTGCTGGCCTGCCCAGCACCGCGTCACACGGCTGTAGCGGAGCTGTGTTGTTACACAGCCGCTTGTCTAGAGATGTGTAGTTGATGTGTTGGTCAGTGTTTTGTCTTAATTGGTGTAATGATTGCTTAATAACATATTAATGACTAACGTATGGACACTTTACACTTTAAAGCTTGAATGCATGTGGTCTATTTATAGAATTGTTGTAAAATACGAACTTTCATTTCAATGAAAAAAAACTCACCGAAGCAGTTAATGACCGGTGTGGGTGGAATAACTGAAATGATTTAAACATGAGCATTTACATGTAAAATATTAAACTTTCATGTACATACAATAACATACATCTTTTATCATCAAACTAACAGCATTTCCGTCGTTTATATTTTTATATCTAACGGGTGAAGATGAGAGTTCCAATCTACTGTTATCAGACGACCAATAGAAAATGTAAAAAGTTTTACACAGTAGATTTACAAACACACACACACACACAAACACACACATACACATAGACACATACATACATTTACACACACATACACACAAACATACACACACATACACACAAACATACACACACAAACACACACACACACATACACACACATTTACACACATACACACACATTTACACACATACACACACATTCACACACACATATACACACATACACACATACACACATACACACACATACACACACAAACACACACATACACACACAAACACACACATACACACACAAACACACTCTCACATACAAGCACATAGCCAACAATAATGAAAATTTAATTGCATTCCCTTGCCATAAAACACCTGGCCAGTGACCAAAGTGACTTCTTCTACTTTATACAGCACCCCCCTTTCCCCCCCCCCCCCCACACACACGTAAATCACCGACCACATGACATACTCGCAACTGGTTCATAACACTCCCAGCCATCAGCATTCGACCTTGTGACCTATTGGCCAACGGCCAATAACATCCCAACACACCACCAACCGACCAAGTGACCCTAACACCCCACCCACCCCCACCCCCACCAACCGACCACGTGACCTACTGACCACTGGTGCCTAACACCCCCACCCACCACCAACCGACTACGTGACCTACTGACCACTGGTGCCTAACACCCCCACCCACCACCAACCGACTACGTGACCTACTGACCACTGGTGCCTAACACCCCCACCCACCCCCACCCACCAAGAACAACCGACCACGTGACCTACTGACCACGTGACCTACTGACCACGTGACCTACTGACCACGTGACCTACTGACCACGTGACCTACTAACCACGTGACCTACTGACCACTGGTGCCACACACACTGTCCAGCGTCTGGCGCTTGCTGGCCAGGACCTGAGAGAAGTGGCTGTGTAGAGTTCCACACGCGCACGTGATGTTCTCCAGACACACGATCTCGTCAGACACGGCACTGACAGGACAAAATGTGACATGTGACATGTGTCATAGAACAAAATGTGACATGTGACAGAGAACAAAGTGTGACATGTGGCATGTGTCAGAGAACAAAGTGTGACATGTTGCATGTGTCAGAGAACAAAGTGTGACATGTTGCATGTGTCATAGAACAAAGTGTGAAATGTGACATGTGTCAGAGATCAAAGTGTGACATGTGTCAGAGAACAAAGTGTGACATGTGACAGTCAGAGAACAATGTGTGACATGTGTCAGAGAACAAAGTGTGACATGTGAGATGTGACATGTGTCAGAGAACGAAATGATACATGTGACATGTGACAGACTACAAAGTGCGACATTTCACATGTGACAGAGAACAACGTGTAACATGTGATATGTGTCAGATACGAATTGTGACATGTGATAGAGAAAAATATCTGTGAAATGTGATATACGACAAAAAAATAACTGTGACATGTGACAATTAGGGAACACTAACAAGGTTTGACCAACTATGTGTAAAAGTCGAAGAACAAATTGTGACAAAAAGTGTGTATGTGTGATACTGACAGAACAAAATGTGACACATAGCATGCCGCAACAATGACAGTGGCGTAAGCAGGGGGGTTAGGGGGTCATAACCTCCCCATAGACCCATCAGTATATATATAAAGTATGAGGGGGGGTGCAAATCGAAAGTTTGAGGGGGGGTGCAAATCGAAAGTTTGAGGGATGGAGTGCAAATCGAAAGTTTGAGCGGGGTGGGGTGCAAATCGAAAGCTTGTCCCCGGGTAAAAATTGGACCCCCCCCCCCCTTGAGACGATCCTGGCTACGCCACTGAACAAGGAAACCATAAAAACGGAGAAATGGAGTGCTGAATAAAAACATATTGTGTCCAAGATATCAACTCTACTTTACCTGCTCCTTGGTTGAATTTAATTAACAAATTAATTTTAAAAACTACTTTGAACCCTCCCACTCCTAATGATCTGACCTTGTGAACTTTAATGCACTTCATGTACTCACCGACAGAGGGCGTACAGGTCCTTGATGTTGAGGGCCGCTGACGCCCTCTCGTCATACAGGGACATGCACCTGACCACACCTGGACATTGCACTTCCTCCGTCAGTGCAAACGGCTCTAAGGGAGATGGTGTACAATTGTAATCGAAACTTTGATTGTTAGGTGAACTTGTAAGCGAGATATGAATAGCTTAGTAAACTTATAATAGAAGTATCGACAGCTTAGAGAACTTGAATTCGAAGTACCGATACCTTGGTCAGATTTGTATCAATAGCTTAGCGTAGTATCGATACCTTGGTAAAATTGTAACAAAAGTATGGATAGCTAGGTGGATTTGTAATCAAAATATCGATAGCTTGGTAAAAATGGAATCGATGTATAAGTAGTTTAATAAAGTTGTAATAGAAAAATCGACAGCTTTGTATTTGGAGTATCGATACCTTGTTAATTTTGCAATTCAAGTATAGACGGCAAATGAAAGCTTGGTAAAGGTTTAATAAAAACTGCCCATAGCAAGTTAACATTTGAACCGAACTGCCATTAACCTTGTAATCCCCTAAAAGATTATACGATTTAAAACTATGTTGATATCTATTTGTTAAGCGAATATTTTAACTTTTTTTTGTGTTGTACGTTACTTATAATTCATGTCGTCATACAACGACGTCATACAGTGGCGTACGCAGGGGGGTTAGGGGGGGGGGGGTCTTAACCCCCCCCCCCATAGACCCCTCGGTATATATATAAAAAGTATGAGGGGGGTGCAAATCGAAAGTTTGAGGGGGGGGGGGGGGGTGAAAATCGAAAGTTTGTCCCCAGGTAAAAATTGGAACCCCCCCCCCCTTGAGAAGATCCTGGCTACGCCACTGACGTCATACATACTGACCTGTGGCTGACGTCAGTTTAATCACTTTCTTATCAGCCGTTACGTTCTTGTCACCTGCAACAGAATTTTCAGATAGGGTCTTTTAATTTCCTTAATTAAATGAAACTTCAGGACAAATGAAAACAATTGAACCACTTCAAAGAATCTTCTTATTAACAAAATAATATCAAAATAACGGAAATGAATGAAAAAATGCAATGAATTCACAGAAAGTTGAACATTCGGTAGAGTACAAAATGAAACAATTTGTAGTTATGTTTTTTACCTGGGCAGGGAAACCCCTTCTCCCCAGCTGGGAACACCACACCTGTCAAACATATAGGTTAACAGTTACCGGCGAGGTGCAGGTAGATGTTACATATGACTATAACAGTGAAATGTTGGTAGATTGTATCTTGGGAGTGTGTGAGATTGCATCAGGGAGACAGTGGCTGTGCGCATGCGCGAAGGGAACAAGTGAAGAGGAGGCAAGAATATGGCGTAGCTTGAGTGAACACGCTGCCTGTGTGAAAACAAAATAAATATGAAAAACTGCAAAAGAAGGCTTGTCTTTTGATTCTGTATGTGTAATATAAAAGGTAGGAGAAAGGCCTGTGACAATGACATATGTACTTTACTGAGTGAAAAGAAGTGCCTCAATTAGACCTACCACTGATATATAACCGTATACAAAACAGGGCCTACCACTGATATATATATGTAACCGTATATTAACTTCTCCTACCACTGATATATAACCATATATCAACTGGACCTACCACTGGTATATAACCGTTTATCAACATGATCTACCACATATGTAACCGTATATCAAATGGACCTACCACTGTTATATAACCGAATACCATCTGGACCTACCACTGATATATTAAACCGTATATCAACTGGACCTACCAATAATATATAACCGTATATCAACTGGACCTACCACTTATATAACCGTATATCAACTGTACCTACCACTGTTATATACCCGTATATCAACTGTACCTACCACTGTTATATACCCGTATATCAACTGTACCTACCACTGTTATATACCCGTATATCAACTGTACCTACCATTGTTATATACCCGTATATCAACTGTACCTACCATTGTTATATACCCGTATATCAACTGTACCTACCATTGTTATATACCCGTATATCAACTGTACCTACCATTGTTATATACCCGTATATCAACTGTACCTACCATTGTTATATACCCGTATATCAACTGTACCTACCATTGTTATATACCCTATATCAACTGGACCAACCACTGATATATAACCGTATATCAACATGACCTACCACTGTACTGAGTGCAGTTCTGCTTGGTGTCAAAAGCGAACCTTGACATGGCCACTGTGGTGTAGATGTCCTGCCTATGGTAGAACCCACACTGGCAGACTAGGTCACTGTAGCAGTTGATGTAGGTCACCATGTGCCTGTGGATTTGTTGAGAAACTTTAGCAACTTACCGAATATGTTTTAATTAACGCGAACTTTTGAAATAGGCAAGGCATAACTAAAGATAGTAAATGCAGCTTCAATGAAGAGAAGTTTACAGCTATACTAAAAGGATTGGAGGACAATCATCCAAGAGAAGGCTACAGGTCCACAATTTTACCTGCATACTTGCTCAGGGCTGGTTGCCGTGGCAACGTTTGCCTGTAGTTCCATGTCGCACTGGACGCCAGGCTGTTTGAGGCTGCACGTGCCCCCACAGTTAACCTCGAGCATGGGTGCGCTGAACTCACTCACTGAAACAAAACATGAACTCACTCACTGAAACAAAACATGAACTCACTCACTGAAACAAAACATGAACTCACTCACTGAAACAATACATGAACTCACTCACTGAAACAAAACATGAACTCACTCACTGAAACAAAACATGAACTCACTCACTGAAACAAAACATGAACTCACTCACTGAAACAAAACATGAACTCACTCACTGAAACAAAACATGAACTCACTCACTGAAACAATACATGAACTCACTCACTGAAACAAAACATGGACTCACTCACTGAAACAAAACATGAACTCACTGAAACAAAACATGAACTCACTCACTGAAACAAAACATGAACTCACTGAAACAAAATATGAACTCACTCACTGAAACAAAACATGAACTCACTCACTGAAACAAAACATGAACTCACTCACTGAAACAAAACATGAACTCACTGAAACAAAACATGAACTTACTCACTGAAACAAAATATGAACTCACTCACTGAAACAAAACATGAACTCACTCACTGAAACAAAACATGAACTCACTCACTGAAACAAAACATGAACTCACTCACTGAAACAAAACATGAACTCACTCACTGAAACAAAACATGAACTCACTCACTGAAACAAAACATGAACTCACTCACTGAAACAAAACATGAACTCACTCACTGAAACAAAACATGAACTCACTCACTAAAACAATACATGAACTCACTCACTGAAACAAAACATGAACTCACTCACTGAAACAAAACATGAACTCACTCACTGAAACAAAACATGAACTCACTCACTGAAACAAAACATGAACTCACTCACTGAAACAAAACATGAACTCACTCACTGAAACAATACATGAACTCACTCACTGAAACAAAACATGGACTCACTCACTGAAACAAAACATGAACTCACTGAAACAAAACATGAACTCACTCACTGAAACAAAACATGAACTCACTGAAACAAAATATGAACTCACTCACTGAAACAAAACATGAACTCACTCACTGAAACAAAACATGAACTCACTCACTGAAACAAAACATGAACTCACTGAAACAAAACATGAACTTACTCACTGAAACAAAATATGAACTCACTCACTGAAACAAAACATGAACTCACTCACTGAAACAAAACATGAACTCACTCACTGAAACAAAACATGAACTCACTCACTGAAACAAAACATGAACTCACTCACTGAAACAAAACATGAACTCACTCACTGAAACAAAACATGAACTCACTCACTGAAACAAAACATGAACTCACTCACTGAAACAAAACATGAACTCACTCACTGAAACAAAACATGAACTCACTCACTGAAACAAAACATGAACTCACTGAAACAAAACATGAACTCACTCACTGAAACAAAACATGAACTTACTGAAACAAAACATGAAATCACTCACTGAAACAAAAACATGAACTCACTGAAACAAAACATGAACTCACTCACTGAAACAAAACATGAACTCACTCACTGAAACAAAACATGAACTCACTCACTGAAACAAAACATGAACTCACTCACTGAAACAAAACATGAACTCACTGAAACAAAACATGAACTCACTCACTGAAACAAAACATGAACTCACTCACTGAAACAAAACATGAACTTACTGAAACAAAACATGAACTCACTCACTGAAACAAAACATGAACTCACTCACTGAAACAAAACATGAACTCACTCACTGAAACAAAACATGAACTCACTCACTGAAACAAAACATGAACTCACTCACTGAAACAAAACATGAACTCACTCACTGAAACAAAACATGAACTCACTCACTGAAACAAAACATGAACTCACTGAAACAAAACATGAACTCACTCACTGAAACAAAACATGAACTCACTCACTGAAACAAAAAATGAACTCACTGAAACAATACATGAACTCACTCACTGAAACAAAACATGAACTCACTCACTGAAACAAAACATGAACTCACTGAAACAAAACATGAACTCACTCACTGAAACAAAACATGAACTCACTCACTGAAACAAAACATGAACTCACTCACTGAAACAAAACATGAACTTACTCACTGAAACAAAACATGAACTCACTTACTGAAACAAAACATGAACTCACTCACTGAAACAAAACATGAACTCACTCACTGAAACAAAACATGAACTCACTCACTGAAACAAAACATGAACTCACTCACTGAAACAAAACATGAACTCACTCACTGAAACAAAACATGAACTTACTCACTGAAACAAAACATGAACTCACTCACTGAAACAAAACATGAACTCACTCACTGAAACAAAACATGAACTCACTCACTGAAACAAAACATGAACTCACTCACTGAAACAAAACATGAACTCACTCACTGAAACAAAACATGAACTCACTCACTGAAACAAAACATGAACTCACTCACTGAAACAAAACATGAACTCACTCACTGAAACAAAACATGAACTCACTGAAACAAAACATGAACTTACTCACTGAAACAAAATATGAACTCACTCACTGAAACAAAACATGAACTCACTCACTGAAACAAAACATGAACTCACTCACTGAAACAAAACATGAACTCACTGAAACAAAACATGAACTCACTCACTGAAACAAAACATGAACTCACTCACTGAAACAAAACATGAACTCACTCACTGAAACAAAACATGAACTCACTCACTGAAACAAAACATGAACTCACTGAAACAAAACATGAACTTACTCACTGAAACAAAACATGAACTCACTCACTGAAACAAAACATGAACTCACTCACTGAAACAAAACATGAACTCACTCACTGAAACAAAACATAAACTCACTCACTGAAACAAAACATGAACTCACTCACTGAAACAAAACATGAACTCACTCACTGAAACAAAACATGAACTCACTCACTGAAACAAAACATGAACTTACTCACTGAAACAAAACATGAACTCACTCACTGAAACAAAACATGAACTCACTCACTGAAAGAAAACATGAACTCACTCACTGAAACAAAACATGAACTCACTCACTGAAACAAAACATGAACTCACTCACTGAAACAAAACATGAACTCACTCACTGAAACAACACATGAACTCACTCACTGAAACAAAACATGAACTCACTCACTGAAACAAAACATGAACTCACTCACTGAAACAAAACATGAACTCACTCACTGAAACAAAACATGAACTCACTGAAACAAAACATGAACTCACTCACTGAAACAAAAACATAGGTAAATATTTAACAATTTGAGGAAATGTATTGTTGCTGTAAGGTCCATACGTGTTTGACACTGACGAAGTACTCGGTGTTTAAACCTGTGCCATGTACTCATGTGTTGTACACTGACCAACTCACCTGTTTTACACGAAATACTCACCTGTTTTACACGAAATACTCACCTGTTTTACACCTGTTTTACACTGAAATACACGCCTGTTTTACACTTAAATAATCATATGTTTTACACTGAAGTACTCACATGTTTTACACTGAAGTACTCACATGTTTTACACTGAAGTACTCACATGTTTTACACTGAAGTACTCACATGTTTTACACTGAAGTACTCACATGTTTTACACTGAAGTACTCACATGTTTTACACTGTACTTGCATGTTTTACACTGAAGTACTCACATGTTTTACACTGAAGTACTCACATGTTTTACACTGTACTTACATGTTTTACACTGTACTCACACGTTTTACACTGTACTTACATGTTTTACACTGGGCCACGTATTCCTTCTTCTCGAAGTTGTTGACGGCATCAGCCGCCGGCTCCTCCTTGAGCTGGCACTCGCAGACTTTAGACTCGAAACACTTGAAGAAGGTCGTGAAGGTGCTGGCACAATAGATCATTCATTCGTTATTGAAAAGGCGTCAATAGACACTCGTGAGACATTTCTATACATACGCTTTGAATAAGCTAGGGAAAAGAACTCCAGATCAATGTGAAAGGGAAGCAACTCATTGAGGTGAGAGTATACCTGATTAATAATACATTCTTGAATTTGTGTCTTGATATAAAAATATACGAGAGAAATTTTGTGAACCTTATGTGAGAGATTTTTTTTTTTCATTTGTGTTAATTTTTCGATTTGTGACAAATTAATGATAGTCTGTGACATTTAAGTGACAATAGCTTACCCACAAAAGGCTGTAAAGTTTTTGTTAAAGGTGGACATGATGGCCGCAGCATCACGTGACTTGAAGCAAGTCTCCAGGGCCGGACACTTCTGGATCAGGCCTTGTATGACGGGGGCTGGGGGAGACATGGGGGCTGTATTATGACTTTACTTAGTCTTTACTGCTACGTTAAAGTTAAGCATATAAGTCGCTTTAAGTTAACAACCTAGCTTCACCCATCCACCCAGATTTTGGACCTACCTCCCAGTTACACCCAGATTTAGCACCTACCTCCTTGTTACACCCAGATTTAGCACCTACCTCCTTGCTACACCTCAGAATTAGCACCTACCTCCCAGTTACACCCAGATTTAGCACCTACCTCCCAGTTACACCCAGATTTAGCACCTACCTCCCAGCTACACCCCAGATTTAGCACCTACCTCCCTATTACAACACCCAGATTTAGCACCTACCTCCCAGCTACACCCCAGATTTAGCGCCTACCTCCCTATTACAACACCCAGCTACACCCCAGATTTAGCACCTACCTCCCTGTTAAAACACCCAGAATTAGCACCTACCTCCCAGTTACACCCAGATTTAGCACCTAACTGCCTGTTACACCCCAGATTTAGCACCTACCTCCCTGTTAAAACACCCAGAATTAGCACCTACCTCCCAGTTACACCCAGATTTAGCACCTAACTGCCTGTTACACCCCAGATTTAGCACCTACCTCCCTGTTAAAACACCCAGAATTAGCACCTACCTCCCAGCTACACCCCAGATTTAGCACCTACCTCCCTATTACAACACCCAAATTTAGCACCTACCTCCCAGCTACACCCCAGATTTAGCACCTACCTCCCTATTACAACACCCAGATTTAGCACCTACCTCCCAGCTACACCCCAGATTTAGCACCTACCTCCCTATTACAACACCCAAATTTAGCACCTACCTCCCAGCTACACCCCAGATTTAGCACCTACCTCCCTATTACAACACCCAGATTTAGCACCTACCTCCCAGCTACACCCCAGATTTAGCACCTACCTCCCTGTTAAAACACCCAGAATTAGCACCTACCTCCTTGTTACACCCAGATTTAGCACCTACCTCCTTGCTACACCTCAGAATTAGCACCTACCTCCCAGTTACACCCAGATTTAGCACCTACCTCCCCGTTAAAACACCCAGATTTAGCACCTACCTCCCCGTTAAAACACCCAGATTTAGCACCTACCTCCCCGTTAAAACACCCAGATTTAGCACCTACCTCCCGTTGTATTCTGTACCACAGGAAAGTTGTTGTCCTTGCCTGTGTCACGATCAACGCAGGTGATCCCAGGTTTTTGCGGGTAGACAAGTTTATCTGGTTGAAATCAATCAAATGTTTCATGTTTTAGTAACATTGCATAAATGTGCAGGTATTCGTTAAGTAATACGGTTACTCAATCGCAAAAATGTGATTTTCATATTATCACTCCTTAATGAACAATTCTACTATAGAACTAGAATCAACTTTTCAAATTACAACCCTCACTCTTCTCCCCCTTTAATGTACATCTTTTACTTAAAACTCTTGCAGTAATTCCCCCTTTGATTAACATTTCGCAGTTATCCCCTTTTGATGAACATCTTTTACTTACAACTCTCGCAGTTATCCCCCTTTGAAGAACATCTTTTACTTACAACTCTCGCAGTTATTCCCCTTTGATGAACATCTTTTACTTAGAACTCTCGCAGTTATCCCTCTTTGATGAACATCTTTTACTTACAGCTCTCGCAGTTATCCCCCTTTGATGAACATCTTTTACTTACAACTCTCGCAGTTATCCCCCTTTGATGAACATCTTTTACTTACAACTCTCGCAGTTATCCCCCTTTGATGAACGTCTTTTACTTACAACTCTCGCAGTTATCCCCCTTTGATGAACATCTTTTACTTACAACTCTCGCAGTTATCCCCCTTTGATGAACATCTTTTACTTACAACTCTCGCAGTTATCCCCCTTTGATGAACGTCTTTTACTTACAACTCTCGCAGTTATCCCCCTTTGGTGAACATATTTTACTTACAACTCTCACAGTTATCCCTCTTGAAGTAGTACAAGTTTCTCATGATCTCCTTGTAGGCCTGAGACAGCATGAAGCTGTCACTGGGGTACTGGCAGGCACATAGAGCCTGATCTGTGCATTGGGCGTAGTCAAGTCTGCTCCTGGGAAGGTGGGGGGGGGGGGGGGGGGGGGGCACGTCAATCAAAACATGCACGTGAGATTGGGTCAAATGATTAGTGTACTTAAGCATGCACATTAATTTAATGGGTGTCAAAGTTTTAATTTTTGAGTTGTTGAGATTGTATAAAAATGTTTGTTTATATGGTGCGTTGATGTCGTTTTTAAAAATGTAGTTTTGTCAAACACACGTATGGAAATTTTAATATTTACTCAATAGCAGGAACAGATGTTTTTCAACGTTTGTTTAACTGTCGTGAGGCAGTGAATCATGTTAACTGCAATAATACAGTGGCTAACAGCCTAGAGCTGTTTTATATTGTATGATGCTGTTTCAGACTGCTGACTAACTGTAACTTTCCTATATTGTATGATAGATGTCGTATTATGGCTGTCGGCCTAAAGCTATCGTACATAGTTTGGTTATTGTCTTATTATGGCTGACTGCCTAAAGCTGACAACATCCACGAATGCCCAGACAACCACCAACTACCAGACAACCACCAACTACCAGACAACCACCAACTACCAGACAACCACCAACTACCAGACAACCACCAACTACCAGACAACCACCAACTACCAGACAACCACCAACTACCAGACAACCACCAACTACCAGACAACCACCAACTACCAGACAACCACCAACTACCAGACAACCACCAACTACCAGACAACCACCAACTACTAGACAACCACCAACTGCTAGACAACCACCAACTGCCAGACAACCACCAACTGCAAGACTTACTTGCAGACCTCCTCCATGTTGTCGCCGGCGGCACTAACGGAACTGTCGAACACGCTCCGGCACTGGCCAAGCTGCTGTGCGTTCATGCATGCCGTCGTCAGGGACGGTGCCACGGCTGGTTCCTGTTTACTTGATGGGTCAGCCTGACCCAGGACGGACGCTGGGAAACGTAAATCAGTTTTAAAACATCTTATGCAATCCGGCCCATATGCAGAAAATAAAGAAGAACTATAGCGGCAGAATAAAAGGCTGAGCAATAATTGTTTTATTGTCTACTTTTCTTGTGATCCTGCAACATTTCAGAGCTTTATTTCCGGGGTGTAAATTATAGATTGTAGAAAGTGTTAGTGGATGCGGCATGTTCCACAAGGATTCTAACTCCGGACACAAAGTAATTATTTACACACCTACCCTATCTTAGGTCATATTACACATGTTAACTTACATTACATTCATTGAGACACCTCTCACACCCAATAGCCCCTAAAACACACAACTCCACATACTAGACAGTACCTAGCTATTCCCTATTACTCGATATGAAGCCAGCTACATCAAAATCTATCATTGTGTGCACGCACACTGTCGATACATGATCTAAGCTTGACAAAAACAAATGTCGCACTTCTGTGTATAATAGTGTATATAATTCTCTGATTCAGCTTGATGCAGTATTACTACTAAAAGTAATTGGTTTATTATCATAGAGATCGTTGATACCGATATTTTGAATCGCACCTGGATAAGAAAAGTACGTTTTTTTATGTTTAGGGTCGTCAATACCTCACCCCGAAAAAGCAGTTCCCCCCGCCCCTCCCCCCAGGTGTGACGTCACCGGTAGTTTGTTTACTGCAACAACAGGTCATAATCTTTCGCATTTATAATGTTGTCTAGGCAACATCACATACCGAATATATATGTTTGTAGCTTGAATAAAATTTAAATATTTAAAATAATATGCCAGTCTATTTTTGTGTATTAAACAAAAGAAAAAATGCATAAATTATAGGATACACTGGCCAGTAATGAAAGCTAACAAATGAAATATTGTTGAGAAGATAATAATTCGAGTTAACGCCCTTTAGTAGACTCAGATACTTGTCAAATGTTTGAATACAAACAAGCCATTAATTCTGCCCAACTAGCTGAGGTCTATCTCACCAATCTAGATGTCCACCCTGCTACACCCTGGGGCTTGAATCACAAATGGTTTGTTTTTATGGGTCTCCTGGGACGCTAATCTGCTGGATGAGAGAGAGTTATCCCCCATCAAAGAGAACCCTTGTAGTGATCTTATCTTGACTAATGTTTCTGTTGTTTGTCCTAGGAAGACGATGAAGCAGAAAATTGTCTAGGGTTAAATGTCTTCATCTTTTTTTTTTATGTCGTATGATGTGAGCATTTCATGAAACCTTTGTCATATATTTGTGTAGTTTCTTTGAATTAAAATAAATAGCAACATATGGTGTTTTAATTGGCAAATATTTTGAGAGTTTCTATCGATTCCTTTAACCGACAACATCTGGGGATAGAGTTAACACATTCTGCAATCGTTAACGTTTTGACCCTCACGACATTATCATCCAGATAAAAAAAAAAGCTTCTCTTTGCTTCATGAACCGACCAGTCTTGAGAAACCAAACCAAAACTTTGTTTATATTGATTTCATCGAGAAAGAACACCATGCAAGTGTAAAAATTAAAGTAAATATCCCTTTCAAACCTGGATGTCCATGGGACAAGTGAAGTAGAGTTCACTTGTTTCTGTGACCTCGGCATATAGAGATAGTGTTGTCAGCACTATGCTCAGCCGCCTTTACTTTCCCTAACGCGAGTTAATTACCCATCAGAGTTGGATTCGAACTCGAGACTTACGGGTTAGCAGTCCAGCACTCTACCGCTAGACCACTCCGTCCCCGACGCAGGCCTAAGTCATGTAAAGAATGAAAGCGGGCACGAATGTTGACAACTGAGATGTTGACTGGAACTTGAAAGTTGTTAGAAATCAGAAAAGGAAATTTTGTAATATAATTAACCACGAAATATATATTTTACTCTACCTTGATCTGATAGTATGAAAGTATAAAAGAAGGAAAAAGCATACAAAAATATATAGCTACCCCCCCCTACACCCACCACCACCACCACCAACACTCAATACACACAGATAAAACTTAATTAATGAATTGTGTCGAATTTGTACACTATATTACTATACTTCACATGTTAAAATGAATTTTCACTTTAACTGTATAGATACTAAAACGGTATAAATACTTTTTAATTTTAAATGTGTTACAAAAAGGAATTTTATCCTCAGTAAACACAAATATAAGACTGCACAACATATTTCTGTACTCATTCTTTCATGTGAAATAAAATTCAAGAGTATAAAATTTTTTACTTACAAACCAGTAAACCGAATGTGAATGCCTGCATCAAACCCATCTTGCAACTAACTAGCTACTGACAAATCCTTGATTCACGAAGAACAAATAAAGAAAGATAATCCAAAACCAAGGGAGGCAATCCACGAATTGTAAATTTCTTGACGTATAATCAGTTTTCTACTTGGCAAGGTGGGGTTTGTTAAATTATTCTGTAACAAAAAATGTGATGATCTGAAGTTTAAATCCCAAAACTATCTTTGAAGTTTTGAACACGGTAGAAAGTTTGAATATTAAGATCTTTCATTCGAAAAATAAATCAAAATAAGTTACTTTCCTATTCCTCATAAAAAGGGTAATTTCTAAGAAAAAATGTCCGCATACCTAGTTCAACTGCACAAAACTTGACACTAGAAGTTTGACGTACCTTGTGGATGAGGCCATGTGTTACCTAGAGGCGGTGCGATCATCTCGGCCACGCCCTTCCATCCCAAGCGGTAGATGGGTGTGTGTGTGTGGGGGGGGGGGGGGGCGATACATAAAGCTTCCATCCCCTAAACTTTTGTTTTGTGTATTTGGCATTCCTCATGATGCCCCTTCCTATCCTGCTGTAATATTTTCATTTCTATAAAGTTTATTGCTAACTTTAGTAATTACATTTGTAATGTAGGCCTATTTTTCATGCACCATTCAACTCAAGGGAAATAAGAATGTCATATTTTTAAAGAAACGAATTATTCTTCGTTATAAAACCATTTTAAAAATGTAGACATTGCTTTTTACATACTATTAATGCACTAATTAAAACTATAAACTATTTGCGTATAATACAGTTGTTTTTTTTAAATCTAATTTTTAAATATAATTATTCGACATTCTCGCACAAATATTTTGACATGGTATTTTAAAAAAAAATCATTTATACGAGTCTGTTTCTGTGTACACCAGAAAGCACATAGTTATGATTTCACCCCGTACGTTGAAGCGAATCCATTACCGGGGCTGATTATGCATGCGTTGTGTTGTTTATGCTGTCCACGATGTTCAGTCTGTGTACGAGGACTCGGTCTACCTTTACACACAAAAAACACGGTTATGTCCCCGTGATGGACAGAACCCTGAGTGGTACACCGTCCACATTTGCATCTGGTCGGGAGCGACGCAGCAACAGGACACGACGGAGATTGACGGTGGGGGAAGACTGCGGCGGAGCTGCATAAGAAATTGATAGTTGAGGTGTTGTAATTTTTTAATTGATGGCAGGTTCTAAATAAAGGTTGGCGGTTGTTGTTTCTCTGTTATGTCATGTTTGGTATTTTCGTGTAAATAAAAAAAAAGCAGGTATATCGTGTGTTGGTGTTTGGTTTAGATTTATAATCTTTATTTAGGGATGAGGCTAGATTTGGGTTATGTATTGTTATCGTAGATTGCTATTTTTAGTATCAAAACACATGGCATAGGCAAAGAAGGACGTGGTCATTTTTAAAGGTGAGTGTGTGGTCAACCACACTCAGATGATTGTGTAATCATATCAACCCTCAAGTGCGGTTAACTTCATTCAAGTGATTATACAGTCAACCAGAGTTATTGTGTGCTCAATTACCGTCACGTGATTTGTGATCACACCTGTTTACAATAAGAGGAGCATGAAGAGAGAGGGAGAGAGGACGGAAAGAGGACAGAGAGAGGACGGAGTGTGAATGGAGAGTGGATGGAGAGAGGACGGAGAGGGGACGGAGAGAGGAGGGAGAGAGGATGGAAACTGGACGGAGAGAGGAGGGAGAGAGGATGGAAACTGGACGGAGAGAGGAGGGAGAGAGGACGGAAAGTGGATGGTGAGAGAATGGAGAGAGGATGGAGAGAGGATGGAGAGAGGATGGAGTGTGAATGGAGAGTGGATGGAGAGAGGGCAGAGAGAGGATGGAGAGAGGATGGAGAGAGGACGGAAAGAGCACGGAGAGAGGAGGGAGAGAGGACGGAGAGTGGATGGAGAGAGGACGGAGAGAGGATGGAGAGAGGACGGAGAGAGAATGGAGAGGACGGAGTGTGAATGGAGAGTGGATGGAGAGAGGGCAGAGAGAGGATGGAGAGACGAGGGAGAGAGGACGGAGAGAGGATGGAGAGAGGACGGAGAGAGAATGGAGAGGACGGAGTGTGAATGGAGAGTGGATGGAGAGAGGGCAGAGAGAGGATGGAGAGACGAGGGAGAGAGGACGGAGAGAGGACGGAGAGAGGACGGAGAAAGGAGGGAGAGAAGTCGGAGAGATGAAGGGAGTCCTCCTATGTTTGTCTCCAACAATCTTCCTTTGATTACAGCAGACTTGATCAGTCCATGTCCCAATCAGACATTCAAATCTGAGATATCTGATTGAGCATTTATAGGGTGGTTATGGCGTCCCTGGTTGTAATGTAGTTGTTGGGTGGGGGAGAGCTTCGTCTGTGGGGGGGGGGGGTTATTTAGTTCAGGTGTTTATTAAGCAGTTGACTTTGATAGTGATATGACCACTCATGTGTCCGATGGGTGTTACTTTTGGTGGTCATCATGTGTGAACCAGTGGCGGAACTAGGAAAAAAGGGCCACCCCGCAAAAAAATTTGTTGGGCCCTATAAATTATATATATATATATATATATATATATATATATATATATATATATATATATATATATATATATATATATATAAACTAAATACGAAAATATCATCGTAGAATAGGCCTACTCAATTCGGGCTTGTTCGAAATTTGAAAAAAATTAAAATTCTTAGTTCTTATTTTTAATTAAAGCATATTACAACAACACATCATTTGTGTAAGTGCTATTAGTCTGTTTTGAAATTCTCTGTTTCAATGTCTGACGAGTTGATTCCTATTACAAAGCGGTCAAAAAATTATGAAGCATGAAAGCTATGTATGTGTAATGGTTTCTCGCCATATGTTTATTTTTATTTTTTTTTTGTTTTTATATTATTAGTTTTTAATACATTTCCTTTTATATTATGTCATTCTTTATTTTGGGTTTTTTAAAATAATAATTAAGCGAAGTAATTGCTTTTTAATTTGTTTAGTGCTAAAAATAAGTTTTTTATTTAAGAGCACACATATTTCACTTTTTAAAAAAAGGGAAATAAGTCATGGAAGTGGTTTGAACGTTTCCCTGTCTTTAACACTACAACTCATGTAGCTATATATGTTTTTCCTTTCTGAAACAGCGATGTTAGATACTGTAGAACATCACTACTGTAGTAAATCTGTTGTTTTTTTGTTGCTTTTTTTTTTGCAAAAAAAAAAATAAAAAAAATTAACTTCTAAAACGTTGATTCAGGTAGGCTTTGGGCCCCTAAATGGCCTGGGCCCCCCCGCATTGCGGGGTCTGGCGGCACTGTAGTTCCGCCCCTGGTGTGAACACACATTCACTCATCGACGCCACGTATGCTCGCACATAAAGTATACAACTTCGGATATAGTGAAGTAAAACAACAACATGGCTCATCAACACCATGTATGCAGAACATAAAGTATCAGTCACACATTAACACAACTTGGGAAACACATAACGTATAACAACACACACACATAGAGACATCTTCTGACACACACATAATGTGTGATGAGAGATAGAACTCAATTCATGTAAAAACAATAATGTCATCCCTTTCCCTTCAGGGATAATGTATGCAGTCGAGTACAATCTATTTTTAGAGGTAGTTAATAAGTGTCTTATCGACTTGATGGAGGAGGTTTTTTAACCTTAAGAAATGGTTGTTATGGAGTCGCATGTAGCAATGGTAATAATATGCATTTTGTTGTTTTCTGCTAATTTAAATTCAAAAAGGAAAGTATGCGCTGTTCATGGGGTTTTTTTTTCCGTTGTTTCCGTTTTTTTTTAAAAGTGCGTTGAGTTCATTCCTACCTTGAGAGTGGGGTGGCGTAGGGAGGTGATTAAGTCTATTTTTGAAGGTTCATTTGGTTTTCTTGAATAAATATGTGTAGAGTAAAATATAAATTAATATACATAAGGACAGGCTGTTTACGGTATGAGGTTCCATTTTCACAGTTAAAAGATGACAATACGCAGTAAATATAAAACATTATACAAGCAAGTATATTGTTTGAGTGTGGATATATATATATATATATATATATATATATATATATATATATATATATATATATATATATATGTGTATATATATATGATTAATATATATTAATGTGGCTCATGTCAGGTATGGGCCCTGACGCCAATTTATCGTGTTCAGTAGCTCGACCACGATATCCCTTGAAATATTGCATCAATCAAAATATTTAAATACTGTTTTAGTCCTAAGATAATTAGCTTGAGTGCTACAATATATTTTACACAAAATATTATTCTTCGCTGAAAAATATTTTATAAATGAAAAGGTACATTTATCATGTTGTAAAAAAAAATCCTAAATAAATAACCCTGTTTATTTTGTGACGATAGTAGTTTCCCCTGTGTTTACAATTGTAAGACAAGCCTTGTAAATAAAGGTGAGTGGTACCTGTAGCAACACGCTGGCTACGGCCCCTTGTTGTGCACTTTTGTCCTGGGTTATTTACCTTTGATCATTTGTTTCCCTTTTTGGACTTGATGACTCACGAGTGGGGTTTAAACTATTTAAGTAACATCTTGGACTTAACTTTAATTAAAGACGACGCTAAATTTTAATTGTTTACAGAACTTAATTACCACGTTGATATCGGACGACATGACTTTCTTGGTCTGAGCTACCGTAGGGAAGGTGAAGTAGAGTTAATGTGTATCTACGGCCTCGGCTTAATATTGATGAGGCCAGTTTTTATTTTCTCTGAATGGAACTATATTAGTATGGCATCTGACAATAGTTGAATCTTGCGCTCTACAGAATTAAAATAAACCGGGAGTGATCTCCCCTAAACTTTCTCGAATATTCTAATATAAAATTACGAGGGATGGCAACTCAGGACATAGACAATATTTGTTATCTATTTTTAATTACTTAAACTTTTTATAATAGAATAGAATCTCGTAAAAAAAGAATTGCACACCAAGTGAAAAGTTTCCCTTTCAAACCTGACGGTCTATGGAGCAAGTGAAGTAGAGTTCACTTGTTTCTGTGACCTCGACATATGAAGAGTAGTTTGGTCAGCACTATGCCCAGCCGCCTTTACTTTCCCTAACAGGAGTTAGGTACCCATCAGAGTTGTGGACCAAGTGAACGCCTAATAAAATGTGTATAAAAGTGCGGGATATAATTTGTACTTTATAAATTTACATTTTTTTGAGAAATCGGAAATAGCATAAAACGCCAAAACGTTTATATATTTGTATTTATAAATTTTGCCTGATTAAAATAAGTTCTTTATACTCCGGATTTGATGAAGGACTGAGGAGTAAAACGGTGAAAACTGTCAAAATTTCATGTTATTTTTGTGCACGATTACAATACTTTCTCTATACTTCGTATACACTTCGTATAGTAAACTTAAACACAAACATTTTTAACCTCGACAACTACTGCCCATTTACTGCCGAAATTTCTGCCCAAGAACTGCCCGAACTGCCTAAGTACTACCCAATAACTCTCCACTGCCCAAACTCAACCCACATAGATGCCCACAAATTGTTCAAATATAGTTTCGCCCATTTGCTGTCCACACACTATCCAGTATACAAACTAACAGTCCACATTCTATCCAGTATACAAACTAACAGTCCACATTCTATCCAGTATACAAACTAACAGTCCACATTCTATCCAGTATACAAACTAACAGTCCACATTCTATCCAGTATACAAACTAACAGTCCACATTCTATCCAGTATACAAACTAACAGTCCACATTCTATCCAGTATACAAACTAACAGTCCACATTCTATCCAGTATACAAACTAACAGTCCACATTCTATCCAGTATACAAACTAACAGTCCACATTCTATCCAGTATACAAACTAACAGTCCACATTCTATCCAGTATACAAACTAACAGTCCACATTCTATCCAGTATACAAACTAACAGTCCACATTCTATCCAGTATACAAACTAACAGTCCACATACTATCCAGTATACAAACTAACAGTCCACATTCTATCCAGTATACAAACTAACAGTCCACATTCTATCCAGTATACAAACTAACAGTCCACATTCTATCCAGTATACAAACTAACAGTCCACATCCTATCCAGTATACAAACTAACAGTCCACATTCTATCCAGTATACAAACTAACAGTCCACATTCTATCCAGTATACAAACTAACAGTCCACATTCTATCCAGTATACAAACTAACAGTCCACATTCTATCCAGTATACAAACTAACAGTCCACATTCTATCCAGTATACAAACTAACAGTCCACATTCTATCCAGTATACAAACTAACAGTCCACATTCTATCCAGTATACAAACTAACAGTCCACATTCTATCCAGTATACAAACTAACAGTCCACATTCTATCCAGTATACAAACTAACAGTCCACATTCTATCCAGTATACAAACTAACAGTCCACATTCTATCCAGTATACAAACTAACAGTCCACATTCTATCCAGTATACAAACTAACAGTCCACATACTATCCAGTATACAAACTAACAGTCCACATTCTATCCAGTATACAAACTAACAGTCCACATTCTATCCAGTATACAAACTAACAGTCCACATTCTATCCAGTATACAAACTAACAGTCCACATCCTATCCAGTATACAAACTAACAGTCCACATTCTATCCAGTATACAAACTAACAGTCCACATTCTATCCAGTATACAAACTAACAGTCCACATTCTATCCAGTATACAAACTAACAGTCCACATTCTATCCAGTATACAAATTAACAGATGTCAACGTACAACCCATATTGACTGTTGTAGACATCCTAGACACAACATCTAATAAGACATCGGATCGCTCTACTAATGAAAACTTTGCTATGAAGAGATAACTCAATTCATCTTACCATGCTTTAACATTCATTATATGAATCCTTTGGCTTTACGTTTTTTCAAAGGAGTCAAAGGGAGATAAAATTAACATTTAAATGCTTTATTAAAAATACGAGTTGTTTCCCCTAGTAATGGATGGAATTGGAGTACCTCGATGGTTGTACGACATCCACTGAGTGTCTGTGAGCGTGAGTACTCGACAACCCAGCAAATCTAAACACAAACTAACAAAACAGTTTGAATTGTTGAAACAGTTTAAAGACTAGAACACTGGATGACTTACAACAAATAGCCTCCATCTAGTAGAACATGTTAGAACCTAAATTCTACCGTGCAAATACATGTGTCAAGAAATTTGAATTCTATGACAATAAACCGTGGCAATAGTTTTTATAGAGTGGGTGTTTAGACCCCCCCCCCCCCCCACACACACACACACAACACATGGTCACCCGTCGATTAGAAAAAAAAACTGGACAAAATTCCATTAGATATAATAATAGAAAAAAGTCTTACCTCAATACACCCACTCTTATTCCTCCCCGCCCCATAAAATCACGTCAATTCTATATCAACTTGATTTATATGTTACTATTTGTTTGTATAAATATACAAAAAGAATACGGCATTACATTACCTCCTCCATCCCCACCCCCACACCCAAATGTTATTTGATTCCATTAAAACATTTTTATAAGACACCACTTCAGAAGCCAAAAGTAATTGTTAGATTTTAGTTAAACAGCTTTGACAGTGTTATACGAACACAAACTGTCGTTAACAGCCATTAACTTCCTATTCTTCATTCAACACGGTTATACCATAATGAAGATTTAATAGTCTAGTAATTTTGGATTCTTTTAAAATGTGTATATTTCAATGTTAAATTCAACACTACCCACCCTACTCAAATCACTGTGTCCATTAACTTCCCATTCTTCACTCAACACGGTTATACCATAATGAAGATTTAATATGCGTATAGTCTAGTAATTTTGGATTCTTTTAAAATGGGTATATTTCAATGTTAAATTCAACATCACATGCCCTGCTCAAACCATAGCTTTCACACAAAAAAATCGATCTTGTCCGTTTCGAAGTCATAAATGAATGACTTTAAATACATACCATCTACAGATAAATATAGAAACTAGGTCAGGGAGTTCCCGCATACTTAGATCAAGTTGCGTGTGTCTATATTTAGATTCGACGCCAGGTAAATTCTCGGAACACGTCATGTTAATACGTCATAAGTAACGGGAAAAACGTTGGCTTTGATTATAAGTCTAAAATTTTACAAAACTTTTTTTTTTGAAGGGGAAATTTCAATACAGTGGGAATTTTATATCGAATAAATATTCTGTACAGCATGTTTTGTTGCATTTTTATTTTTTTAAAAATCACCTGTGGTGAATCAACGACAGTTAGAGATTATTGATGTGTTGAATTGATCTAATACTCTTGAGTTACTGACACTGAAGTAACTTCGTCTAAGTATAATAAACATTGAAGAAGAACATGCTTTATTATTGTTTCACGATTATTTCTTTTCTATTGCTGATAAAATTCAATTATAAAACAACGAACGTTATGGTATCTGAAACCACTTCTCCTTTTAGCAGTGTATAAGATTTAATAAAAACAGTAAAATTTCATAGTATAAACATACACACATACATATACATATTCATTTACATAAGCTATGCTACAAAAAGTTGTTTTACAATCAATCTAGGTCAACAGCGTAATGTCTATTTTTAGCATGGAGATTCCTGTGAACAGGGGAGTTTATCAGTTTAATTCAGTCCGTAAATAAAAATCTGATGTAATACCGAAACCTACAGCTTTCTGTATCAAAGAATAACGTCATTCCTACATTCTGTTTGCAACACTTGTATCATAAATATACGACATAATCTTCAGAGAAAATGATGAAAAATTAAATAAATAAAATGTAAATAAAATGACATATACATACAGGAAAGAGTAGCTATTGCATTTAATATAAATTTTAAAAAAAGTTTATGTTAATTAATTATAGTCGAAATAAATGTTGCGTCAAGTCTTTTTTATTCCCAAGATAAAGTTGCGCTGAAATGTAAACAATTAAGTAGGCCTATTACTTAATTCATCTTTAGTGAATGCTATATAGATTATTGATCAGATCAGTGTATGAATTTTACTTTACACGTATACTCTACTTCAGCTGCTATCTGTGAATCAGCAGACAACCTACATTTAAAAAAAAAAATCTCGCTGTTTTGTCAGCAATTATTGATATTTACAATAACATAAAAGAAGTTTTTTATTTAAAATGTTTTTAATCTTCGTTCTTAGGTAGGTGAACTCTACTTCATCTGTCGTACGAATCTTAGATCCAAATGGGTAACTTTGCTTGTTACTTAGCCTTGGTCATATTTTTGTTTTTTTTATTTTTTTATTTCAAAGAGTTTACAGTTATTTAATTAATTAGTTAATTAAAATTTAGCAAAATAATTAATTGATTAAAAAAACACACAAATAACCAAGTGATATAAACAATTTATCCTTAAAAACGAAACTTTAAATGTGTAGTGGAGATTTGTATAAGTAAGTATCATGAGTAAAACCACGATTCATTTTACAGATCAGCCACGTAAAAGGTTATAAATAATCGTAACAGATAATAGTGTCAAGATTCGGTATCGTCGTGATGGTATGTCGGAACGATTACGCGATAGTCGATATGCCCTGACGTGGTTTCGGTATCAGAAATCCACTAAATTACGAGATCGTCCAACACCTAATAGAATCGAATGCTATTTTTAAAGATGAGAAACATCAAATTTGGTTTGAAATAAATACAATTTCTGCTGATGACGTGTTCAAGGGTTTCGGTGTTGGCGGTAAAATCCGTTAGGTCATACGTCATAGGTACGACACAGTGGGTATATAAGCCAGGTGCTAACTGTGAGTTTAGTGGGAGAGAAGAAAATATTAAAGGAATATATCACAAGTTCACATAACACGCATCTTTATAGTATTTAATAGCTACGACATCTATATTATAATTTCATCAACTGAAAAAAAAAAATTTTTACCGTAAATTTTGTTGGTTTTATTAATTCGATTACCCAAAAAGGTAAGTAGATATTTTGTTAGTACTTATATGTAACATTTGTATAGGGTTGCATGTTAATCAAGATTTAACCATACCTACATAATTGGAGAGACAATACTATAAGATCAATGAACCGACATCTTAAACCTAAGCGTTACATAATACACAAGCTAGAGATGAACTAACGACATAGGGAAATACAACGCAGACGAAATATGTGCATCTGATAGATGAGAATCAAATCTTTTATGATAGACACAAGTGCGAGGAAATTGTATTGTTCTATACTACATAGATCTATTTGGTGTGATTATTTATTGTGAGATCCAAGTGAAATTTTCATCATATCTGGAGGTTAGTAGTGTAGATGAAGTAGAGTTCACATTTTGATGCGACTTGTGCTAACTATTGCTCAATGCCAACGCCCACCGGCTTACTTGTGATTCGTGCCACCCCCACCCCCTTTATGCGTATGATAGGTAGTCTACCCAGGCACATATTATCCGTCTTACATATGGCAGTGGCGTAGCTAGGATTTTTGGGCCCATATGCAAAAAGTGTTAGTGGGCCCATCAGAGGCTTTCGATTTGCACCCCCCCCCCCCTCAGACTATCGAATTGCACCCACCACCCCCTCAAACTTTCGAAACAGGGCCCCTATTTGCCTTGGGCCCTATGCCTTGCTTACGCTAGATTTACGGTAGCTACGCCATTTACATATGGTGTCTATATGATATGTGTTTACGTCGTTTGTGTATATGTACAGATATTTATTTGTACATAGCAGTATTCCCATATTTACAGTAGCTAATGCAGATTTATGTCTTCAGCAGACATAAAGTATGGCATCAGGTCTTGACATGAAGAAAGTCTGTCTAGAATGGTTTCATTCGAATCCAGAATATAGGAACTTCCGTGAGTGGCTTTTCTCATATCTTATTATATGTTGAGAGGAATTTAACCCGTTTTTAGAATAAATTTTAAATCTTCATTACTAATAAAGCATTAGCACTGATTTTATTTTTTAGGTAACAGTTACCCAAGTATTTTGGAATTTATAATATTTTAGAATTACATTTAATGTCTTTTTTTTTTTAAATTTAGAATTTGAAAATTATCGGTTTTAATGTTTCATCTAATTGATCGGTTGGTGTGTTTTAATTTTTAGTTCGTTTTACCTAAATAGATAACCAAACTTGTATTGACTATTATGTTTTACGTTTGATTAAAACTCCTTTGCCCTAAAAACAGAGCCAGAGATAAACCTAGGAAACTTGAAGCTCACTCTTGAGACCCCCACATGGTCTCAGGACAACTTGAAGGCACAGAAGAATGGCCCCACCCGTAAGGTAATTATAAGAGATTGTTACACACGTAAGGTAATTATAAGAGATTGTTGCAAACGTAATATAATTATAAGAAATTGTTGCACACGTAATATAATTATAAGAAATTGTTGCACACGTAATATAATTATAAGAAATTGTTGCACACGTAATATAATTATAAGAAATTGTTGCACACGTAATATAATTATAAGAAATTGTTGCATGGACTACCCTCAATGCACTCTTAACCTTGATCTCCTGTCTAAACCTCAAACTGTTAACTAGGCCTCATGATGATAATAATTTCTATCAATATTTAACATGAAGTATCTACTATTTCCATCACAATTAACCCTCTATATCCTGCAATTTGCCGCGCTAATTCACCTATAGAACACCACTCCGGCTATTAACCCTTAAAACGCTGTGAGTTAGCCACTATGTTTAACTCTTGTCGCTGTTTCAGGTGACACTTAAGTACGGCACTAACATGACTGAACTGTACAGTGACTTAAAGATTGAGAAGAACTCAGAAGTCGTTGACTCGGTCACTATTCAGCAGGGGAAGCTACTCGGTGAGTCTTTTTTGACGAGTTGTCTTTAAGACAAAAAGCGGTCATCGAAATCTAAAATAAGTGCTTCAGTATATATAAAGACTTTCTCTATTTAGACTTCACAAAAAAAAAAAAAAAAAAAAAAAAAAAAAAAATCTAATTTTATATTAAAAGAAGTTTCGATGTTTTTCAGTTCAAACATATAAAAAAATAAATTTCTTAAACAAGAATTAGCTAATGAAAAGCTATTGAAAGCTACAACAGTGAAACGCAATTATTACTTCGTAGACAACGCTTAGTTATTTTTAATCTTGTTTGATTAATCTTACACGAATGGTTAATGTTTCATGTATAGGTATTTCAATTATTTCAAATATTTTATTGATTAAAATTTCAATAAGTTATTGTTAACATTTATCACAATTAATTTCACTAAAACCATATTGATCAGAAATTAATAATTAATCGAATAACTTTTTACATTAGGCATCAATAAAGAAGTGGAGATTTCACTTCCAAATAACGCCCAGAGAGCCTCCGTCAAGGTCAACGTAGGCCGTGATATTGTAGAAGAAAGCAGGAACGGCAAGCCAATCAAAATCCAGGGTGGGCGGCCTAGCACCATAGGCGGCACGGTCACCGCCACAATCTCGCCAAAAGAGTGCTCATTCACAGGTACAGTTTTAGTCGGCCATTTCATTGGTCTGCCATTTTTTCGGTCGGCCTTTTTTTTTGTAGACTATTTTGTTGGTCGGCCATTTTCTGGTTTATAGAGTCGTCTTCTGGTGAATATTTTAAGCAAAATTTTCGGATCAATTGTCGAGTTTAGGGAAGTGTGTCTGCGTGTCTGTGTGTACGTTAGTGTGTACCTAGGACTGGTCAAGTCTGGGGCCGAGAGAGAGAGAGAGTGTGTGTTTAGTGTTAGTCTCGTTTGATCGTCGTTTGAGTGAAATGTCTGACTGATTTTACATATTTGATGGTGATGAAGTTTTTTTTTAATGGTGTAAGTTTTTATCTTTCAAAAAAAATATGTTTCGATTTCCGAACAATTTTTTATATTTTTCAAGTTTCGATAGGCGAAACACATTTTAATGGGGGTTTTTTATGTTTCAATATCCGAATAAAAACAAAATTTTCATGATTCGATATCCAAACAAAACAATTACGTGATACCAGCTTACCATTTGATTTCAGGACAGTTCCAGTGCAATGCTAGGCTAAGCGGTGACGTCATTTTCACGTTTCCCTACTACGGACAAAGAGCACAGGAGCAGCAAAACATCGTTCAAATCATCAGGGATCTCCAGAGTCCATCACGTGATGACATCAAGATGTTTGAGGCCATGTTTGACCACATCAGGTGGCCACTAAAGGGGGAGGTGGAGTTGAGGTGGGATGGTAACTATGACGTCACCTGGAACTAGATGATGTCAACAGCAGATAAAATAATTTTGTTTTACTTTATCGATGATCGCTGTGCTTATGTATCACTGGACCTGTTGTTATTATAGATGTTACAAAAAACACTACAAGAAATACATTTTTTTTTAATTTTTAAAATGACAAATTTAAAAATAAAAGTATATTTTATTTTGATTTTTAGTCCCAACATCATGTATTTGATAAGTATATTTCTATAATTAAATGCAATCAGTTTAAAATCATCAAGCAAATACAAATCAAATGTATTAAAACACATCTTTTAGATATAAACACAATAAAAGTCATCTGGACCTTCACATAGTAAAAACCACTTAATAAAAGACACTAACATTACTAATAAAAATATTATCTATGCTCGATACTATTCTATTTTATGATTTGTAAAGTAGCCTATCAATATTAACACAGCAAAAACCAAAACGTATGCCTAAATTGCTATTGTATTTAGAATGATTAGTGTGGATATTTAATACCTATTCTATTCTAAATTAAATTAAAAGAACACAAGTAAGTGAGTTCAATAAACAACACATGTATATTGGTGTGTCATATAAATAATGTTGAATGTTGTACCGAGTAAATTTTACTGAAATGTCTTTGTGATAGTGAAATGTATGGGTAGGCCTATAGCTGTAATAAATTATTAAAATGGTTGAGAGATGGATGGGTAGTTGTATGGAAGTGGTTGGCAGCACTGTATGGTTGGCAATACTGAATGGTTGGCAATTATGTATGGTTGTAAATACTTCATGGTTGACAATATTGAATAGTTGGCAGCACTGTGTGGTTGGCAATAATCTATGGCTGGCAATATGGTATAACTGGCAATATGGTATAACTGGCAATATGGTATAACTGGCAATATGATACAACTGGCAATATGGTATGGCTGGCAATATGGTATGGCTGGCAATATGGTATGGCTGACAATACGGTATGGCTGGCAATATGGTATGGCTGGCAATATGGTATAACTGGCAATATGGTATGGCTGGCAATATAGTATAACTGGCATTATGGTATGGCTGGCAATATGGTATTACTGGCAATATGATGTAACTGGCAATATGGTATAACTGGCAATATGGTATAACTGGCAATATGGTATAACTGGCAATATGGTATGGCTGGCAAAACTGTATGGTTGGAAATAATATATGGTAGACGATATAATGATTGAAAAATGTGTTTCATTGAAAAACTGTACGGTTGGTAAAACTTAATGAAAACTAAATTATATAAAACACGTCATTTGTGAATGTGTTTGCACTATGGAAAAATAAATGCCACGAACCAATATTACATATGAATTTCAGTTTTTACTTGTTAAATATTGTGTCTAATTTAAAAAATAAAAGTTCACTAATCGCTACTCTTGTTTGTTTAATTTTACTTTGGAAGTCTCGCGTTTTTTGTTACACGATAAACAATCGTCACAGACCAGAGCAAAATGTCAAACATGGTTCAACAGTCTAATCTGTTCTTGTGCTCGTTTGTCAGTCGTTCAGTACAAAATGGACTGTTGATATCTGACACTAAATGAGCATTACCAGTATGGTAGTATTTATGGTACTGAAGAATTGAAGTATAAACATAAACAAAACATAATAAAGAAATTAAAAAAGAATAGAAAAATGTTTCGTGCTACATCGGGGGCAGATGCGTAGCGAGGGGGGGGGGGGGGGGGAAACATATGTTCCCGTGCGCCGACCTTAGGGAAGGGCGCCAAAATGGGTTTGAAAAACAAATTGAAAGTTTGAGGGGGGGGGGTGGAAATCAGAAGTTCGAGGGGGGATGCAAATCGAAAGTTTGAGGAGGGGGGGGGTGCAAATTGAAAGTTTGTCCCCCGGGCGCCGGGAATGGTTCGCTACGCCTCTGATCGGGGGTTCTTAATCAATAATAAACTTGAAAAAAAAACATTTAACTTAAGTGGGTCACATTTGTTGTTTAATAACCCTAAAATAATCAAACAAGAACAAAGGAAGGAGTTAATAAACAAAGAGTGCGGACATTCTAGCTGGTTAATGCAGCGAGGAGAAGTCTGAGCATACACAAATTATTTTACTTCGCTTAAATTACGCAATAGGTCATACAACGTCAAGAAACAAAGGTCATGAGATGGTATATTACAGTGGGCACAATTCAAACCAAATGTGAAATTAAAAATACAAAGCGTTTGATTTTTTAGCTGATTTTCTATACTATATTTTATTGTCCCCCATATATTTTAGCGTAAAAAATTAATCATATTTCGTGTCAATAAAAATAGTTTCAACTCTTATAAGTTATAGGGCACATAATGGGAAATATCCATTTTTTCAAAAACCCCAAGAGATATGTATTCGATACCTGAAGTCGTAAAAAGGTTCGATACCACACTCAAAATGCTGACGTTTACACTGAAACGTTTACACGTTTAAGAAAATACTGTGTTTCTTTTTATAGGATAAATAAAAATTCCCCCGATTTATAAGTTGTTCGATACAGTTGTTAGCATATATTACTATCTTTAGTTGACGAAGTGTTGGGTGAACTGTTTCAGCTGTGTGATTTATCAACTTTACAGTTTTGTCATTTGTTTACAAGTCATCCAAGTAAGCTAAGGTAATGCAAATGTTTTTAAAAATTGTTCTTAGCTGTTTTTTTTAAAACAAAAAATGTAAGAATCAAAAACTAATCTGATTGAATATTGAACTAAATGTGCGCTTTGATGAGTAGTTGACAAGAAAATACGCAGATCAATTGTTGTTTTTATGAGATAGGGTGAGTGGGGATCAATATATAAATACATATATATATATATATATATATATATATATATATATATATATATATATATATATATATATATATATGTGTATATATATATGTATATATGTATATATGTATATATATATATGTATATGTATATATGTATATATGTATATATATATTTATATATATATATATATATATATATATATATATATATATATATATATTTTATATATATATATATATATATATATATATATATATATATATATATATATATATATATATATATATATATATACACTAAGGAGTGCGGCACAGTATCCAATTGAGAAGGGGCCTAAGGGTTGATTTAAAATTAGTCATGTCTGTATAAAAGTAAGATATTTAATAAATGGCGCATAACCAGCTGACACGTAATCCTTAATTGTGATGGAAGCATGGTCGAGTCGGCAAAGCTCATGGTTGTTAAATTCGAAAAAAGTCTCGAGTTCAAACCCTCTGGCAGATAAGGCTCAATCCCTCACAACACTATAAATGTAAGAACGAAGAAGAAGAAAGAATAAAAAAAACTAGGATATTTATGAACAGAGAATCTGTGTTACATTACAGTGAGTATCCAGTGATTTTATTCACAGCAATGGCAACTGTAGATCTGAACTCTATGTGTCAACAGTACAGAAGAAGGAATAAGATAGAAGGTAAATATTTCATCAAAATGGTGCGTTACTCGCAAAATAACGTAAGTCTAGAAATTGTATAACATTGTCCTGTAGTTGTATGTTTACACATATAACATTCTTTTGTTAATGTATGTTTACACATACAGACATGACTTGTAATTGTATGTCTAAACATAAAGCATTGCATGACTTGAGATTGTATGGTCCTTTAGAAAGAAATCTGAGAGATTCACAATATCCCAAGTTATCTACCTTTTTCTTGCTAGAATGTGTGAGGCTAACATTACGTTTTTAGTTTTGGTTTTATCGAAATGTTTTCATCGATCATATTTGTGTGTTAAAATGGTGAGTGGAGAAATTAAAAAGAAAGATTACGCACACTTAAAATGTTTTTTTTTATTCTTGTGTATTGATATTTGATGAGCTTATAGTTATACATTTTCATCTTGCACCGAGTTGATTATGATACTTTATTAAGGTCTACCCGACCTGAAAGGTTTAAAGCTGACAGTATCAGATGTTAAATGGAAGCGTCTCTCGTCCAATCCTAAGCAGGTACCATTGGTTCTATGTTTGTGTGTTCCATTTATGTTATTT